ACTACAGAAGATCTCTAAACAGAACTACAAAACATTGCTCAAAGCTGGGCTCAGTGGCTCACATCTGTAATCTTAGCTTCTCAGGAAGTAGAGATCAGGAGGCCTGCCTGGGCAAGTAGTTCACCAGACTCTATCTCGAAGTAACCCATCACAAAAAAGGGCTAGTGGAGTGGATCAAGGTGTAGGCCCTGAGTTCAAACCCCAGTACCACAAAAAAATTATATTGCTCAAAGAAATTAAAGAAGGGAATCTTTGCTCCCATTTCCTATGTGGGGAACAGGAATTATTTCTCTCTCCTCCCTGCTCCCTACCACCCTGCCCTGATTCTCCATAATTTATCCTGTTATACGAAAGTAAATCCTTCCTAAAACTTCAGAAAATGATAATAAGCAGAAATTAAAGAAGTTATAAATAGAGGAACATGCTAAGTTCACCGGATAGGAGACGCAATATACATATGCATTTTTTGGTGGGACTGAGGTTTGAGCTCAGGGCCTCATACACGCAAAGCAGGCATTCTACTGCTTGAGCCACACCTCCAGTCCATTTTGCTCTGTTTTGTTGTTTATTTATTTATTTATTTAGGAGATGGGTGATCTCATGAACTATTTACCCAAGCTGGGCTTGGACTGTGATCTTCCGGATCTCAAACTTCCAAGGAGCTAGGATTACAGGTGTGAACCACCATTGCCTGGCTTCAGTATTGTTAAGCTATCAGATCTCCCCAAGTCAAGTCAGACATGTTGGTTCACACCTGTAATCCCAGAACTTGAGAGGCTGAGGCAAGAGGATTGAGAGATTGAGGCTAGCTGGGCATACATAGTGAGACCCTGTCTCAAAAACAAAAAACAAAAACTTCCAAGTCTATATATGGATCAGTGCAATCCTTATCACAATCCCAGCAGTGTGTGTGTGTGTGTGTGTGTGTGTGTATGATTGCCAGGTCCTTCTAAATATGTCTGGAAATGCACAGGACCTAGGATAGTGATCTGAGGTCCCTGGAACCTGTTCTAATCAGGTGTGGTAAAGCACAGACACAGAAATGACTGTTGTCAATGAGGAATTGTATTGTGCTCACTCACCCCTAGAAATAGGAGGCAGGTCTTACAATGCAGAGCTCCACAGAGAAGCACCAGGGCCTCAGGTGGCAAGGAGACAGTAGGGCTGAGACAAAGCCACATATCACAAACAAGACAGATCAGGCTCCTTTGCTGGGACTTCAGCCACGTGACTCAGTTCAGCTGAAGCTGAAAGGATACAGCAGTGATTGAGAGGGGACCACGCCGCCCCTGATGAACAAAAGAGAGCAGCAGACTTTCATTGATTTTCTGGGGTGGGCTAAAATTTGGTGATTGTCCTTGGTCATGGGCGTGGTTTCAAAAGATGTTTTTCTTCTTGGGCACAGCATCATGGCCTTGAGCTTTGCAGGCTAACCCAGAAACTGTTCGGTCCTTCCTGTCCTGGTGCTGGGGTCACCCTCTTGCATAAATGTCCTGCCCTCATGGTTTGGCCTGGGCCTCATGTTAAGACTGGAAGTGCTAAGCTGCTGAGAAAGCACAGGGCAGACAGAAGAAAAACACACCAGCTCCAATGGGTGAAAGGCCAAGTTCACCCTGTAGTGTAATCTTGTACGAAGTATTTTTTCAAATGATCAACGTGTCTACATGCACAGCTAAGTAAGTGGAGTCTGACTCAAAAGTTGAGGCAGCAAAGAGGACAGGCACCGTTTGAAGACATTTATCTCGATTTAGTCATCTATCAGATGTCTATAGGCTCAAGTGAAGAGTCAGTGTTTTTAGCAAAAGTAGCCTTCAAGTTCCTGCAAAGTAACTAGGCAACTGTTCTCATAACCCACTGGCAGAGATGTTAATAAATAATAAATAAACTAATAAACGTATTGCTCAACTGTGTGACCGCTTAGATTAGTGATTTTTTAAGTTAACTAAGAGCAAGTGAGAGGGTTGATACGGGCTTTTTTGTTTCTCAGTAACACCAAGAGAGAGACTATGATTCTGCTAGGACAGATTATCTGACAGCTCAGTAAATTCTTGGGGTTTGTCAAGGGCATTTTATGGAACAAGGTTTTTCTTTATCTCTCTTCCTCCTTCCTTCCTTCTCTTCCTTTTTTCCTTTCTTCCTTCCATTTCTTCCTTTCTCTCTCTCTCTTTTTCTTTTTTTTTGGTGGGACTGAGGTTTCAATGCAAGACTTCATGTTTGCAAAGCATGTACTCTACCACTTAAGCCACACCTCTAGTCTATTTTGCTCTGGTTATTTTGAAGATGGGGTTTCATGAACTATTTGCCAGGGCTGGCCTCAAGCCACTAACCTCCCAATCTCAGCCTCCCAAGTAGCTGGGATTATAGGCATATCACTCAGCAAGGTTTATTCTCAGTAACTATTCCCCCTGGTCTTTGTCACTGTGTGACTACCTTAGTCTGATCAGAAGGGACTCCTAGTTTGTGAACATTCTGACACTGTGTCCTAATCTGACATCTATGACAAAGCTACTGAAAGCATGCTTTTAACGGGTGACCCCGGTGCTGGTCTTACTGTGTCTTTCCTGTCTTACTGTGAGAGGACGGACGAAGAGCTGTGGACAGGGCACGCAGAGCTGGCTTGAGGGTTGGTGCAGAGAAGAGAGCAGCTTCCTTTGCACCTGCAGGAGGCTCTGGTCAGGTGTGAGTTTCTTGACAATGTTTCTGTATCCACAGTCCTGTAAAATTGAGCTTCACCTTTTAAATAAGCTGGTGCCAGCCTCTGCAATGCTCTTCTCAATGATTCATTTAGGAAGCTTGCCTTGTTTGTCCAGAGAACACTGGATTCCTAGCAAAGGGTTCAGATTTTAGGCCACATCACGGAGAGTGCCTGTTTCAACTTAATGACTGTTGTGCTTTTTATTTTACCTCAGTTACTCTTTGAAGGCTCTATTAGTGTTTATGGGAATACAACCGTATGTCTTAGTCCATTGGTTGTGCTATAACAATATCAGAGACTTTGTTTGTTTGTTTGTGTTTTGAGACAGGGTCCCACTATGTAGCCCAGACTGGCCTCAAATTCACAATCCTCCCGTCTAAGCCTCCTTTCTAAATGCTGGGATTACAGGTGTGAACCACAACCTACAGTTATCTTAAATCGAATAATGTAGAAGCCCATTTCCTTATTCTACTTTTCCATCTTAGAGAGAGTGGCCCATTTGCTCTTAGATGTGACAACAGGAGCATCCAGTTGAGCAGGATTATCGTGGTGGAAGGGTAGGTGGAAGGAGGAATAACTTTTGTTTGCCCAGCGTGTGGGGCCTGAGTCAAGGTCACAGAGCCCGTTGTCAGGGAAAGACAAGAAAGAGCTCTGGTTTTCCCTCTTGGAAGCTGCCAGGCATGGCATGGGAAGTGATCAGACACAGGACGATTGTCACTTGCTTGTACTTGCCATGAGTGTCCTGCTCACCTGTGTGCCTCTTCACTCGTCCCTGTCTGGGATACACAAACACACTCTGGCTTCACTGGTGAGCTCTGCCAACAGATCCCAGCCTCCCAGAGGGACCTACTCTGAAAGGGACTTGCTGAGGGATGTGCTGTCTGCAGGGATCCCGCTGCCTTGCAGACCCTCCTTTCATGGGGTGCTGGGGTGGCTCGGGGAGCAGCAAATGGGGACAGCTGGTCACAAGGGCACTTGGAAGATTCTGCGCTTAGGGCCATCCTCAGAGGTGGCAGGTAGTGCAGAGTCATGGGTAGGGTCCTCACGGAAGCACTACTTCCATGGGTGAAAAGTGGAAACAGTTTAAATAGGGTGTCTAATAAGTTATTATATATTCAGACATTTCAAAAAGTATGGTTAAAATCAAGGCATTAAGAAGAGGTCACAATGTTAAATGACATCCTATACAATGTACACATTACGATTACAGTTCTTTTAGCACGAATGTGTGTTCAGAGAAAGAAAAAGACCTAAAAGAGGTGGGACTGTTTATCTTGGTGATCTGTGACGAGCCTCTGTGCTCACTCCTGTCCCATCTCCCAGCTGCTGACCAGCTCGCCGACCGCACACTGAACCTGCTGAGCACAAGGACATGGTTTATATCTAATGGAAAGAGTTAGAAGAGAGAGGCCCTGGAGACCATGTTCTCAGTCCCTGAGGGGACCTGGCAGCCCTTCAGGGAGCACAGAAACAGCGAGAGTATGCAGTACTCTGGGGAGTGACCTGGCTGTGGACCGTGATGTCCCAAGCATGGTTCAGCGGTGCCAGGCATCAGCTCAGGGACACTCTAGGACTAGCGTCTGGTGTTTACCTGCCAAGTACACTGGCGTCCTGGGAATGGAGGGACTGTTTGTGGGATGCTGAAAGATTCCAGACTAAGGGGCTCTGGCACATGAGTACACAGCTCACCATAGGTCTCGTGGGTTTCCTGACGTGTCCAGGACCTGCTCATGGCAGGGATCAGTGCCCTGAGGGCTGCTCTCTGTGCAGCCAGCCCAAGCCCCACACTGTGTCTGGCCCTGAGCAGCAGCACGGCACTGGGGCCTCTGAGGAGCCCCTGGAGTTTTTGAGGCTGACTCCAGGGCCCACTTAGCAGAGGTGGGATGAGGGTCCAGAGGCTGGTAGGGCAGAACTGGATTAGACCGACTGGTTATTTTCCTAGCGGATGGACAGGCATCTCCTTCTGCTCTTTTGGGCCAGCGCCATGCAGGGTGCTGGTGTTCTGCCCTGGAGGTTGTGTCTGGTCCGACTTTGGGCCTGGCTCCACTCATATTGTCCAGTGGGGTCTGAGAGTGAAACAGCAGCTGCAGGGTTGGTGGTCTCCACAGCGTGGCCCACCTTGGCAGGACTCTTGGTCTGACCTCAGTGGAGAGATGGCCTGTGGCCTAGATGGGCCTCCTCTTTGTGGGAGGATCCCTGGGGCTTGGCTTGTAGTGTCCTGCGTAGGGGTGGACAGTCCACGCAGAGGCGGAGGGAGGTAGCAGTGCTGAGCTGTCACACTGATACCTCCAATGGTGTCTTTCAGTGAACGAATTCACGGTGATCAGGAAGAAGTTCAAGTGCCCGTACTGCAGCTTTTCGGCCATGCACCAGTGCATTCTCAAGCGGCATATGCGCTCGCATACCGGGGAGCGGCCCTACCCCTGCGAGATCTGCGGGAAGAAGTTCACCCGGCGGGAGCACATGAAGCGACACACGTTGGTGAGTGTGGGGGCAGTGCAGGGGCAGCACGGGCTCAATGTGAGGCATGCTTTGGTGCTACACTGGGATGGCCTGGCATGGGGGTCATGGGAGGTGGGCACAGAGTTCCCTGGGTACCCCAGAAATGGGGGTGTGCTCTGTGGAGGGGAAGATGGAACAGGGAAAGCACCTCTCTTGATATTATTGTTGTGTCTGCTGGGGGGGGGAGGGTGGTGGTCCCAGACCTGCTGCACCAGGGCCTACATGCAGAAGCAAGTTGGCACATTATCACTTACCCACCCGCTGGGCTCCTCAGTACCACTTGGTTCCATGCCACAGCCCTGCATCTGGGTGGAGCCAGTCTCTGCCTGTCAGTGCCCCCCCCCGACCTTTGCACCCAGTTCAGGCTCAGCACCTGACAGGTAGTCACCAGGTAATGGATGTTGAAGGGTGAATTTGCTTGGCCGAAAGAAGACAGAAAGAAAACTGAAAACAGGGAGGCAGATTTGCCCACAAGAGTAGTGAGAGGGCATCCTGCAAAATGGGGCCACATGGAGCAGGAAGAGTCCTGGGAGGAGCCCTGGACCATGCAGGGAGGCCTTCCAGACCAGGACCAGTTCCACAGCCACTCAAAACCATGTGAGGTCTCAGAGTCATTTTAGAACATTTTCTTTATTTTGCTTCTGCTCAATCCACAGAGACGGTTTTACAGATAGTTATAAAAACTGCATTTTCTCCTTTCAGAGAGAATTGTGTCTTGTTTTCACGCTGATAGGTGCTGAAGTCTTGTGGGCTGCTGCATTTTGCTTTAGCAAAGCTGCATTAATGTTTCAGGAAATGTTCTGACCCTGTGTGAGGGTCGATCAGGCTGCCTGCCCTTCCCCTGGGGTAGGACCAAAATGCTCATCCTAGAGTTCATGGTGTGGCTTCAGGGGCTCAGAGCTCCCTAAAAAATGTAAATAAAGCACGAGGAAGAGATCTACATTCAGTCTTTCCCTCTAGATTCTCTGGGATGCCTGCCCCTGACAAGCTAGAGCCCTCTGCACCGGAGGCAGCTCTGGCCACACGTTACCTCTTCCTGGCACATGGTGGCTCCTCTAAGCACCTACTAGGGGTAGGGGTCCAATGGTTGCTCTTGCTGGATTTCAGAATGGGGTGGGCTGGCCCCTGCTCCACAACCACACCACCAAAAGGCCTGGCACCAGCACCCTTTCCTCTCCCTTCCTTCCTGAGTATGCTTCAATTAGGATGGCTGAGTGCCCAACCACCTGGTCCTGGCCGGGGGCTCCTTGACACACCCCTGTCATCTCTGGGGCACAGTCCTATGCCACAGGGGTTCTCAGTGGGTGTGCCAGCTCTGCTCCAGTCCTTCTTGGGTCTGCTTTGCCTGCTTACCCCATTGGAACACAGGTCTTATTTGTAACTTGGTCTAGAAGTTTTGTTCTTTTGTGAAAGAGAGAAGGGAGCTCTGGGTTTAAAGCAGAGAAAATTAGAGCCAGGCATAGTGCTACATGCTGTAATCCCAGTACTTGGGAAGTGAGACCTTATCTCAGAAGAAAAAAAAAAAGAAAGAAAGAAAAAGAAAAGAAAAAAGGCAGAGCAAAACAAAACAACAACAAAAATCCAAAGGAATCATCCTGTATAGCAAGGTATCCGAGGCACCATTTGTAGAAGCAGCCTGCTGGGCTTTTGAGGAAGACTATGGGGCTCACACACAGCCCTGAGGGCCACCAGCTGTCTCCAAAGGTCTCAGGTCCCCTATGTGATAGCCCTTTCCAGGTCATGCTGTGGATCGCCTGAGTTGTTTTAAAGTTGGTTGGACAGCGGACGTTTGAGTCAGGGTTTTGTGGAAGTTAGCAGCAGCTCTGCCTTCAAGAGGGGAGGCTGGGTACCCTGGGTGGCCTACGGGACCACAGGACTGGGAAGCTGAGGGTGGTGAGGGGCAGCTCGCAGTGGTCCAGCAGAAGGACCACAGCAACCCTTGTCAAGAGGTGTTTTCAGTAGAGGAACCCTTTCAGTCACGAGGGACTGGGTACAGTTCTGTGACAATGACAGTATTTACTCGTGGGCTGGAGGGCTCAGAAAGGGAGAAGTAGGTCTAATCACCTCCCAGCCTGAGTGCAGTGTCGTCCCAGTGCTTCTGATACCACTGCATCTCCTCAGGTTCAAGGCCTCATTGAGACCCCTCTCAGAGCTCAGGACCTTCGTGTCCTACCCTCTAGGGGCCCCTCCATGAAGTACTGGGCCTCCCTGCTGGGCATTGCCTGGAGCTGTTGTTGCTGTCCTCCCCTGGCTGCAGGGCTCCTCCACTGCCTGGGATTGCTGATCTCGGTCTGAGCCTCGGCTGTCCTTGAGGCATCTTCTCAGGGGAGTTACCCTCTTTTCACCAGAAACAGGCTTGGGAGGCTGATGGAGTGTCCAGGGAGCCAGGTGGGGGCATGGGCTTAACTACCGGCTCTCAGGGACCCCATCCTGACACCTTTCTCATTTGTCCTTCTCTCTGGCTCTCTGTCCCCCTCTCCCTTTCTCTCTTTCTCTCTCCGGTACCGGAGTTTGAACTCAGGGCCTCCCACTTGCTAGGCAGGATCTTTACCACTTGAGCCATTCCCCTTTTGGATAGTCTTGAGTTTTTTCCCCCTGGCTGGCCTGGGCTCTGATCCTCCTATGGCCTCCTATGTTACTGGGATTACAGGCACATACCACCACCACCCCAGCTTATTGGTTGAGATGAAGTCTCGCTAACTTTTTGCTGGTGCCGCCTTGAACCACGACCTTAGGGATCTCTGCCTCCCTAGTGGCTGGCATTACAGGCATGAACCACTGCACCCTGGTGCCCTTCACTCTCCATCCTTAGGTCCCCTGCTGTCCTGCCCACCAAGACACAGGCAGGATGGGCTTCCCAGAAGTCAGATTCCATTTGCAGTGCCTGGTCACAGCTGTGTGTGGGCTCCCAGCCCTGCGCACGCATGTGAGCAGCTTGTGTTTTCAGCTCTGTCCCACCTGGGCAGCCAGGTCAACTTCCTCTAGGGAGGCTTCATGCTTCTGTGTAACGGGTGCCTCGGCCTGTCCTTTGGGGAGGGTTGGCAGAAGGGGACTTTCAGGAAGAGGGAGTGGTGTGACCTAGAGAGGGGCGGGCTCTGGTGGGGGTGCCTGGACACAGGTGTATGTGGTAGGCTGGCCCAGTGAGGGGCAGATGGTGGCCTAGTGGTCGACATCTTCTTGGACAGGACTAGGGAGATTGGATGCCTCCTGCAATACTGACCATGTGGGCTCTGGGCAGGGCTCCTGAAGCCATGCAGGGCTCAGGGGGCTGAGCAGTCCTGTCACCCCAAGGCCCTGCCAGGGGCTGTCCCTCCTCAGAGCTTGGCAGAGATTTTGTTATCCCCCCTTCCCATGGACCTCACCTCTCCACTAACTGCCCTGTCCCCCCAGGTCCACAGCAAGGACAAGAAGTACGTGTGCAAGGTGTGCAGCCGTGTGTTTATGTCTGCAGCCAGCGTGGGCATCAAGCATGGCTCGCGGCGCCATGGCGTGTGTACCGACTGTGCTGGCCGGGGCGTGGCCACGCCACTGGACCACGGTGGCGGCGGCGAGGGCTCCCCGGAGGCGCTGTTTGGTGGCGAAGGGCCCTACCTGGAGGACCCTGACGACCCGCGAGGGGAGGGCGAGGAGGAGCTGGGGGAGGACGAGGATGAGGACGTGGCCAAGTGGAAGGACGACGTGGGCCTGGCGCACGAGGACGCGCTGCTGGGGGACGACAAGGACGACGAGGACTCGCCGCAGGGGCCCCGCAGCCCCTCTGGAGAGCCCGACAAGGACTTCGCCTGGATTTCCTAGGAGCCCAGCCCCGGAGGGCGGGTTGGGGTGGTGGCTGCATCGCTTCGTCCACCTGTGTGTGCACCTGTCTTGTGGGTCTTCACTCGCCCACCCCGGGGCAGGGCTTCTGTAGCCTCTCCTCTGGGTCGGGTCCTCCTCTGTGTCCCACCCCATCCCCTGCAAAAATCGGTCCTGTGGGCTAAGAAGCAAGAGGGACCCCAGCGAGGGGGGAGCAGGGTGGGTTTGGGCAAAGGGAGAGTGCACGCTCCTACCTGTCCAGGTGAGTGCAAGCGGGTGGGAGGGACCGTGCATGCGCCTGGGCACGCCCCGAGGGCATCAAAAGAGCCCTCGGCTGCCTGCTGGGTTAGGGATGCAAGATGGCTCGATGGCCAGCACTGGTCAGGGTCATAAGTGTGGTCCTGGAGGCCACAGGTCTGAGTGGTGTTGAGTTTTGCATACACCCTACCTGCATCCCTCCCAGCACTGCTCAAGCATCCCCCATGCCCCAGCAGTCAGATCGCTATCTGTGACCTCCCGCGGTGGCTCTTTGCCCTCTTGGCTCCTGCCACCTTGTGGCAGCCTGTAGAATCCAGGTCCAGTGTGTGGAAAGCCCTGTGACCCTCTTACCTCCGGGCTTTGGTGCTTAACACAAAACAGCTGCAGACACCCCACTGGAGCCCCCCAGGTTCCAGGTGCTATCTCTGGTGGAAGCAGCCCCAGCCCCCAGCGGGCAGGGTGAGGAGGCCACAAGCAGCTCCCAGGCAGGGCTCTGTTCTGGAGGGGACCTTGTCCCTGCATGCCCCACTTCAGGCCCACACTGGTTTGGTGGGGACAGCCTCAGCTCTTTGTTCTGTGCACTTCCTTGTCCACCCTGGGCTTTGTTGACCCTCCTGGGACTGGCTGGAGCTGGGCTCCTGCCTTTGTTGCTGCTAACACTGGAGGTAGGTGTTCCTGGCTGCAGTGAGCTGCTGACACCTCCCCGCCTGGGTAACCAAATTTTAAAGTAGTCAGAGAGACATACCGAAGTAGTTACAGAAAAGTATTTTGTTTGGCGTTATTTTTCTCACTTGACAAGACAATATAGGGTTGCTTTCCTTTAGCTCCTTTGGCTCATTGTCAGGTCCTCTTGCTGTATCCTTAAAGGCGCTCACCCTGTGTCCTTTCTTCCTGAGTGGAAAACGGAGGCCCTACCTGGGCCATGTGTGTGATGCCCAGCCCCAAGGGTCCTGGAGACAGGCTGCCCCACCCACCCTGAGGACAGACCCTGCCATCTGTCTGCTTCCTTCTGGGGGCTTTCTGACAACACTCACTACTGAGACATTCCATCTCTCACCCCTCATGGCGCTCAGGCCCACCGTGTCCTGCCTGATGTCTGATGAGGTGCTGGTGGCCAATTTCCCCCTACCCTATGCAAGGGCTTCTCAGGATGTTGAGTGTTAGCACCTGCTGGAGAGGTTTTCTTTTTCCAGACTGTAAGTCAAATGGCTTTTACCAACTTTTTTACTGCGTCATATCTATTTTCTGTAGGAAGGAAAAGGAAAACTTCGTTAAACTTACTTAGGTCCCAGTGGTTGCATGGAGCATTGTCCAATGTAACAACCCCGGAGTAGCAGCTGCCAGAGCTGCTGCTGTGGAGGGGGACAGGGCTGCCCCATGTGGACTCAGGGGACATGGTGCTGTCCTTGAGGGCCTGTACCACAGGAGGAATCACAGCCTTTTGTTTTGGCACCCTTTCTAACCAATTTCAGAGGGCACTCCCGACCGGCCTGCCTACCTATCGCTCAGGGGATGCTGTGAGCTCCTCAGACCTGGAGTCCTTAAGAGGCAAGAGGGCCAGGACTTTGTACCGTTCCTTTCACTTTTTAAACGCCTTTTCTAAACAGACTTACTTTCTTATAAAACGCATTTGGAAACCGGACCTTTGCTACCAGTGTCTCTGGCTTTTGTACCAGTCCCCATCTCTCAGGCTGTCCGGCCCAGAGGCCCCTGGCCCACCTCCCCTAAGGCACCTCTGCCTCTGCTCTCAGGATGTCTTGCTCTCCGACAGGCTCCACTCCAGCCTCCTTCACTGCCCTTTCTGGGGGTTCCCTGTCCGTGCCACAGGGGCACTTCCTTGAAACCAATACTGTACTGGAAACCTGAGGGTCCAGTTTCTGTCCCACCTTCCCCAACTGCTACACAGCAGGCTTTGTTCTTGGTTTGCTATTGGAGAGCGTGGAATTCCAGAGATCCAGATGAACGCATCCATCTCAGGAGGCATGAGGGAAAAGACATGCATAATGAAGGTTTTTTTGTTTTGTTTTGTTCTTTAACGTGACTGATTTTTTTAATCAATGTTCAAACTAATAAATATTTTTTTATGAAGAGGAAAAAATGTGTAGATTACATTTCACATTTTGTATTTTTTTTTCTTGTGTCTGTGTGTTTTGGTGTTTGCAACACCGAAGTGGAAAATACAGTCCACAGGGGAGGTGTGTTGGGGGAGGGAGAGGGAGACATGATTTTTGTATTGCGCTCTGGATCCTGACCAGGCTGTGTATTTGGACTCTGGGTTTTGGGAAAGAGGACACTGCCAGGATGTGACAGGGACCTGACTCAAAAGACATAGCTATGCTTCCAACTTTGCACATCTTCCTTTTTAAAAAAAGAAAACTGAGAAAATGCAGAAACTGGAACTTTTTGCAATATTATGAAAAGATAATCTTACTTTGGCTCAACTTTGGCTCATTCTGTGACATGTGCAACTCTTAAGAAAGCCATACTTAATGGTGGTTGTCTTTTATTTTTAGATCTTGTGTTTTGTACGCGGCCCTTTTTAGAACCACTTGTAGTGAGGGTGCTGTGTGTGTGCTTTTCCTAAATATTTATTTTTTCAACATGCTTTCAACCTGTCAAGAAAAATAGAATAGAAAAAAAAAAAAGGCAGTGTTTGAAGATTGTTGATTTTCTTCTGGGAATAATCTATATTATATTGACTTTATATTAATTATAAACCTGTGTTTGTATTGAAGATGTGTTTAATATTTGGGGGAGGAGGAAATCACAGCTCTGTTGTCCTGCTTCGCTGTAGCCACAGGACAGATAAAGGTTACTTTCGCTAGAGTGGGTCTCGCTGTGCGGTTTCTTGGCTGCCTAGTGTGCTCCAGGCTGCCTGTGGGTTTCCTTTCTGTGATGGGATTAGCATAGACATTCTTGCAAAACGATCACTTTCAATAAATTGGGAAACTGCTGCTCCAAGCAGATGCCTCCTGTGTGTTTCAGACAGTGCCTCTCCTCTGGCCTCTGTGTACAGGTGGCCAGGGGGTGGCCCCCTTCAGCTCATCACTGGCTTCCCACCACCCTGGTCCCATTCTGTCTCCCAGAAGGCAGACTCAACTTCTGGAAAACCCCCAAATTTTTAATTTTTCTTTTTGCCTGGTACAGCCCAGACATGAAGACACCTGAGCTTTGCAAACATGGTAAATGTCAGCCCCAGGGCCTGGGACCATATGTTAAGTGCAGGCGGGAGAGTCCCCTCCTCTACACCCCTCAAAGTGCATCTCAGACTGGCCCCTGCAGCTGGTCCCATCAACATCCTTGCAAGTCCTCGGGCAACAGGCAGGGAGGCCAGCTGCCCCTGGGGCCAAGGAGACAGTGATATCGTTTGGCTTTAGTGCAAAAGGCTGGTTTCTTCAGAGGCACTTGAGTGGCAGGACCCCTCTCCCCACCTCTGGGGGTCCAGGGTAACCCTCCCCCTCAGGCTTGCTCCAGCCTTGGGCTTGGGGTGGGTGGGAGGCCGGGCAGCAGCACCAGTAGGTGGACTCAGTCCAGGAAGCGCTGGCAGGCTTTCTTCCAGCGGCAGGCTGTGCACCACAGGTCCCGGTGGTCCATGCCATACACCTTCCGGCACTTCTTGGCATCACCACGGGGTTTCCTGGGGGACCAGCAGGAGGAATGGAGTGTTGCTGGCTGGGACCCTCCCCATTAGGCACATGCCCAGGCCCCCAACCCATACACACCTTAAATTGGCACCAAGCTTGGCAGGCAGAGCTGATATGCAGGCCTGGGCCTCAGTGGGTTGGGGCTCCAGGCGGACAGGGGCCAGGCAGCTCTGAGAGGAACTGAAGTCTGCACTTTGCTCCTCTGCAGAGTGCCCTGAGATCTGCCCCCAGCCACCACCTGTGGCCTCACCTGCCTGGTAGGCATGGTCACTATGGTGTACCTGATGGGCAGCTGCAGAACTCGATATGGGGGTCGGGGGCAGAAGCAGGCTGGGGAGGGTTGGGGGTTCCAGCAGCTCTGGGGGCTCCAGGTGGGGGAAGGTGGGTGGCACGGAGGCTATGGGGGACACTGGGGTCAGGCAGGATAGCCCGTCAGTCAGCGTGTCCACACCAACATCCAGCTCCGTGTAGTAGAAGTCCTCCTCACCATCGCTGTGCTCTGGCTCCGCCCGTCTCCTGCGAGGAACACAGCAGTGGGAACCTCAAGGCCTGATTCCTCCCCAGCCCACTGGTCAGCCTGACCCCACCTGGCCCAGCCCTCAGCCCCGCGCACCCCAGGTGCACCAGGCGGATGTGTCTCTGCATCCCAGAAGCTGTGCTCAGCAGCTTTCCGCAGCTCTTCCACAGGCACTGGAACATGACCTGGACAGAGCTCTGCAGTGACAGGGACCGGGGTCAGCAGCAGCCGTCTTCACCTACCCCACCCTGAGGGCTTCCCCCAAGCTCACCTTCCTCTTCCTCAGGGTGGGTTCCCCAAACAGAAAGTGGGTGGCCTCAGGGGGCAGTGGAGGAGAAGGGGTGGACGGAGAAGACTGGTCACTGGCCAGGTCCCAGCCCCAGTCTCCACTGTTGCTGCTGCTGCTGTAGCTGCCTGGGGGCCTCACCAGGGCCTCCTTCCAGGGCTCCAAGCCAGGCTCTGCAGGGACATGCGACAGAAATTTGGGTAGGCTCAAGCTCTCTGCTGACTACCTGCTAGGCTCCTCAAACTAACTAACTCCAAGCTGCCACCTATTTAGGGAAGCTTCATGGGCAGCCTCTTGGAGACATTGGCCAGGAGGACCTGGCCTTGGACGGGGGTGGTGGTGGTGCTGGCATGGGCAGGAGGCAGCTGGACAGTTCACTAAGGCCTGGGACAGTGCAGCTTTGGCTTCAGTGAGGTGCACTGAGGGTCTGGATGTCCACTTAGAAACTGTTCAAGAGGCAAATTTGAAAGATGGCAGAGGGGGTTTGGGGGCCCTGCTGGGTGGCTGCAGGATCCTGGGGGCATCTAGTGGGGGTTCTGCCCCTACCTGAGCACACATTTCTGAGTCTTACCTGAGCTGAAGGCTGAAGATGGGGTTCCCAGACAAAGAGGACTAGTGGACAGGCTTGTAAGGGCTGTGGCAGCCATGACCTCATCCAGACGGGCTTTTCCTGGGGGCCTTCTGGAGATGGGGACAGGGTGTGGGTGGGGTGGGACCCAACAAGTGAGGTAGGCCCTTACCCTGGCCCTGCATACCCGTGCGGCCTGGGCACATGTGCAGCCCTGGGCACATGTCAGGCATCAGGCTGCCTCACTCCTGGTGCTGGGCAAGAGGCCTGGCTCCACCCCCAGCTCCAATTGCAGAGTGGAAAATGGCCAGGAAATCACCAGGTACAGGGCAGGGGTCTGTTGGAGGTCCAAGTTTTCCACAGCCTGGGCTTTGTTCCACCGTGGCTCCTTTAGACCCTGGTGCTGGGCAGGGGTCTGAAGCCCCAGTGCTGGGGCTAGGCTAGCCCCAGCCCAGCCCTCCCCCATCACACATTAACCAGGGTTGTGCAACAGCAGCTGTGGGCTGAGCTCCAGGCCTAGGAGGGCGGAGCAGCCAGGCCAGCAGTCCGTAGCAGCCAGGGGAACGCTGGTTTGAAGAACAGGCGGGTCCCCAGGCCCCAGCAGGCCAGACACAGATTGCTCCTGCTGTGCAACCAGTCAGAGGTGCTGGGCACAGCAGGGTTGAGAAGGTGGTGGCAGGAGCCCCAGAGATTCTTGGGCAGTCAATGGCACAGCCTCTTCTGCACAGAAATTGACAGTTAACCCCTCCCGGTTCTGCACTCTGGACCCCAACGCACTGCTCACTGCTGCCCAACTCCACTAGGGCTGGAGAGCTGGAGGAAGGGGAGGTAGAACCTGACCTGTCCACCGAGGCCTTCAGAGGGAAGGATCAGAAATCTGCACCCCACCCACCGCCCCTGCACACACCGATGCACGTGTGCACACACCCGCCTAGTCCGGGACACTAGCCCCTGGCTCACCTCTGCGCTGGCACCGGGATGTGCGCCGACGGCGTCGGGAGCCCCGCCGCCGCCCCCGCCCAAGTCCCCGGGGCCCCTAGGTCCGCGGCCTGCGGCTCCTGCGGCAGCGCGAACTCCGAGCCCGCAAAGCCGCCGCCCACAGAAGGGCCCTGCGGATGGGGAAGACTCAATAGAGGCGGCGACCGGGGATCCCCGGCCTCCAACCTGGATCTGCTCGGCGCCCGCCCCCCACACCGGCTGCAGCAGATGTGGACAGGGCGGCCCCGCCTCTGGCCCCGCCCCCGACCCGGGCGGCGGGAAGCGTCCCCCAGCCGCCGCGCCATGCCTGGCCGGACCCACGGACACGCACTGACCGACGCGCGGCACCCCCCGCTGCCACGCCCTCGGGGCCCAAAGTTTGCGCAGCCCCGACGCCATCTTTGCAGTGGGAGAAACTTTGTCGGCGCTCCCGCCCACCGGTACCTGCGGCGGCGCGGGCACTGTCACCGGCGCGGCGCGCTGGTCCGGGCTCTCCGCACTCAGCCACAGCGCCATGGTCCGCAGCCCACTGGGGTCCGGAACGGTCACGGCCTCGGGGCCCCGGCCGGCTGCGCGGGGCGGGGGACGTTCGCAGCCCGGGCCCGGCGCCGGGGGGCGCTCAGCCTCCATTACCGGCCGGCCGGCCGCCAAGGCTGCAGCGGCGAGGGTGGACTCTTAGGACGCGGCCCGGGCCGGGCCGGGCTGGCCGGGCCGCCGACCCCCGCCCTGGATCCGGCCGCCGCCCTCGCCGCGCTGCCCGAAGCGCCCGGCCGGCCACGCCCCCCGCGCGGCCCGCCCCGGCGCGCGCGCCCATTGGCCGGCGCGCGGCATCAACACCTCGAGGTGGCCCGGGGCCCGGCCGCCGCGCTCCCACTGGCCCGCGCCCCGCGGCTCCGCCCCGCCCCACCCCCGGCCCAGCCCCGCGCTCCCGCGCTGGCCTGCCGAGGTTGCCCGAGCCGGCGTCCGCGCGCCTCGCCGCCAGGGAGGGCCAGCTTCCCCGTGGTGCACACGGAGCTGCCGGAGCAGAGAAGGGCCGCGTCTCCTTGGCGGGCCTCCCGGGAGCAGGTTATTCTTTAACGCACGACTGCCCACCTCCCTCCACTTATGTAACCGCAGGGGCTGGAGGCCGTCCATGGAGCTCGGGGTCCAGGTCCCACCCTTCTGGCTGGCAGCACTGCCACTAGGCCTAGGAACCACCACCGCAACGGGCTTGCCTTACACCTCCCCACTACTGACTTCTGAGTAGGACAAGGATCCAGGTGCCAGGAAACGGGGTCAAAAGCCCACTCCTGGAGGCAAGGAGACATCTCCAACCCTCCCAATCTTCAAGAAAGACAAGCTGAGCCCAAGGTACGGTGGTTCATACCTGCAATTCTGGCTATTCGGGACGACAGAGTCCAAGACTCTATCTCAAAAACAAAATAAAAAACCTGAAAATATAGGGGTGTGGCTCAAGTGGTAGAGCAGCTTGCAAGAGTGAGGCCCTGGTTCAATCCCCAGTGTTGCAAAACAAAGAAAGGCAGGCACGTCCACCCTTGTGTGATGGGGATTTATTAGGATGCAGACTTCTGGATTGGCGGGGATGGGGGCGTGGGGTCACAAAGTGGGGTCACATGCACACAGGTGCCGAATACTCAAGGCAGGTAGGGATCTTCAAATCCTCCCTACACTGAGGCAGGTGGAAGCAGGGGGCCTTGGTGCCTGTGGATTCCACGTGCATGGTAATTTCTCAGCAGTTCAGAGTCCCATCTCTGGGATGCTCTCATACACATTTTCCAGGGGACCTTGGGCCATGCCCAGGCTCCTGAGAGGGATGGCCTTATGTGCCAAGTCACTCCTTGGAGCCAGAATTGCTCCCCCACCCTGTGGATCCTGTTGGTCTGTGGAAGGTCCTGGGTCCCTGTTTTTAGGCTTGCAGACCCTGGAGTACAGGATGTCCACCTGGAGGGAGGGAGCAGACCCAGGGAGGGCTCAGCACCTTTCACTCTATCAAGGGTCTGCCCAGTCCCATCTACCCTGCCCCATGGTGGCCAGCTTTACCTGAGGAGCTGGAGTCACCTCAGCCTGTCCTTTCTCCAGTTCTTGGGGGCCCGGGTCTGTCCCCTTGCGTTTCTGGATGCAGGCATACTCAGCCACTACGGGTCTGGCCCCAGGTCCAAGTCTGGCACAACTGATGGTCAGCCGTGTCCCTGCCCACACCACAGGGCTGGCAGCCAGGCTGGCCCTGGGGATTGCAGCCAGGCCCACATTGGAATAGGTGGCCTCAGGACCAACGGAGAGCACTGTGGTGGCCATGGAGGTGGTGGCAGGAGAAGCTCTGGGTAGCTGCTGGGGTGGGATGGTGGAGGGGGCTGCCTGTGGCCTGGTGCTACTCCTGGACACCTCCAGCCAGTGTGGGTGCAAGAGATCCATGCTGACAGGCCTTGGGGCTATGGGTGGGGTGAGGGCAGAGATCACTCAGGGGACCTGGGCTGGCCCCAGGGTGGGGGAGACCACAACCAGCCCTGCCCTGGTGCTCTCCAGGGGCTCACCTGTGCTGCAGCATGGGCCACGATGCAGCTCGTGCAGCCTGGTGTCAGACTTGCTGAGGGAGCAGAGGTGGGTCTGTCTCAGCAGTGACTGGGGGCAAGGAAGGCTGGTCGGTCCCCTGCCAGCCCTGCCCTGGCCCCAGGGACAGCCTGGCACTCACCGCTTCCACCGGCATCACACTGCCATGCAGCCCAGCCTGCTGCCTCTGAGCCCGCTTCCTGGGGGCAAGAGCGTCATCAGACCAAGGGAGCAGAGGTAGGCGTACGGGCCGTCAGCTGCTAACCCAAGCCCTGTGTGGAGGTACATGCACAGCCCTTGCATGAACCTCCCTGTAATGACTCCTGGCTCTAACTGTGGAGAGCAAGGCCCAAGACAAAATCCCAGGCTTGATGGACATACCTGTGGCAGGCTGTGCACAGTGCCCACAGCCAAAGGAGTAGGGAGAAGCAACCTAGGGCCCAGAGGGCTGGCGGGGCTGAGGACACCGGTGGCCCCATCCTGTGAAGCAGAAAGGCCTGGGGGCAGAAGAGAGGGGCACTGGGGGGAACTGGGCACACACCTGGCCAGCTTGCATACCTCCCCCTGCTGGGTGGGCTCTGACTCAGCATACAGGAAACTCCTAGGCCTTGCAGCCCTACCCTTGCACAGCGTGCCCACCCACATGCCCTCCTCTAGCTAGGGACTCCTGGTGAAGAGGTGCTCTGCCTCTCCCTTTAGCCAGTGGCTGTGGTGAGAGTGGCACATGGCCATGGCAGCTATGACTTGGCCAAAGCTACACTGTGGTCACTACAACCCCAAACTCAAGATCTGGGGAAGCCTCAGCCTCTGAAGTCATACCCTGGGCCTGCAAACCACAGGCCACTGACCTCTGTAGCCATCCCTGCCCAGGCATGGCCCCATTTGAGGCAACGCCCCGGGCCACTCACCACCAGAGCTGGGAGCTGGGACAATGGAGGTCAGCAGGCAGGACAGAGCTGCTCTGGGTGCCGAGTACCCCCACTCCACTATTCCCTGGCTTTCCTTCTCTTCCCCTCTCACTGTCCCTGCTGTAGGATCTGCCCTTTTTTGGGGTGGCTCTTAGTAGAGGCTGTAGAGGTGGAGGTTATAGGGATTAGGGGCTCAGGCAGGAGGGCCCAGGCTGACAAACCTGATCGTGGCCAGGTCCCAATGCCCCAACCAGGCAGCATCTACCTCTCCTAGACCCCAGGATGGCAACGAGGGGCTTGGGGACCTACCCAGGCCGGAGGGCTGAGCAGACACTTACCAGGGCCACAGCGCTGCTCGTCCTTGGCCCTGTCTAGAGCAGCCAGGAAGGTCTTTGTGGGCTGTGGGCGAGCTCCCCACCTCACTTCCTGCCAGTTTGAAGCACCTCCCCAGCAGCCACTCAACCCTCCCTTGCAGCTGCTCCCACAGCCACCACTTGCCTCATCCACCTGCTGAGCCCCACCCAAGGTCTAGGCGTGATGCTGTGAGTCGCCAGCCAGCCCTGTTCTGAGGGCCTGACTCATGCCCCCTCACCCAATGAAGTGGACACTCGCTACTGAGGTGGGCAGAACAGGTCATGTGGATGATCAGAGGCTTGAATCTCAGACCCACCTGGCCAGGTCTCCCTGCCTCATAAATAAAGCTTCCCCAGGGCTGGTCTCCAACCACTGATCTCTGCATGTTTGTGAGTGCTGGGTACCATGGGAGCACCCTAGGCTCTTACCAGCTTGGTCAGAGAGTGGAGGGAAGGGAGAATGCCACTCTCCTGGGCCCCCTGACCCTGGGCAGGGGCAGTAGCCTCACTTGGGACCCTTCTGGCCCAACCTGTCTATTGTCATGACCCTGTGTAGACCCCTCTCCCCAGAGACCCCTCAGCGAGCTGAGTCTCCACTGAGTGACATTGTGATGAAATCACTTTAATGTCCTCACTAAGGAGATACCCAAGACACTGGCAGGTGGTAAGTAAGTGTCCAGAAGTAACTTGCAGCCCCATCTCCACTCAGCTCTGTCCACACACTCCAAGCTGGCAAGGTTGAACAAAGGGCAGACTGAGAGTGCACTGGCCCTCTTCAGGGGGTGTCCTAGGTGTTAGGGTGACAGCTGGTCTCCCCGCCAAGGGGACTGGAAGCTGGCATTCCAGGGCTCCCCCATGGTGTGTGTGGGTCTTTAGAACTCCGTCATCTTCCTGTGGGTGTCAGCCTTCCGCTGCTCCCGCTGTAGGCCAGCCTCCTGAGCTCGAAGCTGTCCCAGCTGCCGCTGGGCTCCTTCCAGCTTCTCCTGCAGCTGGGCTGCCGCCACGCTGTGCCTAGGAAGGGCCTGCCAGTCAGCGTGGCCTCCTGGCCCAATGCCACCAGGACCCCTCACTGCTGTGGGAATGCCTATCCTCCAATACCAAGACCTCCTCAGAATCATCACCACTCAGGTCAGGTAACCTCCCACAGGTATCCTGTGGGCATGCCACCTAGGACCCATACTCTAGCCTCAGTTGGACCCCACACATACCGGCCAGCATTCCGTCTGAGGGCTTCCTTGATGCCCCGGATGTCTCGTTGGGTCCGCTCAATCTTCTCCTCAGTCTGGAAGAGCCGTAGGCTCAGGGCTTGCTTCGCACTCTTGCTGGCATGGTATATGTCCTTGCTCCTCCTCCCTGGGGGATCCATCCCAGCTTCCAGGGCCCCAGGAACCCGGCTCTGCAGCTTCTCATTCAGGAAGTCGAACACGTTCCGAGGGGGTGGGCGGACCCTAGGTCCACCTCCACTTCCCTGGCATCGTGGGGGCCTGCTGACACTAGCCTGGCCCCTCTTGGTCCTCTTTTGCAGTATCTCTGCACACTGGTCCAGTGACTTTCCTCGAGGCAACACCACAGCATGGATAGGCTCCACCCGGCCTTCTGCATGTCGGCCCAGACCTAGGGAAAATGCAGGTCTGCTGCTAGTGCTGCTGGACCTCTCAGCTGCACTGCAGCACCCTACCCACTCAAAGTAGCATGCACTCACCCTTGCCAAACTCATAGCCCATCTTAGCGAGGAGTTTGGAGCCGATGCCCCGTGTGTGCACCTCCCAGCTGGCGAAGGCTGAATTGCAGGTTCCGGTGTCTGTGGTGCTGGATTCCACTACTGCAGGAGACAGAGGGCAGTGGCTCAGCCAGCCAAAGGACTCCCAGGGTGCCCTGGGTTCCAGCTCCTGGGCAGGGCCACAATCCCTTGCACCTCTGGGTGGCAAACTGGCTGCCCTGGGGCCAACTACACCTCCTTGGTTTATCACCTATGTCACCATAGACACAGGATTTGGAAACCAGCAGTTCATGTCACACATCCCTGGGAATGTCTATCTTCATCCTTACCAATCCCTTGGGAGGGCTGGACACTACCCACCATTTCTCCTTCCTGAAATCTGTGCTGTGGCTGTCTGGACATGCTTTCCATCTGCTAAGATTACTGCTTCACATACCCCCTACCCCAACCAGGCACTCAGGCCCAAAGTCTGGGAAGTCGGTTCCCTGATATGCTCCTTGTGTAATCAACTGGTCACTTCCTGTGACACTTTGGCAGGTCCAGCATTACAGTAATCCATCTTTTCACCCATGATTCATCCTGCATACCAGAGGCCATTGTGGTGCTTGGCCAGACATGCAGGGTCTGCCTGCAGCAAGCTCAAATCTGGATCCTGGAAGAGGTGTAGCTTGCTCATCCTGAGACCACAGTGTGGTTGCCACCTGGTACCATGCAGCTGTAACTGCTGTGCGTGTTCCTCAACCCTGTTCTAGGCCTGCACACACTCTCTGGTTCTCTGTGGCTCTCTGCTGTGGCTCCTGGTGCTGAGCTGGCTTCACATATCACTTACTCGCAGTTATCCCCATCAGTCAGATGCCTCTCAGGGTAACTGCGTACCCCCTTCCTGGCTCTGGGTCCTTACCTCTGGCATAGCTGGAGTCCCCTGCATCACCGTCGTCGGAGTCAGATGATTCTGTGGTCTCTGTACGCAGAGGAGGCAAAATACTGTCCCCTTCCACTGCAGCCTCCTTCAGCAGCAGTGAGTCAAACTTAACTGCGTAGAAGCCACTGTCCACGTCTGAGGGGAGACACAGGGTACAGGTCAATAGCTTTGATGAGTGGGCCACTATTCAGGAGCCACACGAAACATAGAGAGGGAAGGGGGAGGTGTTGAGCGCAAACTTGGTCCTCTTGGGCCCAGGCGGAGTCCCAGTGCCCAACCCAGAGGAGGTGGGGAGTGGCCATATGAAGCACAGAGAGGGTTTTCTTCAAAGAGCTCACCAGGGGGGCCCTGTGGCCAGCCTCACCCGTGATCCGTGCTGGGTGCCAGAGGCCATCCTGGTGCTTGGCCAGACATGCAGAGCCCACCTGCAGCAAGCTCAAATCTGGGTCCTGGAAGGGGCGCAGCTCATCCACAGAGACCACTTGCCCATGGGAGAACCTGCAGAGATGGCCACAGGAAGCAGTAGCTCAGACATGGCCCTCCAGGGGCACACAGGCCCAAGAGCATTAAGGCCATCACCAGGGCATTGTCCAGAAGGAAGCAAGACAGAAAGACAGACAAACATGCAAGCAAACACATATACATTTTCTCTCACACTCACACATATACACACGCACTTTCACATACATATACATGTGCCTTTTGCTCATATACACATACACTTTCATTCATATATGTACATACAGGTACACTGTCACATATTCATACACTTTTTCATGCATATACACAATCACACATACATGCACACACTACATACCAATATACACCTGCATATCCACATATACACGTGCAAACTTGCACGCATATATGCACACACATCTATGCACATTCTCAACATGCATATACACATTATCACACACGTGAACACACAACACAAATTCGTGTACTCTCATAAAACACGTGCACACATGCATACGCACTAATACACACCTATACCCATGCATAAACACACACGCGAACACACATGTGCACAAGCTTGAATTCTCCTTTAAGATCCACTGGGCAGATGCCTTGTGATCACAGTTTCTCATTCCCTCTTCATGAGACACAAAGCCCTGAACACCAGCAGTTATTCAGGTAGATGTACTGGAAGATGGATGTGTGCATGCATACGTGCACTGAGTCCTCCTCAAAACAAGTAGGAAAGTTGGATGTGGTGATGCACACCTATAATCCCAATACTTGAGATGCTGAGGCAGGAGGACTGTGAGTTTGAGGACCGTCTGGGCTATCTCACCTGTGTATGTGACACCATGTCTGAAAAAAACCTAAGAGAACCCAGTTCTAACAGTGCTGTAACTTTTAGATGTCAGTGCACCAGTAAAATTAAAACCAAAACCAAGCCTGAGAGAAAGAATGAAGAGGAAATGGGACAGACCTAAGACTGCAACTGTGAACCTTGCCAAATAAAGACATGAAAAAACTACCAACCACCCCACATGCCATCAATTCAGACAGGAAACTGTTTTAACGCCACAGGAGCAGCTGAGGGCTGGCATTCACTCCACAACTTTGCTAGGGCTGTTTTCCTAGACAAGTATCAGTGGGTGGGAAAGAGGGCCATGGAGCAGGGATGGTTCAGCAACCTCCCACAGATACACACAGATGGCCTCTGTCCGCTGCCTAGGCCAGCATTCTGGGAAGTTCCTTGCCACACTTGATTGTCTTAGGCACACAGGGCACTGCCAATGACCAACTGACACCAGTAGTTACACAGAAGCGGAGGTGTTTTTTTCTTATTTTAATACTATTGAAGCTAACTTGATAGTTATTCAAGCTACACTGTTACAAATTTAAGATGTTACTCATACCCTAGGATAATTGTTAAGAAAGTATCTAAAAAATTTGCAGACAAGGAAAAGGGAATCAGGAATCAAAAAGATGTGTGAAAAAAGTAAACATTAAAAGCAGTCATAGAGAATGAGAAAAAGACAGCTCTAAGACATGCAGAGACAAGCGTTCCTTCCTCAATGTGACTACTTTAAGTGTATGTAGATGAAACTATTTAAAAGGCAGAGCTTGGAAGAACGTATAGAAAACATTAACCAAATCTATGCTAGTTATAAGAGAATTATTTTGGATCCAAAGATGACAATAGGGCCTGGGGATGTGGCTCAGTGATAGACCACTTGCCTAGCATGCAGGAGGCCTTGGGCTCAATCTCCAACACCACAAAAATCTAAAACAACAAATAAACAAAAAGACAACAATAGGTTCAAAGTGAAAGGTAAAACATTCCATGAAAATTGATCTAAAGAGAGCTGGAGGCCTGTGGGCCATGGCTCAAGCTTCTGCCTAGCAAGTGCAAGGCCCTGAGTCCAAACCACAGTACTGAACAGAGAGAAGAGACGAGACAGAGATAGTGCAGCACAGAGTGCACTGGGATGGTTATATGAATATGAGACAAAATAGACTTAACTCAAGAACTGTTACAAAGGACAAAGAAGGATATTGATAAAAGGATCACTCTATCAAGAAAATATATGGGTTTACTCAAGCAGTAAGAGTGCCTGTCTAGCAAGCATGAAGCCCTGAATTCAAGTTCCAGTGCTGCCAAAAAAAAAAAAAAGAGAGAAAAATATAATTACAAAGTTATACATACCTATCAACAAATATAGGCATCAAAAATGAAAAGAAATGGAGAATGAAAGATATTTCTAAAGTACCAGAGACTTCAATACTCCACTTTCAATAACAGACAGAACCAGACCGAAGATTAACAAGGAAGAGGACCTGGACACTAGGACTGAGTAGACCTGATGGATAAGTGGGTAACAGTCCACACAACAATGTCAGAGCATATGTTCTTTTCAAGTGCAAATAAAACATTCTCCAGGATAGTCCATATTTTGGGTCACAAAACAAATCTCAATAAATTTTAAAAGACTAAAACTGTACAAAGTACCTTCTCTAACTACAAGGGATTAAAATTGAAATCAGTAATTGAAGCAAATCTGGAAAAATTACAAATACTAAAAATTAAGGACTGGAGATCCTGATTCAGTGTTATGAGTGCCGCCTTATCAATGTGCAAGTCCTACCACAAAAAGAAAAAAGTAAAACTGAAGCAACACTTTTTTGTCTGTTGTATTGGCGGTTAAATTCAGGGCCTTGGGCTTGCTAGGCAGGTGCTCTATCACTTCAGCCACACCCCCAGCCCTTTTGCTTTAGTTATTTTTGGGTAGAGTCTCATGTTTATGCCAAGCTGGACCATAAGCCTCCTATTTGTGCCTCCCATGCAGCTGGAATGACAGCTGCAATAAAGGCCCAGCCTTTATTGGTTGAGATGGGCTCTCACTTTTTGCTTAGGCTGGCTTTGAACCTTGATTCTTCTTAGCTCTACCTCTCGAGTAGCTAGGACTACAGCTGTGAACTAGGATTACAGGCATGCCGTGATTTTTTTTTTAAGGTATTGTCTCACTACATAGCCCAGTCTGGCCTGGAACTCACCATCCTCCTTCTGCCTTAGCCTCCCAAGTGCTAAGACTATGGACATCCACCAGCAGTCCAGCTGGTCAGTTGATTTTTTATTTTGTTTTGGTTTTTTGAGATAGGGTCTTGGATGTAGATGGGGTTTTGTGAACTTGTAATCCTCCCACTTTAGCCTCACCAGTGCTGGTCAACTGATTTAAAAACATCAAGATAGAAGGAACTCCTGGGCACCTGTGGCTCACAACTGTAATCCTACCTACTGAGAGACTGAGATCGGGAGGATCAAGGTTCAAGGTCAGCTTGGGCAAATAGTTAGAAAGAACCCCATCTCCAAAATAACTACAGCAAAATGGACTGGACGTTTGGCTTCAGCAGTAGAGTCCTGAGTTCAAATCACAGTCCCACAAAAACAAAACAAAAAAGATCTTTTCAACAAAAGATGCTAGGAAAACCAGAAATTCATAAGCAAAAGAATGAAGGTGAACCAGGAGCCAGTGGCTCATGCCTATAATTCTAGCTACTCAGGAGGCAGAGATCAGGAGGACTGAGGTTTGAAGTCAGCCTGGGCAAATAGTTCCTGAGACCCTATCTCGAAAATATACAAAAACAGGGCTGGTGGAGTGGCTCAAGTGGTAGAGCGCCTGCCTAGCAAGCCTGAAGCCCTGAATTCAAACCCCAGTACTGAAAAAAACAATGAAGTTGGACCCTTACTTAATATCATGTATAAAAATTAACTCAAATAGACCAAAGACTTAAATTTAAGAGTGAAAACTATAGAAAACATAGGTGAAAATTCTCATAACGTTGGATGAGACAATGGTTTCTTAAATTTGACAGCAAAAGCTGAGCATAGTGGCTCATGACCATAATCCTGGCCACTCAGTAGGTAGAGCTCAGGAGGATCAAGATTGAAGGCCAGTCCTGGCAAAAAGTTCAAGAGACTCCATCTCAGTCAATAAAAACCTGTGAGTGGTGGTATGTGCCTATCATCTCAGCCACTCAGGAAGTGTGAATAGGAGGATGGGGGTCCAGCTGGCCTGGACATAAATGTGAGACACTACTGAAAAAATAACTAATGCAAAAAAAGGGCTGGGGGTGTGGCTCAAGTGGTAGAGTACCTGCCTAGCAAGCACAAAGTCCTGAGTTCAAACTTCTATAGTGCAAAAAAAAAAAAAAAACCAAAACAAAACTGACATCAAAAGCCTAGGTAATAAAAGAGCAAGCCAGGTGTGGTGGTACACACCTGTAATCCAAGCTACTTGGGAGGCAGGGCTGGATCAGGAGGATCATGGTTCGAGGCCAGTTGGGCCGAAAGGTTTTAAGACTCCATCAGAATGGCTGGGCTGTCGTCCTAGCAAGGTGGGGAGGCACAGATAGGAGGATCAAGGTCCAGGCTGGTCTGGGCATAAAGTGCGACCCTATCTCAGAAACAGACAACCCTAAAAGACTGGGGGCTCAAGGGGTACAGCACTTAGCTCACAAGCATGAGCCCTGAGCTCACCCCCAGTACTGCAAAAAGAAAAAGAAGAAAGAAACAACAGATGAACTGGACAACAGTGACAAGACGACCCAGAGATAGGAGAAAATATTTGCAAATTATGTATCTATAAGGGGCTGGTAACATCAGAGCAACCCAAATCATAAACGGGCAACAGCATGTGCAAGGTTTGTTTGTTTGTTTGTTTGTTTTTTAAGCAACACAAACTTTTATGAATGTGCAAGTTTTTGGATTTGAGCCACAGCACTGAAAAAAAAAATGACAAAGGCAAAATATTTGAACAGACATTTCTCCAAAGAGAAATAAGCTTATTTACAAATAAGCCCATGAAAATATACTTAACACAGCAAGCCAATCAAAACTACAATGAGATAACACTTTAAACTCACTATGATCACTATTATCAAAAAATGGAAAGTAGTAATTGTTGACATGGATGTGGAGAACTAGATCCCTTGTGCCCTGCTGGTGACAATATAAAATGGTGCAGCCACTTGGGGAAAAGTTTGGCAACTGACCTGACCTAGTGATTATCTATATGTATATTTTTAAGGATAAAATAAATACCTTTTAGGGGAATATAACCGAAAGAACTGGAAACACGTACTCAGGTACTGGCACACCCATATTCTTGGCTGCACTATTCACAACAGCCAAAAAGTGGAAACAAATAATCTAAGTATCCACCAACAGATAAAAGTGATACAGCCATACAATGGAGTATCATTCTGCCATAAAAAAGACTTGAGATGCTGATACAAGAACTGGGTGGGATAGGAAGAGGGAGTGAGACCAAATAAAAACACTCATGTTTCCTGTCTCTTTCTGTGTGACATCCTGCACCTCTTTGGCACTGTGACAGGAGGAAGGACGTCACCTTTTGACATTGGATCTACAAAACTGTGTTAAGTGTTTTTTTTTTAAATTCATTTATTCATATGTGCATACATTGATTGGGCCATTTCTCCCTCCTGTTTTTTTTTTTTTAATAAAGTTAGGCTTCTTAGGTGTTTTTTTATATTGATAAAAAATGGACTAATTATCTCTAGAATTTCTTCTATTTTTAACATCTTACATTACTATAGTAAATTCGTTACACATTTGTTACAACTAAAAAAAAAAGAACTGGGTGGGGGGTGGTGACTCAGTGGTAGGAAAAAAATTCTGATACATGCTACAACATAGAGAAACCTTGAAAACACAATATTAGGGGTAGGGGCATGGCTCAAGTGATATACCACCCACCTAGCAAGCACACTCAGTTCAAACCCTAATACAACAAAATCCAACCAGCCCACCAAACAACAAAAACTCCACAACGCTATGTTAAGTGGAACAAGCCAGAGAACATGTGTATGACGCGTTTGTAAGGCAAGCTCAGAGAGAGACGCAAAGAGGGGTTCTGAGGGTTTGGAAGAAAGGGGTCTTGGGAGTTATTCCTTAATGGGTACAGGGTTTCTGTTTGGGATGAAAGTTCTCAACATAGATAGTGATGATGACTATATAACATGGTGAATATTAGTTAAAAACTACTGAATTTTTCTTTTTTTCTCTTTGGTGGGACTGGGGTTTTAACTTAGGGCCTTGTGCTTGCTAGGCACTCTACCACTTACTTGAGTCATGCCCCAGCACTTTTTGCTTTAGTTACTTTACAAATAAGGTCTCGTGTTTTTGTCAGGGCCAGCCGGGATCATGATCCTCCTATTTATGTTTCCTGTGTAGCTGGGATGACAGGTGTGTGCTACCATGACCACTTTTTATTGGTTGTGATGAGGTCTAACTTGTTTTGCCTGGGCTGGCCTCAAGCATCAATCTTCCCAGTCTCCACCCCCACGTAATTGTGATTACAGGCATGAGCCACCATGCCTGACCCCAGGATATCATATTTTTAAAAGTTAATACGTCACTTTCCCAAAATGAAAAAGAATGAATTCATTATTTGGGAAAATAAGCAAACAAGACAGAAACATCCAGCATTTATTCTCCTTTCCTACGTTAACTGTAGGGTGGCCAAATGAGGAACTGTGCCCCTTTCATTTTGGCTAACAGATGATGCCTCCTGATAAACGAATGGTACCTGGTCCTGCTGAAAGGATTGTGCATGAGTGTGATCAAGCACCTGGATCCAACAGCAAATACGCAGGAACTGCAACACCACGTGTAGAACGTCACCATAGGTGTTGACTGATGAGCTAAAGGATCTGGTCCTTTTAACAGAGAAGCAGTGAGGACAGGAAAGGCCTGCAGAAGTGTGAGAATGGCTAGATTCAGCTAGAATCAGGTTTGGAAAATGGGCAAGGATGAATTATAGTGTTTACATCAGTTACACTTGATATACAAGAGGTACGTGTCATAGAGATTATTTTTGGAGGAGGGAGAAAGCTGTTATGGGTTGAGGTGCACAGTAACAAAGTTCACCTGTGCTGCTCCTTGTTAGGGGCTTATGGGGTGGCTGGCAAGTGGTAGTTTGGATCTGAATGGTAATAGCCAGGGTTTACTTTAAAATAGCTCCCTACATTGTCTTTTCCATATCTGAACTTATTTCACAATAACCAGGTAAAGAAGTCCACCTGTGCTGCTCCTTACATACCATTTTACATCCTTGGCATGAGCTAATGCATTCTATTCCTCCCGTATCTAGGGATGGTTCTCATCTGTTTTTCAGAGGGGAGGGAGATGGAGATTAAGCTGTAACAAATGTGTGGAAAGATGCCTGACTCTGAGGGATACAGAGAAATACAAATTCTGTGCAGATGCTATTGCCCAGCCTTTTCAATGGCACAAATCTGAAAGTTGGACAATATTACTGTAGGCAGCAGGAATACGATTAGTAACTAGGCAATGTCATCCAGAAACCAAAAATGTGTATACTCTGCACCAAAATGTGCATATAGGGTTCACTATACGCTGGTGGTGCAAGAGTACAGATGTCAAGATATTTGGTGTATGTTGTTTGTAATAAATGGAAGTCAAAAACCATCAGAAGGGGACAGAATAAGTAAAATGTGGTATATAAGGAAAAAAAAACATAGCAGTTAAAATAAACCAGTTATATAAATATCAACTTGGATGTCTCTCAAAATCACACTTACTAAAAAGGTTGTAAATGAACCATACTGTACAATACCATTTATTTAAAAGAAATTAAAACAAAACACAGATATATACCATTTATAGACGCGTCTTAGAGAATCACTATTGTTTAGAAAGATATACACCAAATTTGTCATAACAGCGGGGGGAGGGGGAAGAACACTTCAACACTGTCTATATTATTTCTTCTATTTTAGAAAAATCCAAAGCAAATCCAAGGAAATAACTTGGGTGGTGGTGAGGTGGGTGTTCTAAGATGCTTTACTGTCTTCAGTTCAGACCCAAGCTGACACGGCAAGCAGCATCAGATGAACAGTGTCAGGGCCCAGCAACCCTGGACTGATGACTAGTGGCACAGTACCTGTCTTCCCATCTGTAAAACGGGGACTGGCAAGGCTAACCTACACGATTGTTGCACAGAGCAGTGAGCATGTGCAAATCAGAAGAAATACATCATATCTCTCACCACAGAGTAATCTGGCAGGAAGGTGATTTGGCTGCTGGTCACATGGACAAGGAAACCCAATGAGCACACTGATGACTTAAGCACCTTTCGCAGGAACAGGAGGAAGGGGAAGGAGGAAGGAAGAAGGAAGAAGGAAATATGCCAAGTCTATTAAGAAATACGATGTGCAGAGTATAGATGTGACCATGACAACCAAGAAGTTGGAGCGACAGGAGGAAGCCATGAACCACGGAATGCAGAAGGTCTCCAGAAGCAAAAAAGGCAAGGAAATGTACTCTTCCTTCAGACCTCAGAAGGATCCAACCCTGCTAACACTGTGACTACAGCCAACTGAGAATGATTTTGGACCTCAGCCTCTAGAACTCTAAAGGAATAAATTTGGGTCGTTTTAGTACTCTAAAAGGAAAACAAAACCAAAAATGTCCAAAGAACTGGGGGTAATTACCCTGGACTACTGGCTGAGTAAATATTACTCCTGAAGATAAAGTAAAAAAAAAAAGATGACGGTAATACACATGAGGTATTTCTGTCACATTTGTTCAATAACATCCTTAGCAGCTAGAATAGAGGGACATGCTAGGCATTTAGGGTGGAGGAAAAAAACAGGAGCTTGTGAAATTTGCTTTAAATTAGCCCAGAAAAAGGAAAAAAAAAAAAAAAAGTTGGATAGACAAAACAGATGAAAGGAGACTGGAAAATGTGGTAAAGTTGAAGACGGGTATGTTTGAATATTTCCATAACATTAAGTAAATTTTGGGGGCTGGGCTGTAGCTCAGTGGTAGAGTAGGCCGGAGAACCTAGGTTTCATCCTCAGCACCGCCCCCTCATCCCCCCCCAAAAAAAGGAGAAGTACATTTTAACAGCTTCATTTTGGAGAATAAGCTGATGAAGGGTCTGGGGCCAGGTCTTCTCAACATCAGCCCTTCCAAGACTTCTTGATTTACCCAAGAGGATGGAAGGACGCTACTGTACAAACCTGCCTGCCACCGGGAGCTCTCTCACTGCCAGAGCCCTGCTGCACAGAGGACAACGCGGCCAGGCAGAGGGAGGGCCACAGTGCCTGCTGCTAGCAGCAGAGGGCTTTACCTGCAGTTCTCCTGGAAGCGGCACTTTCCCTCCAGGAAGAACGGGCAGGGCTTCAGGGACTTGTGCGTGGGGTACAGGTAGAGCACGCGCACGCAGGCTGTGCCGTCCTCCGCCTCTTCAGTGCCCACAACCATGGCGTTGTGATACTCCAGGGTGCCCCACGCGCTGTAATAGGGCGCGTTCACCTTGGCACCGCTCAGCTCGTCCTCCGGGTCGTGGTCCCCTCTCTCTCCGCCTTCCTCTGCTCGCGCAGGTGTGGGGCGTTCCGGCCCCGCCTCCCTCTCGGGGACAGCCTCCAGGTCGGCCCCGGGGGCGGCGGGCACCTCCACCCCCTCGGCAATGGCCTTCTGGAAAGCCAGGTACTCGGCGTCTTCCGGGACTTGGCGCCCTTGGTCCAGCGTGGCCAGCAGCTTGCTCTTCCTGACAGACGCCAGGCTGGCCTCCGTGAGCTCGATCAGTTCCTTGAGGTCGCCCTGAAGCTGGCGCAGGTCCGCCTGCTCGGACGCGTCCAGGCCCGCAGCCAGGGCCAGTTCCACCTGCTGCAGCTGGGCATGGTAGTTCTGCACAGCTGTCTCCAGACTCTCCTCGTCCATCCCGACGGCAGGCAGGTCCGCCAGGGGAGTAGTGGGCAGAGCTCAGGTGAGCCCGGGACCAGCCGCTTCCCCCTGAATGGACGGAGCTCTCTCGAGGAGGACGACGGCTCCCAGAGCCGGGCCCGTACTGCGTGCCGCCCGGCCGCGTTCCCTTTCCGGAGCGCGGCCAGGGCCTGCAGTCAGTGACCTCGCAGCAGCCCCTGTCCCCGCCGCCCTCACGGATAGAGCTCCTGCGCCCGCCTTCCGCCAGCCGCCGGCACTTCCTCCCGAGCGTTGACGTCAGCGGAAGTGCCCACGCGCAGGGGCCGCCGGGATGCGGCGCGGGGGCCGCCGGGATGAGGCTCCGCCCCTGCCCCGGCCGCTGGCCTGTGTCCCGTCTATCGCCGCACAGGGTCAGCGCGGGGTCGGTAGGTTCAGAAACGCGGCGGCGGCGGCTCCGAGACTTGAGCCGGTGCAGGTGGGCCGCGACCGGGCCGCGCTGGAGTCCCGGGGGCGGCGGGGTCTCGGGGTCGGCGGAAATCAGGGGCCATTCTGCCCGTCCGCGGCCTGAGCCCTGCGAGTCCTGACGGACGCGCCCGGAGCTTGCTGGCCTGCGGTCCGCACTGGAAGTTACAGATGCGGTTCCTGGAGCCGCGGGAAGGGTCCTAGGAAGAGGAGCCTGGAGAGGCGGGATCAGGGGAGGCCGCAGCGTGTCCTCGGGGCAGAAGGACAAGCGGATCTATATTCTGAAAGGGCGGTGGGGGTGGTCCAACAAAGGGGGACAAGTCACCGGGCTCCAGATCTGAGCAGCTAGCAGAACAGACTGCTCACTAAGGGGAGGAGGTGGGAGGCGGGTGCGGGTGCCATGACATCTCCTGGGGTGTCCAGGGCAGGATGTACACGCTGCTGTCCGGGCTGTACAAGTACATGTTCCAGAAGGATGAATACTGCGTCCTGATCCTGGGCCTGGACAATGCGGGGAAGACAGTAAGTACCTTTTCTCTTGTCAGCTCCCCTCCTCGCCTGGTGGTCTGCTTTTTTTTAATTCCCCTCTTTGGTGGGGCTGGGATTTGAGCTAAGGACTTCCCCCTCCAAGAGCCGGTAGAGCAGGTGGCTTGAGCCACACTTCCAGTCCATTTTGCTCTGGTTATTTTGAAGATGGGGTCATGGGAACAATAGCTGGGGCTGGCCTCAAACTATAAATCTCTGGATTTCAGCCTCCCAAGTAGCAGGATTACAGGCATGAGTTTGGTTCTATATGGGCAAGTTCATCACTCAGAATCCAAGCCCCTCCTGAGACCACAGGATGATCCCTACCAACTTCATTCGTTTCTTAAGGAATAGGTTCAAGAAGGGATATTTGGGAAACACTCCTGGAAAACTGCTCTAGCTGCTAACTACCTCTTCCTCTTTCCTCAGACCTTCCTGGAGCAGTCCAAAACCCGGTTTAACAAGAACTACAAGGGGATGAGTCTCTCCAAAATTACCACCACTGTGGGTCTAAACAGTAAGGGAACATTTAGGAATGAGAATTTAGGGGGTCCCCAGCCCTGTCAAGCCTCTGCTCAAGCTCCCGGAATGGCACCAGAGTGGTTTGCTCTGTTCCCAGGAGAGCTGGGATTAAGGTCATGAGCTAGCCTCTTCTCTTCTTTCCCTAGTCGGCACTGTGGACGTGGGAAAGACTCGCCTCATGTTCTGGGACTTAGGGGGGCAAGAAGAGCTGCAGTCTTTGTGGGACAAGGTGAGAGTTAATGCCACTTGCCCCATGTTGTTTCTCTCCAGATGGTCCCCCTTGGTCTCTTCCTCCCTGAGAGCTTCTGTTACCCACTTAATTCCTGAGCGTTTTCTCTGAAATCCCATCTCAGGCTCACAAGTCTCTCCCTGTTTCATCTTTGCCATACTTGTAGCTGGGAGTGCCCATCTTTCTCTGGATGGGTCCAGTTTAGGTACGAAAGGAAGAGGCACTACCTATCAGATTGGTCACTGCAGAGCACTTCTGGGGAACTCACAGAGGCCTGTGCCTGTCCTAGGGCAGACAGCAAAAGGGCTGTTCTACCTGGCATGTCCCTGACAAGGAGGCTAGGAATGGGTTTATAAGAGGGTTTAAGGAATCTGGCTCAGGACCAGTTATTTTGAGCGTTCGGGGGAACAACCTAAACCCCTTACCAGTGACTGGGGGGGTTCAAGGCCCCAGCATGGACTCAGCCTGAAGAAAAAATTCTGCAGGTGACTGTGTCACAGAGTGTCAAGGCACTTGTGTTTTTCAAGGAGGATAAGGGAAAAAGTGGGAGAACCAGGGAGACTTAGCACACCCCCGAAAGTGAGACACACTACCTTAGAGATTTTTGTGACTGGTTACTATAGGACAAGACAAAAATGACATCAGATGCAGTGAAAGCACAAAGCCTGCGTCTCCTGCTGGGACTGACTGCCTTGCTTCTAGTTTATCACCTATTTATTTTCCCCATCCCAGGGAGGCTGTCCTCAAAGGCAGGCAGCAGCTGCCTCTTCTTTTAATGTGGGTTTTGGGTGTTCCTGAGACTTCATTATTGTGCCCCTCTCCACACTTCCACATTGGAGTCTTTCCATCTCAGCCTGGGCTGAGCTGGGTCCAGCATTGAACAGATCTAGCCCTTCTCTACAGTGAGCTCCTGCCCAATGGGTTGGTGTGGTGGGTTTAGGTCCTGTGGTGCAGGTGCCTTGACCACCCTGATGCTTGCCAGCTATTCTGTGTTAGAACTTAGAGCCCAGGTCCCAATTTTGACCCCAGTTCTCTTTTCTGAGCCCCACCAAAGTGTTCCCTCCTGCCCTGACTTCCAGCCAAGAGGATATCATCAATCCTGTAGCAAGGTCTATGCCACCTAACTTGTACAGAGAATGAACCAAGCCAGGCCTAATTTTCCAAATGCCAGACACACGTGGGGAGTCCCACAGATAATGGCATTCTTGTCACAGCTGGGGGCGTGAGAACAGACACCAAGACAGGTTGGGTATAATGTAGGTATTGGGGTCAGCATCAGGAAGACAGTAGGGATAAGGCAGAGAAAGGTCAGTTCAGGTGGTGAGATCAGTGGACTGTGGCTGACCCAGCTGGGAGCCCTGTAGGAGAATCCTGGTCACAGCTGTCCCATGTCAGCTTAAACTAGCTGGAACTCCATACGCCATCTTGTGAGTCACCAGTATGGTCAGGTATGACTTGGTAAGGTGCTCTTAGCGGCCAAAGTAGGTCCTGTAGGAGCCAAGTTGAGGCTGTCAGCGGTCTGCCCTGCCTGCCTCTGGGCAGTCATGCCATAGCCCACCTGTGCATTGTTGGATTCATGCCATTTTTCTGGTTAATGATATCTCCCAAGGGAGAAACTGGGAGGAGCCTCTCCTAAGGGGAAACTGGCAGGGGGAGGTTAAGGGTTGGGTGACAGTCTTGGCAGCTAGCTGTGGGGCTGTATTCATCTTTGTTGCCACCTCTTGCTGGAGTGTGACTTTCTGGTAAGCCTAAGCCCTTCTCCAGGCGGCTGACTGTATCACTGTGCCTTCTGCCAACGTGGACAAGTTATCTTTGGACACAAGTTGTATAACATGCCCACCAGGCAGCCGTGGCTTGACTTGGTGGCTCTGCTGAGTGTAGGCTGCTTTGCTGGACAGGATCCCAAACGCTGCAGAGCCCATAGTTGTGCGGGTGGACAGCAAAGCTTTCCCCTTCCCTGGGTCACTGGGAGGGACCAGTAGGGGGTCTCCTGTTCCCACCTCTGTTCCCGGATGCTGTGTCTTTGCCAGAGCCCAGTGCTTCAGAATGGTGTCTAGCTGGAGAGTTGGTGGTGTCCTGGGTTCTGGTGCCCCACAGTGTTGTGTTCACTGGGCACTGAAGCTGGCCCATCACTGTATGACAGTGTCCAAGTATGTAGCCATGCGTGTTTGCAGCCTAAGGTTCTTTGTTGTGACATGACTCTCCTGGACTGATGTGACTTAGCATAGGATCATAGGCTGGCATCTTGTGCCTGGGGGGCTCCCATTACTGCTAGGGAGACAAACTTGCACTCAGGGTTCCTCTGATATACTTGAGGGATAATAGCCCATGGACTCAGCCATGCTGCTGCTAGACGAGGCACCTAGTATTGTCTCCCTTGGTCTTAATGAGAGGAGCCTGCCACCATGGTCAGTGCTCTCCATTGTCCAGCACTGCATCTCTGTATCGGGTCAGTAGAGTCAATTCATCCCCAGCAGATTCATGGGTGGACCTTGAGATAGGAACCCAGGCTTCATTCCCCATGTCTGCTGCTTATATCCACCCCAGGCTTCTGCTGCCCACTCTGCTGACAGGGTGCTGCTATCCATGGGTTTGTGCATGTGCTAGTCTCAGCCATGACTTCCCACACAAGCATGCCACGTGGGTGGCAGGGCTTCTATCCCTCAAGACCATGCACGAGAGAGGCTGGTGCAGCTGCTGTCCACCTCTGGCCTGTATCAGTATGACCAGCTGGTCCAAACATGAGCCCTGAGCCATACATGTGTATTTCCATCTTCTGGTTATATAGGTCCCCTATATGGCCATAGGCATGACCCTTCACTGGGGTAAGTGTGCCACTCCCATCTCACTACCTTGTGCCTGTCAATGTGATGGGAGGCTCTGGCTAATTGGCCTCAGGGTCTGTCACTTAGTCACCTGTGACCCTGCTACCTTGCATGGGAGCTGCAGGTACTGCCAGCTGAGTCTCACTGGGTTTGCTGGAAACCACAGTGTCCATTTCCATCATGGTTAGCTCCACAGTAGGACTTTACCAGCTCTCATGTTTGTAGCAAGAGGCCAATCTGCTGTCTGGCTTCCTGGAGCCAGCAACCTCTGTGCCAGGCCCATCTCTAGTTGCAATCCTGTCTGGGTCTCACTGCAGAGTCCTCTGGGAGGCACCTCGCACTAGCCTCCTGTCCCTGTGGGAAGAACAAGTACATAGTCTTACAGGGGCAGGGTCCTAAAGGTCTTGTAGAGCCAGCAGACTATTTCTCTCCTAGTCACCCACCCTGGGAGGTGCATGTAACCACTTGCTTGTCCTTCCCTGTCAGCAGCACATCCTTACACCAGTCAGTGTCAAGTTCTGTGCCTCTGGAGTGGGAGAGCTGGCATGGCCCTGAGGCAGAGTGGCAAGTGTGTGCTATTTCTGCTCCACATGGATGTAGGTGTTTTCCCATGATCTTTTCTGGTTAGGGTAGAAACACAATACCAAGTCCATGCCCTGTCTCCATTGCCAGATGGGCCTCTACCTCTTGTGCCCACCTTGCCCATCTGTCTTGCCCCAGCAGTGCTGTCCATTGATCGCCATTGTTGGTGAACTCAGGGTAGAGCAGTTTCATAGGTGATGCTGGTCTCCCTACTATCTTCTGGTGGCTGCAGTCTGAACTCCTTCACCCCCTGCCCTGCTTCTCTTTCTAACCATCGTCAGACCAGGGGTGCATGGGGTTCTCTGGAGCAGCACCTGGGCAGGGGGAACTTGACCACCTCACCAGGGTCAGCAAGCCTTTCCTTAAGGGCCAGGGGCATCTCCACCACTGAATCTTCCCAGAAAGCACTGGAGCAGATCTTCTCACATGTGTTCCCTGACTGGCCTGGGGATAGCAGAGTCTCCAGCACTCCGCCTGCCTCTTCCTCTCATGGGCCCTTCTGATGGTTGTGACATTGGGCCTGGCTGAGTTAGTCCTGGGAGAGGTCAGCTCCAGCCTCCAGCTCCCACTGCTTCTCTCCAGTACTATGCAGAGTGTCATGGCGTCATCTATGTCATTGACTCCACTGATGAAGAGAGACTGTCGGAATCCAAACAGGCATTTGGTGAGTGTAGCCCTGCCACTCCCACAGGGGAAGAGATCAAGGAGCTGCATCTAGGAGGCGTGTGGGAAGGAGCTGGGGAGATGCTCAGGTCCAGTTTGAACATCCCATATGTCTAGATTTGGCTTTGAAGGAGGCTAGTCCAGCACTATGGCAAGTGCCGTGCTTTTGCCAAGAGGGCCCCAAGCACATTGCTCAGGCTGCTTGGTGTCCAAGGGAAAGGGTAGAAGGGGAACGGTCTCTGCTGTCTACACCTGTGGGTCCCTGGACAGGGCCTGCAGTCAGGCAGGGTGCAAGGCCCCGCCTCTTTTGCCCTCCCCAGAGAAGGTGGTTTCGAGCGAGGCGCTGGACGGTGTCCCCATCCTGGTGCTGGCCAACAAGCAGGATGTGGAGGTGAGCCCCGCCCTGCCTCCCTGCACAGCTTCTCCAGAACCCCTGCATCCCCATTGCAAGAGATATGATAAGCATATGCCTCCTCAGAGTCCCTGAGCCCATGTCTGCCCTTATGCAGAGCTCGTCAAGGCCCCTCCTGCCCCAAAGTATCAGGACCTCCAGCTTCGGTTCCTCCCTGGGTGTTATGCAGCACTGCCACTGCTAGGGCAGACCTGTCCCCACTGGATGTTCTCACACCCCAAATACAGGCACCATCCTCCTGCCATGCAGGGTGCCTTCTCCCCACTGGAGGGCAGTGGTGGCCCATCCTGGGAGTGTGGGGCCTGCAGGAGACCCAGCTGAAAGCTCTGAGCTCAGAGAAGTGCTGGGGGAGGGGGTGAGAACTTCAACCCAACCTGACCCTGCCTCCTTGAACTCGGTGCTTCTTGGAGGTGATACTGCCTGGGACTACTGTTCCATATGGCCCCTGTTCATGAAGGAGCTCTGCAGAGAAGCAACTGCAGAGGCTTTTGTGGCTGCCAGTGCACCATGTGTCCCCCCAGCCCCCTCTATCCTGTCCTATGTGACTTGTTCCCATTTACTTTCCTGTCCTGAAACCCCTAACAGAGGGACCCCCTGGTATGGGGTGGAAGGGTATTTTTTTAGGAAAAGAGCAGAGAACCTCTTCACAGCTGGTGAACCTGCCAACTCAGTTCTCCGCCTCAGAGCTCACTGCCTGTGGCTCTTCTGGGGGATGCCTGTGGAGTAGGGTGTGGGGGCTTCTGTGAGGTAGGTTCCCAGTGGCCTTTCCTTGGAGTCCTCTGGGCACCACCAGCCATAGACAGACTCAGGCTGAGTGCAGTATCCTGACCACTGGCCTCAGCAAGGGCACTGGATCCCTGATTTCCTGGGAAGAGGGGCTGATGCCTTCCTGAGAACCCACGGGAGCAGGTGGGATGGGGCCAGGTCTTGGGACAGCTCCTCATGGCCTCACCTCCTCTGCCAGACCTGCCTCTCAATCCCTGACATCAAGACTGCATTCAGTGACTGCACCTGCAAGATTGGCCGGAGAGACTGCTTGACCCAGGCCTGCTCTGCCCTCACAGGGTAAGGGGGGGAGGGGGCTTGCCCCACAGTGTCCTCAGAACCCAGACCACCTGCCTCACATCCCTGTCTCTGCAGCAAAGGAGTGCGAGAAGGCATTGAGTGGATGGTGAAGTGTGTCGTGCGGAACATCCACCGGCCGCCCCGGCAAAGGGACATCACGTAGCACAGCTGGCTCCCCTGTATCGACCATGTGTCCCCTAGTGCTGGAGGAGTGTGCTCCTTGCTGGCTCCTGTGTCACTGATCCTTGGGGTTGGGTTTGCTTTGTTTTTGGTTCTTTTATTTGCTGTTTTCTCTAAGACAAACTTTTCTTTGTGTCTGGAAAAGTGTTAGGCATCCAGAGGCTTCTGCCAAGGGGCATGAGGCACCTGGGCCAGTCTGGTTCCACACAGACCCCCGGCCTTGCCCAATACCCTGCAGGACCTGGGGCTCTCCCAGCCCAGGTACTAGGGTGGAGGTGGGTGGTGCAGCCTTGTCTGGACAAGCTTTCCCCTAGGTCTGCCTATCACCCATTCTAAGGTGGGTCTGAGGGAAGCCTGGTTGAAAATAGGGGTTTGGCTCTGGCACCTCTTCTGTCCAGTTTGCTCATGAAAGGCGGATGTGGCCAGGAAAGATCTTAGAGGTGGTCTAGAGGCTGGTCTCGACAACTAGACCTAGTCTACATCCCAAAAGGGCTACCAAGGGGATTTTTGCTTTGTTGAGACAGAATCCCACTGTGCAGTGCACACTGGGCTGGAAGTCATTGTTGTAGCCCAGGCTGGCCTCAAACTCTTGATCCTTCTGCCTCCCCTACCTGAGTGCTGGGTTTACAAGTGTGGGACACCATGCCCTGCTCCCTTTTAGATTTTGATACAACCATGGGCAGGGCTTAGGAGACCTGCCTGGAAAGCCATACCTCTTCCACTGACCCATTCTTACTTTGTTTTAATGTCCAGGGAAGGACAGTATGGAGACATTGTTGTGTCAGTTGTGCTGGGTATGCATGCGCTTATATTTCACACACACAAACACACACAGTGGGTGGTTTTCCTGGGGACACAGAATCTTGCTGCCAGCCAGATATGACTGGCCAGCTCAAGTGGTCCCCTGGATGCCTGTTTTGATTTAGGTACACTGGGTTCCTTCAGGGCCCGGGTCTGCATCCCCAGCTGGAGGTGAGAAGCAGGGTCCTGAAGTGCCCCAACACCCTTGGAAAGAGAATGTTTGTTCTCCCTGGGGAGGGATTGGGAGCCCTGCAGGTGGAGCTGTTCCTCTGTCCTTCCTTTCATATCCCTGCAGGGACTGTCACACCCAAGGGGCCTGGCTGACCACTCTGCCCTTCCCAGTGTGGCCAGGGCAAGAACGCTGGCTCCTGACCATAGGCTAGCTCCCCACTGCCTGGACTTGGTGACCACAGAAGGAACTCCCTAGGCAGGCTTGGAGCAATGGCCTGGCCACAGCTCCTTGTTCAAGGGCAGGTCACACCCGACAGCACCCTGGTGGGGAGAAGAGTGGTGTATCTGCGATTCACAGGAGACCTCTGGTCTCCTCCCAGGGTTTTCTTGTAGGTTGTGTCCCAGGACTTGAAGGAAGGGCTTAGCCTCAGAAAAGAAACAGCCACCCTGATGGGGGAGGGTGGCAGGAGCAATTCCCCAGGTCACTCTGGAGGGTCTGGAGACTTCAGATCCTCCTCACTTCCCAGAAGACACTGGGCTGGAAGATGCCTGGCTGGGTCCCTCCTGTGGAATCTGTAGGAGTGGGTAGGATCAAAAGGTGGGCAGGCTGAGGGGTATCCTCAGTGAGGCATCAGGGCACTACACCGAGTGTCATGCCCTGACCACCCTACCTCAGTGCAGGGAGCAGAGGGGAACTTCCTACGGAGAGCGGTCATCCTGGTCCACGGACTAGCAGTTGGGAAGCCTGCAGGATCAGAAGCACCTACTCAGCCCAGGGTCCCCCACAGGTCTTGGAGCGGAGGTGCAACTTGAGAGCAGCTGGTTTTATGAAATGCTTTATAAAATAAACCTTGAAGTTTCCTTTTGTGTGGCTCAGCAATGCTTAACTGGGGCTTGGAGTGTAGAATAAATAAGGTGGAGCACGCAGGGGAGCTACATGCTGTTGCAGCCGGGGCAGTCCAGCCATACAGTACCCCGCCCTGCGCCTTGGCAAGCTCCAAGAGTTGCTGCTGCAGCTGTAAGCCCTCATGGCCCTCCCTTGGTGGCGATGGGCTCTGTTCCCGTTCCCCAGGGCCTGCTGAAAACGCTGCGGCCTCTTGAAGGAGATGTCCTGGAAAATTCGAAACCAATGAGCACACTCAGGCTCCTTGGTCCCTGATAGTAGGCTAAGGGTGGGGTGCGTAGGTCACAGAATTCACAGGCCAAAAGAAATCTCTGTGTCCTGGAAAGCAATGAGCACAATCCTGAGATGCTCCAGACCTGAGTGCAAAGCCCTGGGGGGGCTGCTGTGTTGGGAAAGAGAGGTGTAGGGTCTGCCATACCCTTTGAGGAGCCACTCTTAAAAACCTCAAGTTTCCTCCTGGGTGCTGGTGGCTCACACCTGTAATCCTAGCTACTCAGCAGGCAGAGATCAGGAGGATCGCGGTTCAAAGCCACCCTGGGCAAATAGTTCAGGAGACGCTGTCTCGAAAAAATCCATCACAAGAAAAAGGGCTGGTGGGGCGGCTCAGAGTGTAGGCCCTGAGTTCAAGCCCTAGTATCAACAAAAAAGGGAGGGAGGAGGGGAAAAAAGAAATACCTTACACAAAGAAAACGGTGGAGCGGCTCAAGTGACTGAGTGCCTGCCTAGCGAGAATGAGGCCCCGAGTTCAAACTTCAGTACTGTCAAAAAACCAAACGAACCTCAAGCTTTCTGGCTCTATTTCCCAGCGTCAGAGGAAGCACTGTCACCTTGGGCGGGTGTGCTTGACACCCTACTCGGAGATCCCCAGGTTAAGCGCGGATTTAGCCACGGTGGGAAGAGGCTCCCTGGGGCCCTAGCGCCGACCCCACAAAGTTTTGCAAGCTCTTCCCTGCCTGCCCCACAGCCTCTGACTTACCTGGGCCCAGGGGGCCAAGCGAGAAGCCAGTGCAGCTGGTGCGCAGGGCGTCGCGGGAGAAGCCGGGCACGTTGAGGGCCAGGCCCCGGGGCCCTGCAATTGCGGCGCGCGGCTGGCTGAGAACCTGCGGGGCATGGCCCGCACTCTGTAAGCTGGCTGGGGGTGCCTGGCGAGGGGGAGGGAACACAGCGGGGGCCGCGGCTGCTCCTCGGCGCCCAGCGCGCACCCAAGGTTGTCACCCGGTGTCACAGCGCGTGCTCCAGGCAGAAGCCAGCGTGCGCAAGGCCGGGCGCAGCGGGCTGACTGGCGCCCCGCGGTCGCGCCTCCTCGCTGTCCCCGCAGATGACACTGCAGTAGCGGCAGAGCTCCAGGTAGTTCCAGAACTGAGTATAGTGGCAAGATGGGCAGGCCACGCATGTCGTTAGGCGGTCCCAGCGGCATGGCCGCTGCACGACAGTGCTAGGGGAACACTGGGCGCACGCCGTTCACTCCCAGGACTCGGCGGCCGGGTAGCTGGGCGCGTCCGCCGCGCGCCACACCAGCGCCAGCAGCAAGGGCGGCGCCCATGGCAGGCACAGCAACGAGTGGCCCAGCCTGTCCCGCACCTCATGGCCCTCTGTGCAACGTGCAGACACTGCCCAGCCTGCGCCCACCCCGCAGAACGCTCCAGCTCGGATGGCAGGCGACACTATAGGGACCAGGAAGGGCAGGCCAGCCTCGCCACGCCCTGCGGGAAACCCCACTTCCACCCTGGCCAGTTACTCCTGGTTCTAGGCACTTTCCAGGCGCGTCAGGCCCCCTCTAGGAGCGGCCTCGATGACCGCTGGTGCCAGGGGAGGGAAGGGCAAGTGCTTGTGTCCACAGAGGTCTAGAGGCTGGCCTGCACTCAGGGTGCAGGTCTGGGGAACCCTCCTGGATGCTAGGCTCTCCACACACCCTCAAATCCCCTCAAGCCAGGACCATGCAAACACTGTCCAGGCCACTGCCACAGTTTATTAGCCTGCCCCTGAGCACCGCAGATGCGCTACCCACACAGGTCCCTGAGGGTCCACTCACAAGCCAGCAGTTGGGGAAGGCTATGCAAGAAGGCAGCTTCTAGCAGACCCACCCCAGAACCTGGGTGGTCTCAGGGCTTGGCAAAGGCCAGATCCCTTGCAGAACCCAGGACCCCACCAGTCTTGGGGCCTGCAACAGACCTGTCAGGCAGGCAGCCTCTTGGTCAATCTCCTTGTAGGGAAAGGGGAAGCCTCTTGGCCCACACCAAGGGAGGACAGGCCAGTGTCCAGCCACATTAGGGGCCCCAAGTTTTCCATGAATGTTCACTCGCTCACTGGGGCTCCAGCCAGAAGATCTGTGTGATGCTCTGCTTCCTGGTGGCAACATGGCAGGCGGGACAGGTCCTAGAAGCCTGTGGAGACACCCAGGCTGCTAGACAGACTGCAGGGCACTGCAACCTAGCTAAGGGCCTGACCCATTCCTCTCAGCCCACCACCTGGAGTGACACCTGGCAGGGGTGAGAGAGGGCCAGGTGCCAACCTGGAGGTGCTGTCGCCAGCAGGCCCAACAGCGGTGGAAGTCACAGGAGGGGCACTGGAAGGGCACCGTGTCCTCTGCCCCACAGCCCTGACACATGAAGCCTGCTGCAAGGGACCTGTGTGAGTACCTTCTTGGTACCCTCCTTACCCCCAGTCCCCACACCATCCTCTGGATTACCCCACTCAGGCTTCTTGTGCCTGTGAGGAGGCCCTGTAGTGGTGCCCTCGGCCCTCTTGCTCCCAGCTGGCCTCTGTCTAAGGAAGGAGGAGATCTTGGTCTGCGACTTCCCAGGTTTCTCCCACTGTGAGGGACCTGCAGACCAGAATGAGTCCAAGGAGCATTCAGAGCTTTCCTCATGTTACCCCCAGGCAGCTCGAGGTGACAGAGCAGGGGTGGAGGGGGAACCCAAGCAGGCCCTGTACCTGGTAGGGGGGCCTCAAGGGCAAGCTCCGGAGGCATGCTTGGTCTCTCATCCTGAGGACCTGGCAGCTCTGAGCCTGTGCTGGTGGCGGGCAAGCCCATCAGGTCTGAGCAGGTCTGCAGGAAGCGTTGCTTGTGGTGGGGCCTCACGAACATGCTGAACCCTGTAGGGAGCTTTGCTCAGGCTCCACCCTCCCCACAAAACCCCAGTCCTACCAGGCGCCACTTACTCTTCAGCAGGGGGAAATCTTCAGGTCTTGCTGTAGTCAGTGCAGCCAGCACACCCAGAACCCTGTCTAGGTTGTCATCCTGTTTGTATGTCCTCAATGCTGTCAAGAGCTGGCTGCAGCCTGTGGACCCCAGGGCCTTGCGGACATCTGCCAGGTAGGTACTCACGGCAGGCTGGCCTGGCTTCACTCCAGACCCAACTTGTGGACAGCTGCCAGGGTCTCCTGGTGAGACAGGAGAGGCCCTGTAGGTCCAGGGGTCTGGAGAGTTCCCACATTTTCCCTTCCCCCTCAGACAGAACTCCTGGAGAGTCCTTCAGCTGCTTGGGATAACTGGGAGGGGATTGCAGAATCAAGAGCAGCTCAGGAGACCCCCCCCCGCCCCGCCACCCCGCCACCCCGGCCACACACACACCCTTTAGCTCCACTGGTAACTGGAAGCCACCCTCAGGCCAAATAAAGTATGAGCCTCTTCAAGAACTGCAGGCCCTATCTGGGGTCTGCAGGAGCCAGGTACCTGGCGGGGTTGGCCTGGTGGACAGGTGGGGCCTGCCCTGGTTCAGGTGCTCTCCAGGGTCCAATTGTTCAGCCACACCCTTGGACAGGGTCAGCTTGGGTTCAGTTTCCCTGCTTCTCGAAGAAACATGCTCTCCATGGCCCAGAACAGTCCCCAAGGCAGGAGGTAGGCCTGTCAGGGGAAGATCAGGCCTTCTTAAACCAGGGAGAGGCATCTAGAGAAGCTGAAGCATGTCACACAAAGCTGGTCATCCTGCTGGGAGGACCAGGTAAGTTCTGCTTGGGAGCTCAGAGTCATGGCTGCAGGCACCAGACTCATCATTGGACACCAATCCCAGAGGGCAGGTCTCCCCAGGCAGCTGAAACCCCTCTGAGAGAGTTGGCTCTGGGGAACCCTGGGCTGCTCTCAGCAGGCATAGGAGCAGGTGCCACCTCTCTGGAGGGGCTGCTCAGCTGTTCAGATAGAAGGCTGTGGCATCTGGGACCATGGGGGGCAGGCCTCACCCCAAAAGAGGTGTTGTGCTATGGTGCTTCTGTCAGTCCCCCCCAAAAGGAGCAGGATGACTAGGCCAAGCAAGAGCACAGGGATGCCCATCCTGACCACTCCAGGGCCACCTGCCCCTGGATCTAAAGTTGAGGGTTCTGCCTGAAGTCCTGCTCACCAGTGGGGTCCAGAGCTGGCTGTGCTCGTTGTCCATGGGAAAGGCTGTGCTCTGGCTGGTAGCCACAACCTTGGCCTGTTAGCTGGAAGCAGATGTCCTCAAACTGCTGTTTGTGGTGGGGTCGCACAAACTGGTAAAAGCCTGTGGGAAGGTCATGTCAGCCTGGTGGCTCCATGCACTGTGACCACTGGTCTGGGAGCTCTGGAGACTGTGGGTCACCCACTAGGCCCATTCTCTAGGAAGCAAGAACACCCTTAGGCCTTAGTAGTCCTGCCTGGCCCTTGTGGTAGCTCTACTTCCCCTACAGCTATGGTACCACGTTCATGGCAGGAGGCCTCTGCAGGCCAGGGCACCTTGGAGTAGGGTGTGCTTCTTAGGGTCTTCAGCAAAAAGGCGGCTGAGGCAGGCCACCAGGGCTTCAAAGTCATCAGAACTCTTGTAGTCTTGCAGGGCCCGGGTAAAGGTGTCAAAGCTGACTTGGCTCAGTGCCTGCTTCACGGTCACCATGAACAGCTTGGCTCTGCCTGCCTGTGCACTAGCTGCTGGCTCTTCCTGCTAGACACAGATCAACAGGGAATGGATGGGATGGGGTGAGACCCCCATGAGGGCCAGCCCCAACCCTTCTGCCCCTGGGACAGTGTGTTACCATGAGGGCTACTGCCAGTGAACCTACTGCTAGGGCAAGGAGGGCAACTGGAGAAGCAAGCTCCAGTGCTAGGTGGGCTGACTCCCAAGCCTGTCTGAAGTCACACTAAAGGCAGTTAACAGAGGCCTCTGGGGAAGTCACATATGCCTCTCTGGACCACCCCCCCCCACAACTCCCTGCCCCACTTCAGCTGTAGTTGAGTTCCAAAGATGGGTAGCTCACAACAAAGGACAGGCTGCATCCCGCTTCTACAGATCTCAGGCCCACAAGGACCTGTAAAAACCAAGGCAGGGATAGCCCAGGCACCTCCTCCCTGCTATGCCCCAGCCCTCGGCAGGCCCAGGCCCCTTAGCAGTCAGGCTGATGGTACTAGCCCTCCCTGGGCACTCCTGGTACTTCCCAGAAGCTGAGGAACATGGATAAAAGCAGCCACACTTGGGGCTTTCCAGTACACAAGGGGCATCCTGGCTCAGGGTATAATTCAATTGCTTTCACTGAGTCTGGGAACACACTGCACCTCTGTGTCAGCATCTGTACTCAGGAAAAGTCAGAGCGGAGCCACACTACCAACTATGGCCAGGGGAGAGCCATGGTGGCTGCAGGCCCCAAACCAAACGTGTCCAAGGGCTGGGCCAGATCCCACATGGAAGGGGAATGGGTCTTTTATTCATTTCTTTTTTTGCAGTACTGAGGTTTGAACTCAGGGCCTCACACTTGCTAGGCAGGTGCTCTACCACTTGAGCCACTCCGCCAGACATGTTTTGTATTGGGCTTTTTCAAAATATTGAATCGTGATCTTACTGATCTCTGCCTCCAGATTACAGGCATAATAAGCCATCAGCACCCAGCTGGGGAAGGGTCTCTTAGGCTGCCCACAAGATGAACCATAAATTTAGACTCCCTGGGGCTCAACAGTGGAGCTATCCAGGAGTCTGGCCACAGCCCTGCCTGGTTGGGAGTCACAGGTAACAAGGGTCAGATTCCCAGCCATGCTCATGAGCAGCCAGCATCACTGCAGAGATGGCTCACATACCAGGCAGCTGACCAGCCTGACCTTCCTCCTTCCTGCTCTCTGCTCACTGGCCAGCCTCTTCTCACACCGGAGGGACAGGGTGGAGCAACCAGGTACCTGAGGAAGACACAACTGTGTTCCCAACCCAAACCTTGAGGACTCCAAACACCATGTGCGACATCCTCCTAGTTTCTAGGACCTGACTGGCCAGAAGAGGTCCTGAGAGAAAGGGTGTCATGCCTGAGCCCTAGTGGCAGTGCTACAATTTAGCTCCTTTCATGTGTCGTGCCACTGGCCCTTGTGTTCTCCAAGTGATGGCGAGAACAGCCACAAGGAGAGTTTTATGAGAACTGCAGACTGCCAGTGCCTAGAATTCACCTGCAGTATAGGGATGGAGGGCAGAAAGGAATGGCTTCTAGGAAGAAGCCGAAAGCAGGGAGGGAGCTCTAAGCCAGGCCTAGGAAATTATGTGCTTTTGGGTAAAGGCCTCAGGGGAGAAGGAACTTGGGTTCCACCAGCAGCCCAGCCCTCCTAGCAGGCGGCAGCAAGTGCCAGATCCTGGGTAGGCTGTGCCAGCATGATCTGCCAGTGGTGGTGGGGGGAACAGCATCTGTGGTCTAGGGAGCACCTCTGCCTGGGAGCCAGCAGCCTGGGACTGAGGGCATATAGCATAGCCAGAGATGATGAAATCCCCCATTTGCTTAAGGTCAGATGGGCAGAACCGAAGCCAGTCTCAGGTACCCCAGGGTCTCTGTCCGTGCTCAGGCACCCCTCTCCCTGACCCGCACCTCCTCTTCCCTAGAACAGGCTTCATCCCCAGGCATCCCAGCCCTCTGCTCGCTGTGCTCCAAGGCGGCCAGCAGTCCCATCGGTCTCTGCTGGGCAGGGACCAGCTCCTGCTCATATTCTACATACAGGCTGCTCTCGGGGTCTCTGTTGGCTGGTGATCCTGTAGGAACATGGTATGGCAGCAAAGTTCACTGGGAGCAAGGCTGCTGGCTCTGCCCTGCATGGCCCCACACCTGGCCTCACACACCTGTGGTCCTCTGCTTCAGGCTGGGCACATGCACATCCAGGCTTGTGGCTTTCCTGGTGTTGAGGAGGGAGGTAGGCAAGGTGGTCACCCTGACAGCAGCTTCTCCTTTATGCACACCTGGGGCCACAGCCCGGGGAGGCGGTGCAGGTATCTGCAGAATGATAAGTGAGACTGCTTCAATGGTTCCTCCAAGAAAGGACCCCATTCCCTCCTGGGTAGGGCGTGGGCATAACAAGCTGGGTTATTTGGGAGCTCACAGTTTTCTGGGCAACACGGAAGAACTGGGCCACATCTCGGATGACAGGGCCAAAGTTGTCATACACTTTGAGGTACGGGCGCACCCAGGAGGGCAGCTGGGCTCTGGCATCAGCATAGGTGAACCTGAGGATTGTGTGGCCATTAGCCTCAGAGTCCTCTGCCAAAAGGTCTGAGGGCAACTCCTGTTCTACAGCCCACTTGACAGGCTCAGGTTCCACTCTGAAGGATCAGTGTCTGCCAGCAGAGTCAGAGAGACTGCTGGAGGTCTTGTGTAAAGGAGGGTCTAGGATCTAGAAAGGGCCTCAGACCAGAAGGAGATGGGGATGGCCAGGTAGAGTGCCGCCTGTACCTGTGGTCACACAAGAAAACGGCGCCATAGTCATGGCGGTGTCGGATGACCCGCCCAATGGCCTGGTTCACAGCCCTGGAGGCCTGCTGCCGGTACCACTCGTGCCCAGAGAGGAACTGCAGGGGCAAGGGGGCTCGGTCATAAAGATCCTTGTTCACTGGAGCTCCTTGCCCCCCAGCTCCAGCACTGTGGTCTCACCTGCCCTCCAGTCCCACTCTGGTTCCTCATCTCATCCAGGAACTGCATCTTAAGGACCACCCGGGGGTCCATACGCGGGGGGTATGGGAGACCCGTGACAACTACTCCACGGCCATTCACGTCTGAGAAGTCCAGCCCCTCACTGGCCTAGGGGATAGATAGGCCCAGGAGCTGTTTGATTCCGCCCAAGCTTGGGGCTCCTCCCTAGGGTCTGCCCATGCCCCAGTCCTCAAATCCACTTCTCCTAGGTGTGAGTAGTGGCAAGAGGAAGCTCCACCCTTGGTTCAGACCCCAGCTAGGCCCAACTCTGCCATACCCAGAACCCCCTGCCTCTTGCCTACTCTTATCCTGTGAATTGGTCTCAATGGCTCCAGTGCCCTGCAGGGACCCTGTCACCACTCCCTCCTAATTTGTTGGCTGGACATGGGGCCCAAAGGGAAAGACAGGTGCCTGCCCCTCGCCTCGGCCCCCTCAAAGAAACAGGCAGCCAGGCAGAGGAAGATGACTTGCAGAGGCCTCACCTTGCCTCGGCATACTGCTAGGAAGGTGGCTCCACTGGAGCCTGGGGAGGCGATCTGCTGGTAGTATGCATCAATGACCTAGACGGAGAGGCTGGTCAGGAGATCTGAGCCCAGCACTGCTGTCAAGTAAGACCCCAGAACCTCATCCTCACAGATGCGGATCATCCCAGCTGAGTGGGACAGCAGGGTTCTGGAAGCACCTTCATGACCCAATTCCCAGCTGACCCACACCCAGCACCCAGAGCCTACCCAGTATTTCCCAGAAAACACAGGGAACCCCAGAGTTAGAGTGGCTGACGACCTCACTCGGACATAAGGGTCAGCTGCCCTCATCACCATGTCAGAGCTTTCTAAAGGTGACACACCCAGGGCCAGGAAGGAAGCACAGGCCCCTGAAGAGGAAGCTTGGAGCCAGCCAGAGCTTCTGGTCAAACAGTGGCTAGCCCAGGGCCTCCAAGGATAGTGGAGGCAGGGCTCCAGCAGACTCAGGGCCCCACCCAGGCACGGACCTCTGCGAAGCTGCCTTTGCTCCTGGGCTCCACAAACAGAGGCTTCAGAGCCTCCACCTTCTTTGCCAAGTCTCGGGCCTGGGAGAGGAAGAGAACAGGATAGGACGTAAATGGGCAGCCCTTCCACCCATCAAATGGGCAGGTGGGAGCTGCAGCTATACCCTGGCTCTGCCCACCCACCTTGCCCAGATTTTTGGCCATTTTAGGGACCCCCTTCTCCCCAGGAGAACATGCGGAGGGTTCACACCTTCCAGAACTCTAGGCTCTTCTCCATGACAGGATAGGAAGGGAAGAAGACCAGGAGCCCATGGGGCACCACACGGGCAATATTGCCTAGAAGGACAGTGCTGTGGTCAATGCAGGGCCTGGAGGTCTGTAGAGGCCTGAGTGGCTCTGAGGAGTAGGGGCTGAATGTGTTGGCACCCAAGATACCTCGGAATGGGGTAGGAGGCCCACTGGTGGGGCACGGGCTTCCTGAGGGATGCGGGCTCCTTAGTGGACCAGCACTTACCCAGAGCCTTCCCCAGGGAGGACAGACACTCCTCAGAAAACCTGCACAGAATCAGGGAGGTCACTGTCTTAAGACTCCCAGACCTTACCACCTCCCCCACATGAGAAAGTGAGGCCCAGAAACCAAGAATTCATACCGTTTGTCAAACGCAGAGCTCAGCTGGGCTCCATCAGGGCCTCTGGGGATAACCCCGACCCAGAGCTGGTGCCTGTCAATGACGTGTGGGTTCTCCAGGCAGACTGGGAAGGGGCTGGGTGTGGCCAGAGGAAGAAAACAGTGGGTGGCCACTGAGGTCTGGGATTCCAAGCACCCTGGTCCACAGGGATCCCTGGAGCCCAGGGCAGAACCTCCTCCCCATCTCCACTCTGTTCCCAGGGTTGTGGCCTATGGCCAGTGGTGACCCATACATTTGCATCTCTAGGGCGAAGGAAGACAGCGGGGCCAACGTGCCACTGGTGAGGATCAGGGTTCGGACACCCTGGTGGACTAGCTCGCGCATGCTGTGGCCAGGGCTGAAGCACCAGTAGCTCAGCACCTTCCCTGTGGGAAAGCAGTGTATGAGGACAGGACTGGGAGGTCCAGTGTCTACCATCTTCCCCACCCACAGGCCCAGGGTGCACAAGATAAAAGACCCGTCCTGGGCTCAACCTGCAGGCTGGCTCCTCCCTTAGGGGCTCAGGGAGTAGAAGGCAGGCCCAGGTGGATGCAGGGGGACACCTCAAGAGAGGTCAGCAGGCTCCAACCCCAAACATCTATAGAAACTGTGACATGTGGTGCTGGGCCCGGAGCCACTCTGCCAAAAGCACACAGGAAGGAAGTAGAGTACAACCTGCCAACATTCTAAGCACAACTGCAAATGAGGGAGCAAGTTCTCAGACTGCAGTCATGTCAGTGACAAGCAAGACCATGGGTTTAGTGGTTCAAATGGAAGTGGCGTTCCTAGCAGTCCTTAACTGTCTGGAAAACAGCAGGCTGCTTCCTGCTCATTCCCCCTGGTCTCTAGAAGTTCCAGAAATTAAAACATTAGTAGAACAACTTTAAAGTCACTAAAGGCAAGGTCAGGCAGGGAAGAGGGCAATTTTCCTAGAAAAGGCAAAACTTCCTTCCCAGCCAAGAAACCTTTCCATCCTGAGACAAACTGGGTGCCTCAAAAGCAGGCCACCTCAATGAGCTAATTTCCTGTAACACCCCACTAGGAAGGGCTACTTCTAAGAAGTCACATGATTTCAGAGCTATGACCCACACCCTATTTGGCCCCTCAGTACCTGAGCATCCTACAAGCCTCCCATGCACCAATGGCCCATGCTGACCCCACACTCGGGATGGATACTTCCTGCTGACTGTGCCCCACTTCTAGCCTTTTCTTCCCCTAGGCCAGGCAGACTCAAACTACACCACACAGGTTCAACTCACTGCTTCTACTGAAGCTGTGACTTGGGAATTAGATAGCAGACCAAAGAGGATAGGGCATGAACAGAAGCTCAGAGGCAAGGATTTCCTGCAGAATCCAAGAGATGTGGCACCAGAGCAGGGCTACACCCAGCTAATTACAATTGATGTGTGGGCCGAGTGCCTCCTGAGTGAGTGATTGCCATGAGCCAGACTCACTGCCAGATGCATCCAAAAGCTCAGTGCTGTAGATACCAGCCCTGGTATCCAGGCATCCAGGCCCCACCTGCATAGGTGCCCCAGTGGCACTGGCACAGGCTCTAAGACACCAAGCAGCAGCTGAAGCATAGAAGGCTGGTGAAAGGCAGAGACTCAAGGTCAGCTCGCTGCGGGCAACAGGGTCAGCAGCCTACCCTTCACACATGACCCTGTGACCTGGGGATGCTCTCCCGGCAGTGTGAGACAAGGTTTGTGTGGGACACCAGTAACTACACAGACTGAGAAGAGACCTTGACAGGAGCAAGGCCGTGTCAAGGTCCTTTGTGCTGAGAAGGCAAGGTCCCAAAGTGAGCAAGATTCAGCAAGGCTGCCTTGCAAGAGGGGAGACTGAGGCAGTGGAAGTAACCTTGGCATGAGCACGGCTATGTCAAGGGCCTCTTGGCTGATAGGCATGGACCCAGCCAAGGGGAGGCAAGGTTCAGCAAGGCTGCCTTGCAAGAAAAACAGGACACGCTGACCTAGTCAGGATAGTCTGTAGTAAGTAACATACCACAACTGCTCTGTTCCTGCCGCCTACACAACTGGACCCATGAGAACTTGACCTGCATTTCACTCCCCCTTTACCACACATGCTGTATAAATAAACGTGCTTGGAGGCAGAGGAGGTCACTGGCATCTCTCATCAGGAGTACTGGACCCATCCGACCCCAGCTCTTCTCTGTGTCTGTCTTTGTGTTTTTTTCTTAATCCCCAGTCGCTCCCAGTCAGGTCAAGGGACCTGCTCATGCTGGCCATGAGAGTTTGGAAGGCCCAGTCATGGCACTGGTTGGATAAAGCAGAGCTGAGTGCTGACCTGCCTCAGCCGAAATGAGTGTGTCTTGTAGGGTGATGAGGCCTCAATGGGTCCTGGCTCTACTGCTGCCCCACATGGTGGCTCTGGGTAGGTAACAGTACCTAGGGCCTCCTTTGAGGATTCTGATTTTCAGAATGCAATCAAGGAGCCACAGGTATATTCAGCACAGCAGCACTGGGTGGGCACTAATGTAGGGCAGGAGCATGTCAGCCCCAGGCCTGTACCTGGTTTTCTAGATGCAGTGGCACTCCAGGCGTCTGATTGCTGAGCAGCCCTCCGGTGGCTGGTGTCAGGGTGTATGTGCACCTGAAGGGGTTAGTGTACAGGTGTCATAAGGCTTTCTCTAGGCTCCGGGTCCTAGAGAAAGCCCAACTCCACATGTCTGCAAGACCTCCAGCCTTGTCCACATCCTGGAGGCAGCTCCCACCTTATAGGACTGTGAGACCCCTGGCCCCACCATGGAGCCAAGGCTGCTGTTGGGGGGTTCCACGTTGAACACGATCTGAAAGGCAAGAAAGCACAGTCCAAGGGTCAGGAGTTTAAGGTCATGTCATTGTTCTGAGGCCCCCTACACTCAGAAGAATGGACAGATACTCAGGAGCCCACCACTGAGCCCAACAGCACCCCAGGCCAAGGGGCAATAGCCCTCCCTCAGGCTGACAAATCACCTGGCCCTGGAACAATGAAAAGGTTTGCAGGATGTAGAGCTTCTCTTGTCTCTGTCCTCAGGTGGGCAGTTTGTACATACTATCTGCCTGCACACTATGTGTCTGCACACACTGGGTGTAGCAGCTGCAGGCCTCCTCTGTTGACTCAGCCCCTCCACTCTGTGCCTCTGGCCCCAATTAATCTAGAAATTCAACACTGCAGTCAAGACATGGCAGGTTCCTAAAGGATATGGGTGACTCAAAATTCACCTCATAGGAAAAATGCCAAGCTTAAAGGAATAATGAGAAGGAATTTCTTCTAGCTATAGTAAAGAATGGGCAGCAAAACTACCCAGCAAAACCTGAAGCAAAACAAGTGGAAAAAAGTGAACGTCTGCCCCTCCCACACTGGCCAGGGGATGGCAGACAGGTTCACAGCCCAGACACAAGGCCAGACAACTCCACAGAAACACTTCAAAAACCAGAGGTGAAGGGCTGGAGGCATGGCTCAAGCAGTAGTGCATCTGCCTAGCAAGCAAGCACAAAGTCCTGAGTTCAAATCCCAATGTTGGAGAGAGAAGAAGAGGGGGAGAAGACTGACTAAAGCAGAGATTTTACCAAAAGAAAAAAAAAAAAAAACCCAGAGGTGACCAGGCCTCTTGGTAATGGGCTGGGAAGCATGAGACTACAGTACAAAACTCACAGCAAGGAAACCTGTTCCCTGAGCACAAAGATGGAAAGGTAAGTGGAAAAGATGCATGCCACGTAGGATGGACACTCAGGATTCACAGAGGGCCCTACACATCAGTGAGAAACAATCAGCTCAAGGAGGTGCCCCTCAAACAGAGATTCCAGAATTATCCACAGGACAACAGAGAAGTAAACAAGGGAACAACATACTGCAGACATGCTGCAGAGACTGGGGAACAAGGCTAGCAGACTCTAGGCACCAACAAGCAGGTTTTTCAAGCAAACCAAGAATCACCTGCTGTCACCCTGCCAGCAAAGGCATATCCATCTTTGGATGACACGGAGCAGGTGTGTGTGAATGCACATCAACTTGTGCATGTGCGTTCCTGTGCATAGTACTGTGTAGGTATGCACCTCAGGTGTGTCACCTGTGACATCAAGACAACCACACACAGGCTCTACATTTTACCAAAGTTTTGACCTGTAGGGACAGACACACAGAAATTCACTTTGCCACAGAGTGGAGGCTGCCTGGACGTCACATCTCAGGCAATGGCTATCCCTGTGTCTCAGTCCCAGCAGTGGCCTTCACGCAGTGACAGATGGGAATTTCACACATGGAACAGCTTCCTCACCCCTAGGGAGGGTCTCATGAGGGCCCCAGTGGTGACTTGCTCCTTGCACAGGCTGTCTGTCACTGCTACCGACCTTCCTCATCAGGTATTCTTCCTCACTAAACTTACAGGGTTCACCCTCCAGCTATACTGCATGTCCCCAAATTATCTCAGGGATCTCCTGGTTTGTGCTTGGCTCTGCCATTAGTGAGAGCCCTCATTGTCTGTGTGAGAACCCCATGCACTGTGTCCTGCTTTACTGGGCCTATGGTCAGCTCTACAGGCAGCCCCTTTGTGCATTCCAGCAGTACCAGGGGGACCAGCTTCCCATTTGGGCTGCATGAACTGGGCCTCAGTGTCATTTCAGGGCATTTCTACATCTGCATTTCAGGATATTACCATCAGTCTACTCCCTGGCACACTCCTCCTGAAGGTGCTTTGTCAGTCTTAAGGCGTTTGATGCAAACTGAGGGGTACTGGAGGTAAAGAGGCTCAGCCCACGTCTCCCTGCTCCCTACATAGGCAGTCTAGAGACACTCTCACCTACTAGAGACCCAACCAGCCACTCAGGGAAAACAGGGCCTCCTGACCCTGCTGGGGGCCTCACAGCAACCCCCAGTGACTTGAGGAATCTATATAACATTCATCTTTAAACTTAAATGACAGAGGAGAATGAGAGGAAAACTTGGCTCTGGATCAGGCTTATGCATCAGCTAACCCTCGAACACCCATCAAGTTTGTGAGAGATGGAGGAAGGAGAAAACAATGACTATCCCAGGTAACTAAGAGAACAACATCCCCACATAAGCAAGTTGGGGCATGATGAGGGAAGAACCTCACTCCATAGAGCAGAGGGTATGTGAGCATATGCAGGCATGTACGCATGTACACGTGTGAACATGTACTCATGCATCAATGCCCACTTCATGTCTGACACAGGTAAGCAATAGGTGAGGGCTCTAGTCTGGGGGCCTCAGCCCACTGGCTGCGGGCCTCTCTCTGCCCTGACAAGGTCTGGCTGGCACCTTCACTCTGATAGGCCACCTATGGCTCTGTGAGCACTGCCCACAGCAGATCTACTGTGCCAACAGGAGCACCTGACACAGAAGCAGCTGTGAGATGAGCAACTCATCAGTCACATATCCCCCAGCTGAGGGGGCACACCGGTGAGAGCCTGCAGACAGCACCTCCAGGGTTAGGCAGGGGAGCCAAGTTATCTTTTAGGGTCCCTGGGGCGACAGCCAGAAGAAACTCTAAACCAATGGGTGAGTAGGTTTGGGTTCCTGAGCTAGGAGAACCATGGAGAACTGAATTCCAGGGAGGAGGGGCTGTATCTGGCTCACAACTGCCCTCTAGGCCTGGGACTACAAGGATCCCTTGTGGCTAGGACTAAGGTTGAGCTCAGAGCCTGGGGCTCCTGGGAGAAGCACCTGACACAGGGGCCTGCTGGACAGCAGTGACTGGGCTGAACCCAGGGCCTGTCAGCAGGGCTTCCACCCTAGGGGCCAAGAATGCTCCAGGGCAGGACAGAACAATAGTTCTGCTGTGGGTGGTATAGGGGCCCTAGGCAGCCAGGAGCCCCTATAGTCTCAATCTTCATACCTGGACCATCATCCTGGGCAGCAGAGGCCCTGGAATATCCACTGTACCCCTGAAGAAGTGCTGAGAGGACAGTGTGGTGTGTCAGGACAGAAGCATGCAAGAACTTTCCCTGTTGGATGCCAAAGCATCCAAGAAGGTATCAAGGAAGTCACGTATCTCTAGATTTCTCTGAGCCCATCTGGAGCCACTGGGCCTATCTGTAACACGGACTTCCTTCCCAGCCTTGAAGGCCCCAGCAGGCTGAGTGTGGCTCCTGGCCTTCACTCTCCACAGGGCCCTGGCCCTGGAGTACCACCTTGAGTGCATCTGGCCACCGAGCAGCCAAGCATAACTAGACCTATCCTCCCTCACCTCTGCCTACAGTGCATTCAGGACCAAAGGAAGTGAGTGCGAGAGTTGGCCAAATCAGACATATTGTGTAGGGGATTTTGTCAGTTCACCTTCTACCAGGAAAGGAGACAACCAAGAAGTCGAAAATGGATCCTACCTGGATGATGTCTGCGAGCTTCTGCAGCCCAGCTGTGTTGGTGAACACGCCAGTACCTGTGAGGAAGCGGGGAACTGACATCACACTACAGGCAGAGGAGGCCCCAGATCCCCCATGTTAGGGAGCTAGCAAGGCTATGGTGCCTTCTATCTGCTGGGTGGTCAGCCTCTCACCAGACCAGTATCAGATGCAGATAAGCTAAAGGAGGGCAGCTGGCCTGCTTTTCCCAGAGTGTTAGAAAAACGCCAGAGGGGGAGGGTGTCCAAAGGAGTCTGTGGGCCTCAAATAAGGCTCTATAGTCACGTAATGGTAGAAACTACTCTTTCCCAGTGCCCAGGAGCCTGACAGACTCCACTGGGTCATGCATCACAAACCTCCCAAAGACCTCACTTAGCAGAAGACGGTTCAACAGAACAGCCCAGGGGGACACTGTGGACCTCACAACTCTGAAGAGAAATGGGACTTGGGTGGTACAGGGGAGAAACCAGGGGCTCACAGCTCACTGAACTTTCTGAGGCCTCTTGCCATTCTAGCTTGAAAGGGGACTAACTGATATATGCTACAGTGAGAAACTGCTAACAGTGAAGCCAGAATATGTTCAGTAAGAGTAATGGCTGATCAAATAGTGCTAATGCCTCAAAGTCTCATTCAGAAAGAGGAAGTTAGCTGGGTATGGTGGCACATGCCTACAAATTCCAGCACTCAGTAGGCAGAGGCAGGAGGATCTCAAGTTTGAAGACAGCCTGGCCTACACAGCAAGATCCTGTTGCAAAAAACCCAAGGACTGGGGATGTAGCTCAATGGTAGAGCACTTGCCCTGGTTTGCCCTGCCCTGGTTTGCTACCCAGCACCACAAAGGGGGAAGAGAAGCCCTACAGGCCAGACTCTTGTTCACCAGGAAGGGATGACAGCAGGCTGCAGACACCAGTAGCCAAATGCCAACACATAAGCTGTGCTAACCACTGGACACAGAACAGCAACCTTGACTAAAGGCAGCGCCTGTCCTGCTCTCATCTGCATCACAGCCACTGAACTGATGCGCCCCATGTGGCAGCCACGTCCACATGGACGCATGAGGAGACTCACGTCCGGCTAAGTGCTGGATGATCTGGTCCAGTGAGTCCAGGATGCAGCCCTTGGTCTGAAACGTTATCTGGGCTTCAGCAAATAGCTCAAAGACAAAGCTGCCAAAGAGGAGAAAGAACAAAATCTGAGTCCTTAGGGAGGCCAACGGTGGAGGTGAGAGGCGTTTGTCTCAGGAAAGGAGTGAGAGGAGGTGAGATAACAGGCCCGGGTGTGAGAGCCATGTACCAAGGAAGAGCAAAGACATCGGAGGCTCCCATGAGTGGTTGGAGAGAGGAGAGGTCCTCTTGGCAGGGTCCCTAAGAGCTTTGGAAAGAGGAGTGGGGGCACAGGAAGCTACAGGACGGGCCTATGACGAGGTTTTGGGGGTAGGGAGCAGGAAAGCCAAGGAGCAAGCCCAAACCGTGAACATCAGGCTGCAAGATTTGGCTTCTCTAGAAGCAAAGGTCAGAAGTCAGAGAACAGGGAGAAAGCAGACAGCCCAAGGACCCAGAACATGCTCTGCCCTCAACAAACCCGGGCCTGGTTCCAGGACAGCCACTGGTTGTATACCCAGAACAATCCTTCAGCCCCAGCTGCAATTCCACAGCAAACCCTGGTTTTGCTGCTGGTGTTGCTGTGGAGTGCTCAGAACCTTCTGGGCTCCTGCAGCCCTTAGCAGGCTGGAATGACTACACTGATCACCCCAAGACGCTTTCGTTCTAACAGGCAGGGGCCAAAGGATCGGAGGAAAGGGCTGGGAGACAGACACTGTGGGAGTGTCACTCAAGGACAATATAAAAAGCTGGCAACTCCTCCTAGGCCTCAAAAATTAAAACAACTCTGCCTGTGTGAAGCCCCAGGACTGGGCAGTCAGGCCCTTGAAGGACTCCATGAGAACTCAGCTCATTGTCCTCCTCCAGCTCCAGGCAGGACCTGGAGTAACAGGGTCAGTGTGTCCCTCACCTCCCAGGCTTGGTGATGCCGCTGTCATTTCCAGGCAACTGCACAGCATCGATAGCCCCCTCCAGGCGAAGCAGGATCACTGCAGGTCAAGGAGGTGTCAGGGGCAGGCCCCACCCAGCTGTGAGGGGGAATGAAGGGTGATACTTACTCTTGAGCTTTGCAATGTCTTCCAGCTCCATGCTGAGCCCTGGATGAGAAAATGCAGAACATGCAGTTTTTCATCGTTCTAACCCTAAGTGTGCCTTCAACAGCCAGGGTCCCTGGCATGGTGAAAAAGACATGGGTGAGAGGCTACATGAACCCTCCCAGCCCACCTTTGAACGGAAATAGCAGGATGAGCTCATGAGTCTCACACTTTATTATTATTATTTTTTAAGCTGGAGAACTTACTTTTATTCTTGCAGTTTTATACTAGAAAATCATTTAATGATCCACTTTCACAATTGATTTATAAAAAAAAATTGAATCCTTAAATTGTACATTAACATCCTATGATTCCAAGTTTTATTTATCACTCTCCTTCAAGTCTGAAGAAAATGATAAATTTACTAAGTTCCACAGACAGCACAGTCCCACTGACACAACATTTAGTGTGAAGTTCTATATTCATATGAGAATTAAGAATAGCCACTATTAAACTGGCTTGAAACCTGACTGTGTTCCTGGTGCAGGATACCTGCAGTAAGTCTGTGAGTTCACACTAAGACACAAAATTAAAGTAGGGTGTATGTATCTCAGAAAACACTTTTCATAGCAGATTAAAAACTTTACCAAATTTCAACTGTTTTATGGTGTGTTATCCAATGAAACTTTCAAAATGCCAGTGACTTTGAATTAACTGCAAATAACCTTATCTAGAATTTATTTTTTAAAGTTTGCCCAGCATTTCAAAATGATTGTGGCATTAATACAAGTTTTAAAACGTCAAAGTATCTATACATATTGCACTTTTCTACTAGGGCTGAGCTACAATCTTCTCTGGCAAGATACCAAAACTACAGAATAAAATACATTTTAAAATCAATAGGTACTTGATTAATTTCCCCGAAATTATCAGAATCATTACCAAAATCTTCCAGGATTTTGTAAGATTTGATTACTTATATAGTTTTTAAAGTTACTTACAGAGGGAATAAAAAACCAAAACCCTTATTTAATGACTGTTTTATGTCCTTTTTTTGGTCCCTCAATGACCAAAGAGAATTTTAAACAAATTATGTTTGCTTCCTGACTTAATAAAAAACTAAAGGTTTTCATTATCCAAATCAATAAATATAGTAATCAGAAACTATTAACTTTGAAACGTCTATGTCTGTCTGTAGGTCCCCTTAGAACACTTCCAAGCTTTTATAATCAAGAAATTTTAATCAATTATGTACTAGAATCAAATCAGGTAAAGAAAAACTTATTTTGAAAAAATAAAATCACTTCATAATATGCTCGACAGAAATGAGCTAGTCATTTTTGTGTTCCATGGTGGGGGGGGTGAGGGAGGGGACGGGGTGGGTGGTAAGGGAGGGGGTGGGGACAGGGGGGAGAAATGACCCAAGCATTGTATGCACATACGAATAATAAAAAAATAAAATAAATATAAATAAATAAATATTTGTGTTCCACTGAAGACGTTATGAAATCTGTCCAATGGTTAATTTCCAAGTGGTCCACTATAAACTTCTTTGGAATGTTTTAAGATTGGCTGTAGCTAAAGTTCTGATTTCCATTTGGACCCTGCTCTTCTTTCACTGTTTGGAGGTGGTTTTGGTTTTGGCATCTTACTAAGAATAGCTGCCATCTCTTTGCTCTCATCAAAATTCTTCCACTGCTCATACAGTTTTAAAATAACCCTGATAATTTCCAAGATTTCTCCATATCCACAGAAAGCTCAGCAAACCACTGTCTGGCAACTTTTTGCTGTATAACACTGGCTACGTGTAAGCAAGCTAAAGCTATCATGAAAGGAGGATACAGTAGGCAAAGATCCGTTCGGTAGGTATCATTCACTATCCTCCATGCAAGGGGAAGCAACATGTCTTCTTGGCCCATGTCCTGCCCCTGCTGGAGCAAAGGTCTGTAAGGATGCTACACTATCAAGCCACAATCCTCTAGTTCTAAGAGATGAAATTCACATTCTGATACATGATTCATCTTATAAGGAAATTCCTTTGGAAAGGCATATGAAAATCTAGTTTTCAATACAGATGTAACACCAGAAATCAATCTTGTATTTGAGACTACTCCAAATTCTTCTACTTTGGATGCCAAAAATACACATGTAGGAGCCATTAATACAGGATCTATACTTTTCATAGAATACCTAGCATAGAATCTTTTGAAATAAACTGTAGCAGTGGCAATAACTTGTTGTCTTAATTTAAGATGTTCACCTAATGCTTGGATAACATTTATAAAAAAAAATTTGTAACTTCCAATACTCTTCTGAGAGAAACTTTAAGTCCTTTCAGCGCTCCTTCAATAGATCGTGTTTATCCAAAATCCACTGTAAATAATGGGAGCTCTGCCAAAAGTTCCCTGCATGGAACACAGTATCAGCAGAGTAGCCCGCAGAGCGACCACAGCCTCAGCCTGTCGTGTATCCACGATCCTGGATCAGATCTGCTCGACTCTCACTTTAGAAATACGCCCGGGAATGCATCCATGCACAGGATGTCCTTCCCACTTCTACCAAGGAAAGACCTCTAAACAACGACTGGCGATGGCAACCAGAACGGCAGTACCCACACTAAGGGCCTTTGAACGCCCTCTCCTGAGAAGGGAACCCAGGGCTTCCTGGAGACTTGGCAATGGCAGGTCTGGGAGAGAAGAGCCCTTCCAAGTGTGGAGTATTTGGACTCGCAGGCCCCAACAGCATGGAGGCCATCAGTGATGAAAGAGTCAGGCCAGAGGGAGAACAATCAAGGAGGATTGCAGTTGGGACAGCAGAGCATCAACAGTGAATCTGACATGAGTTGAAATCAGTCACAAATATATACGTGTATTCAGTGATGATATTTAAAAACTGTTCCCCTCCTAAACATGACAAGCAACCAATAAATAAACCAGGAATCAACTCAAACTCCCAAATGTGAAAATCGGAGGGTAAAATCAAGCATTCACCTGGCTTTTCCTGTGTGAGTGGCACACCAGAGCTGAAAGAGGCTAAGAGGCCATTGTGCAGGTGCTTACTGGGATGGGATGCATGCTCACGCCACCTCTGTCTGTGAGAGGCGAGGCTGGAGACATTCATCCAGCAGTGCTATAAAAACAGCTTCTAACCAGAAATGTTGCTTCTTGGAATTGACCCTGTAGAAACATCTCCAACAAGATGAAAATACACATGCACGAGGCTTCCTGTTCTGTTTTGTGACTCCCAAGTATAGGATACCACCTCAATGCCACACCAACAGCTGGATTGACAGGCCCTACCAACAGTGTCGTGTTAGGACACAGAGCAAAGTGCAAACAAGTGCAGTTCTCCCCAGCATCACTGGTGACTGGGTCCAGGACCATCCTGAGACACCGGAACCCATGGATGCTCAAGTCCCTTGTATAAAGGATACAGTACTTACTCAAACACACACACCCTCCCATCTGCCATAAATCATCTCTAGATAATTTACAATGCTAACATAATATTGGTTGTGAGTAGGTGTTTTGCTGCATTGTTCAGGGAATGACAACAAAAATGTCTCTATAGTATGTTCAGCATAGACCAACTTTTTTCTGAAATTTTGATCTATGGTTGGTTGACTCTATGGACACAGAGGGCCAGCAGTGGCTGTAAGAGGAAGAGGGTAGACAAAGTACTGCTATTCCATGATGATGGCCATCCTGATGGGTCAGCATGAGTGGGCTGAGGGTGCCCATGGCAATTGTCATTTTTGAGTGTGTTTGTGAGGGTGTTTCAGAAGAGACCAGCATTTCAATCAGTAGACTTGTAAACACCTGCCTTCCCCCGTGTGGATGGGCCTCATTCAAGCCACTGAGGTAGAGAAGGCAAGCAGCTGGGATACCTGTCTTCTGCACAGTGGCATGACAGCTCCTGACTCTCAGGACTCACAACAGTGCCCCTCAGGTCCCCAGGCCTTTGGCCTTAGACTGAGAGTTACACCATCATCATAGCCCTCAGGCCTTCAGACCCAAGACTGAACACCACCACCAGCTTTCCTGCAGGTCTCCAACTTGCAAACAATAAACATGGGATTTCTCAACCTCCAGGAGCATAAGCCAACTTCTATAGTAAATCTCTTACACATCAGTATCTATATACCACATTGGATTTGTTTCTCTAAGAAACCTAATACAATCTCTCAGCAAGGGAAGGAAGGAGAGAGAGAGGGAAGAAAGAAGGATGAGAAATACTTCTCTTACATACTCCTTATTGCAGATTTTGGCTTTTGGAATAACAATAATATTTTAAATTTAAAGAAGAGAATAAGAAAATTGCCATGATTGAATCCAGGTGTGATGGTTCATGACTGTACTCCCAGCACTCAGGAGACTAAGGCAGGAAGATTGTTGAGTCCAGCAGTTTGAGCCCAGCTTAGGTTACAAAGCAACATCTGCTCTCAAAAAAAAGCCTTGGGGGCGCTGAGGTGGGAGGATCACAAATTTGAGGCCAGCAGCCCAGCCTGGGCTACATAGTGAACCCTGTCTCAGAAGCAAAAAGGAAAAAAAAGGACAGGGAGAAAACCATAATAACTCTGTGGTGTTGGGGAAAAATGGGATACAAATGAAATATAAACAGAAGCAAGCAAGTCACTACAATGAGTAACATACCACAGTAAAGTGGACAGAGGAAACACCTCAGAACATACTATTTGACTACGCGCCCTCAAGGCAAAGGCAAGAGTGCGAAGAGATGTTTTCCTGCATGAGCAACTTTCATCTGCCACAGTTGAGTCAGCAATCCTAAAACAACCATCTGAGTATGCTAGGATTGAACAAGTATGTTGAGAAGATGGAAACCGTGGACTGGGGATGTTACTTAGGGACAAAGCACTTGTCTAGCACAACACCCTGGGTTCAAGCCCTAGCTCTGAAAAAAAAAATAAATGGAAGCCAGTTTTCTTACTGTCAAAAATGGGAGTTATGCCAGGTGCTGGTGGCTCATGCCTGTAATCCTAGCTACTCAGGAGGCAGAGATCAGGAGGATTGTAGCTCAAAGTCAGCTTGGGCAAATAGTTCACGAGACCTTATCTCGAAAAACCCTTCACAAAAAAAAAGGGCTGGTGGCGTGGCTCAAGGAGAAGGCCCTGAGTTCAAGCCCTAGTACCACGCCCCCAAAAAAAGGGAGTTAGTGTTTGGCAGCACATACACTAAAATTCAAACAACACAGAGACACAGAGATGAGCATGGCCCCTGTGTATGGATGACACACATACTGGTGAAGTAGTCCACATTTATTAAGAAGAATTTAAAAGAATTAAAAACATGGACAAGAAAGCCGGGTGTGGTGACACGCAGCTGTAATCCTAGCGCTTGGGCACTTGGGAGGCTGAGGTAGGAGGATCATACCTCAGCAGCCCAGTCTGGGCTACATAGTGAGACCCTGTCTCAAAAGCAAAAAGAAAAAAAAGGACAGGAAGAAAACCATAATGTGGTGCTGGCCTAGAGTGTGAGTCACGACTACACACACTGCAGGTACCACTGGGAGACAAGTGTGTGTATACCTACAACACGCCCAGTGCGGCGGGCACTAACCAGAGCCCAGATCCTGGCTTCTAAAGCCACTCTCCAACAAGAGGCCAGGGGAACCAGGGCTCCCAGGAGAAAGGTCAGTGCTGGGCTGGGCAGCTGAGCCAGGAGCACCTGGTCCTGAGGAGTCAGACGTACTCAGAGCACGGTGGCCATGTGCCAGAAGGATGGTGAGATCACAAGCCAATGCTGACACGATCACCACACAAGAGCTCCAGCCAAGGACGTGGAGGAAGGAGGGGCTGGCAGCCCTGCTTTGCCAGCACCACAATGGTCATCACTTCAGGAAAGGACAATAGAGGGTGCATGACTCCAGAACCACACCAGAAAGCAGTGGCCCCACACCTGAAACGCCAGGAGAGCCATGGTGAGTGACAGGCAAACATGCTGTGCTTCCTGGCAAGAAAGGGCATCCAGCCACACAGCACAACACCAGACATACAGCACAACAGTTGACAGAGCCACTAGCCTATCAGATGTCAAGGCCAGGAAAAACAAATCTGAGACACTGTCCCTGAAAATGCTGGCAGCAGGCCAGCTCCCCCACAGAGCATTGTGTGTCACCATGTTTGGGGCTGTGTCAAGGACAGCTGGAAGAATCCTAGTGAGACCTGTTAATGTACACATGCTGCTAGAACTACAATGGGGCCATAAGCCCATAAAACTACTGGAAGGTGAAAATATTACTAAGTCAAAAATGTCCATAAGGAGGACCAGGCCCCTGTAATCCCAGCTACTTGGAAGACAGCCAAGCCTGGGCAAAAAGTTAGAGACCCCAATTCAATAAATTGGCCAGGTGTGGAAGTGCACATCTGTAATGCCAGCTATATGAAGAAGGCATAGGTAAGAGGAATGCAGTTTAAGGCTGGCTCTGGGCAAAACTTAAGACCCTATCCAAAAAATAAGGGGTAGGGAATGTGCCTCAGGGTAGAGTATTCGTCTAGCATGAACAAGGCTCTGGACTCCATCCCCAGAACCAGAAAAGGAAAAAGACTTCAGTACATGTAACCCACCAAACACCATAGCTCAAAGCAGCACACTGCAGAGTGCCAGTTACGTGCCCACAATAGCACTGCTAGCACAGAGTCCCCGTGCCGTATACTGCTGGCGTGGAAAAAGATCAAAATTCAAAGTACAACTTCTAGTGAGTTGATATCACTCTCGCACTCGCACCACAGCAAAACTGAAAAATTGTAACTCAAACTGTCCTTAGTCAGGAGTGTCTGAAGTATTAATGTCAATTTCCCAGTTTGTGTGTTGTCATACGGTTGTGAATGAGTGCCCTTGTTGTCAAGAAACACACATTAATATTAGATCAAAAGGCTGGCCATCTGCAACCTGCTCTGAAAATTCAGAAAAAGACATTCTCTGTCTAGAAGAGAAGGAGAAACCAAACAGGGTGAGTGTTAGCAAGCACTACTACTAAAGTTTTTTACCTGGTAACGAGTAGGAATCTGGGTGAAGAACACAAAGGAGTTTTTTGTGTGTTTGTTCTCGTGTTGTGAAACAAGGTCTTGCTATGTAGCCTAGGCTGGCCACGAACATGAGACCCTCCTGTCCTCAGTCTCCCGAGTGCTGGGACCATAGGCATGTGCCACCACACCTGGCTAAAAAGAGCTCTTTACCCTCACCCATTACCTGAGTTTGAAATAATTTCAAGCTACAGAGTGAGCAGGGCATGGTGGTGCATAGCTGTAGTCCCAACATTCAGGACGCTGAGGTGGAGGAATTCAAGGTCAGCCTGGGAAACATCAAGACCCCATTTTGGCCAGGCACTGGTGACTCACGCCTGTAATCCTAGTTACTCAGGAGGTAGAGACCAGGAGCATCGTGGTTTGAATCCAGGCCAGGCTAACAGTTTTGGAGATCCTATCTTGAAAATACCCAACACAAAAAAGGGCTGGCAGAGTGGCTCAAGTGGTAGAGCACCTGCCTAGCAATCATGAGGCCCTGAGTTCAGGCCTCTGTAACAGACCCCCAAAAATAAATAAAGTTATAAAAAATGAGGGGCCAGGTGTGCCCAGTCACACTGGTGACCCCAGCTACATGGGAGGCCATAGGTAGAGGATATGGTCTGAGCCTAGCCCAGGCAAAAATGAAAGCCCCTACCTAAAAAATAACTAAAGCAAAACACCAGCCTACAGACAACTGGAAAGGAAGCTGAGAGTGGCAAGTTATATGGGCAGTATTGAAAACACTTAGTTTTCCAGGTACTCAATAGAGGGCAAGTTAACACCAGCTGGGAAACGAAAGGACAGAGGGCTTCAGAAAACACTGGAACTACCAGAGGATGCCAGCCTGCCCTGGCCAACAGGGCCCTGCACTGTTTTCATCTAAGGCTTACTGAGGCAAACTGACATCCTAAAATGCCACAGAAGGGGCTAAGAGAGCCAGCAGACACCACTGCTGTGCAGGGTGCAGCCTCCAGCAGCTCTGGCCTCCAGGAGGCACACTCCTCCTCTCAGCTCCATCTTTCAGCTCTTGGCCACAATCTCACCTGAGCTGAGGGTGTCCCCGCTGAACTCCAGGTGGAGCTCGCCCTGCTGTGCCACTCTGGTCTGCTCCTCCAAAACCTGGTCGATGGCCTCCAGTCCTGAGGTCACGTCCCGGGGGGTCAAATCAAAGGAAGCTGACTCCTCACACATCTTCTCCTGAGAACCCAAATAAACCTTTGTCATGGCAGGGAATGGCAGGATAGGGGCTGCGGAAAGCAGTGAGGACAGGGATACAGAAAGTACCAGAAGATGAGAGCTTCATCCTCAGAGCCCCTGTCCCTGGTCTCTAGTCAGGTCACAAGGTGATATAAAGATGACTGACTGCTGACACCAATGTTTAAAAATGATTATTATTTTACTTGAGTTGCCAACATTTTATAGCTGCAAATTTTCCACCGAAATCTACATTTCTAGCTCCAAAGTCAGAAGACATGTGGCACACGCCCACCACCTCCCTGAGCAGTAGCTGCCTAGAGCCAAGTGAGGCTAAGGGTGGTCACTGCCTCAGCTCTCATGAAGCCTCACTCCAGGCTCCAGAATGGCCAGCCATGGCTGCCACACATGGCCATCTTCTGAGGCCATTCCTAGAAACACACAGGCCTGAGCAATGGCCAGAGGCAGGGGTGAGATCACTGTGGGAGCAAGTTGGTGACGAGGGATGCCACTCTTACTGCAGCCACCAGAGGTGAGCCTCTCTCTCCACAGCAGCCTCTCAAGGGTCAGGCCAAATGGCCTGAAAGACAAAGAAAGACCCTGCAGGAAGGATGACAGAGCAGAGTGCAGTAGATAGCAGAGTCAGGCCATCTCCATCAGGCAGCCAGCAGGACAGAGGTCTGACAAGGGGTTCGTATGTGGACCCTGTGCCTGAGGGCATGTCTGAGGCTGATCAGAGAGGGCAAGGCAACAGCAGCGCCTGGGTCTGCGAGGTGCTTACAGACAGGGCTTCTGAAGTCTAGGTGGAGCTCCTTCAGCAAGGCAGGCTTAGGGAGTATGAAGCAGAAACATCAAGGGACTCACCACATTGTGGGCCTCATCAAAGATCACGATCGTCCCCTTCAGGTCAATGTTGTGTGCCCTGCGACTCTACAAGATAGAAGGGACAGGGCCTGCTGAAAATGCAGGCCACAGAGGCAGGGAAACAGGGAGGCTAAGATACATGGCAGGCACCAAACACATCAAGCAGGGACCACACACTGTGGCAGGGACAGTGAAGGCCCTCAAACCTAGCTGATAGGAGCAGCAGCTGCTCCAGGCTGGTTCTGAAAGGCCACCTGGGAGCACCTGCCCAAGCCTGACTAAAGCTAAACACTCACAGTTGTCTATTCCAGGAAAATGCTCACACACACTGTAGTCAACAGGACAACCAAGGGAGTCATGGGGGCCCAGGCCCCAGCAGCTAGGCAGCTGAAGAAGTCCACACCCAGTGGTTTTCTAGCTGGCATACACTTAGAGAAATTTAAAAATTTAGTGCCCAGGCCCTACCTCAAAGCCTGAAGAAGCAATCTGGGTTGCATTCCAGCACTGGTATTTTTAAGTTTCAGACAACACCCATTTAAAGTGTACAGGTGGATTTTGACAAACGTGTACTTTGTAACCACCAATCCTCCACTGTCTCCTACACGTTACATCAACCACAGGCCTTGCTGGGTGTCAGCCTGCTTTGCGAGTATGTGGGACACTCATATACTCTGCTGTATGGCCACACCAGAACCTGCTTCCCACTTCCATCAGTTACAGATGAGCTACAGTGACTGTGCACATTAAGTCTTGGACTCAGTTCTTCCTTTCCACACTGTGTTTACAGAGCTGCTGCACAATGGACACACTGACCAGGCTCCACACCTCACCTCTGCTTTTTTGTGTGTGTGTGTGTGTGTGTGTGTGTGTGTGTGTGTGTGGTGCTGGGGATCAAATCCAGGGCCTTGCACGTGCTACGCAAGTTTCTCCTACTAAGTCATATCCTTAGTCCCTTACATGTTCTTAACTTCAGGTGGGAACACAGTGTTATTCCTTGTGATTTTGGTCCGCATTTTCTGGTGAATAGGCATGCTGAATACATCCTATATGGACCTGGCAATCCCATCACCTTGGAGAAAGGTCTGCTTGGATCTTTTCCCAGTGGTAAGCTGGGCTGCTTGTCCAATTATGAGAGCATTTTATGCATCCTGGGCATAAGGCTTTTGAGAGATAGGCTCATTTCCTCTCCTCCTGGGTCTTGCTTATTAATGTTAATTTTCCTAATTCTTTCAGAATCCAAGCTTTAAATTTTGGTGAAATTCAACTTTTTAATCTTTTCTTTTAGCTAGTGCTACATATGTCTGAGCTGGGTGCACTGGCACACACTTGTAATCCCAGCACTCAGCAAGCAGAAGGAGGATCACCTGGGCTATGAGGGAAATCCTGCTTCAGCCTTCTGTAAAGCTGCAAGGACCTCTCCTGTTGATTTGTAAGTTTCAGTTTTAGCTTTTCCTTTTGTTTTGCATAGTGTGAGATAAAAACTAAGACTCATTTGTTCCCAGTTAGTGGACATCTCTTCCAGCACCATTTCCTGAAAAGCAAAAACACAACTGTCCTCTCCCTGCTGAATTTCCTTGGCGTGGGCATAAAACCCCAAGTGCTGCAGGCAGGCTGAGGGGTGAGATTATCCACATCATTGACTGTGTGTCTTCAACACACACTTGCCACCCTGAACTTTGCAGTCCACTCCAACATGCTCTTCAAAACTGTATCACCAGGTGCAGTGGCTCACCCTTGTGATCCCAGGTGGCGATTAGGAGAAGCATGGTTCAAAACCAGCATAGGCAAAAAGTTAGCAAGACCCAATCTCAACTAACCAGCCAGGCATAGTGGCACATACATATGACATCTTCTACAAGGAGGCCATAGATAGGAGGATCAAGGTCCAGGCTGCCCTGGCAAAAATTTGAGACCCTATCTGAAAAATAAGCCAAAGGCCTGGGGCTGGGCTCAAGTGGTAGAGCGCCTACCAAGCAAGTGTGAAGCACTGAGTTTAAACCCTAGTAGTACAAAAAAAAAAAAAAAAAGGTCTCATTCTTCCAAGTTATTCACATTTCCATGTAAATATTAGAATCTGCTTATCAGTGAGGTCACTGTCCCAGAGAGGGCCCAGGCCCCATGCTTCCAGATGCTCTGTGGTTCCCAAAAGCAGCTATGGTGGAAAGCACTAAGGTCTAAGAATCACTCACAACCAGAGCAAACCTTGTCACTCTCCATGGCCCAAATCCAACCACTTTTCCACAGACACAGGCATCTCCCATGGGGTCCTGCTATCACCCCCTAGCCCACTGCCCTCTGCCTACCCCTTGCACTTGCTCCCTCGCTTGCCTGCTTGTTCTGCTGCAGCCTCTGGGGCCTCCTTCCCATCTACTCTCTCTGCCCTTCAACAGCATCAGCTCCTGCTTACTCTTCTGCTGTCTATATCCCTACTAGAACCCAAGCTCCCTACAAGAGAATGCAATGTTGTCAATGGGTAGCCACCACAGAAGTGAATCAATCAACAAAAGATGCCTATGTTATTAGTGATGAAAGTATAAGTCACTGAACACACTGAGTATGACCCCAGCTTTGTTAAGTAGAAGAAATGGGGCACAAAAATATGTGTGATGAACACCTACTAAAAGGATACCACTGAAGACAGGAAAACACTCAGGTTCCCTGTATCATCTGCACCTACCATCAGAACTGGCACTGCTCAAGGGCCACGGTCTGGGCTCTTATCACCCCTGCTAGCATGTCCACTGTCAGTTTGCTCAGAATGACAGGCAAAGTTTGCAAGTGCATCTGGTCAGGCCCTGGGTCCCTAGTCAGTGATGGAGAGGAGTCCTCTCATCCACATTACTGCTCTGAGAACCTGAACCAGCAAAGGTTTGAAAGGCCCCTTCAAGCCCAGGGACACCCCTGGACATTAAGAATCATTAGAGCCTGGTACCAGTAGCTCATGCCTATAATCCTAACTACTCAGGAGGCAGAGATCAGAAGGACTGCGATTCAAAGCCAGTCTAGGCAAATAGTTCATGAGTCCCTATCTCAAAAAAACCCCTTCATACACACACACAAGGTCTAGCGGAGTGACTCAAGGTGTAGGCCCTGAGTCCAAACCCCAGCACCAAGAAGAAAAAAGAATCATCAGTAAATCACCTTGGCATCCAACAAGTAATTGTACGGCATGAAGATGATGTCGGCTTGCTGCTTCAGGTTGCGAGAAAGGTAGTACGGGCACACTCTGGAAATAAGGAGAGTGAAGACTCCGTAAGTGCCCATGCAGGGGATGCAGGAAGTACAGCCAGAACACAGGCCACTATACCTTGTGACTCGGGAGGAGCCCTTGACCTACACACAGGGCCTCAGAGCAGAGCTGGTACCTGACATGGATAGGAAGCCCATGTGAGTTCTTAATTCTGTGACTGTATCGTCTATTTCAAAACTGTATGAATAGCAAACACTAAGCCCTAAGTTCAAATCCCGGTACCACGGGGCAAGGGGTGTGGAGGGACATAAAATCCAAAAAAACTGTATGAAAAGAAAACAGAACAAAACCGCAGCCCTATACCTGTATCATCAGAAACAAAAACAGAGAAGTACTAAAGAAAGCAAAACTTTTCTTCCCACAGTGTAAGGATACCTCCCTCCTTCCTTGTGCTGGAGATGGAACCCAGGGCCTCGAGTCAGCCACAAGCACTGTACCAGAGCTATGCCCCCCAGCCCTCCAAGTCTTTCTTATCATGACTTAAATTCAGGAAGCTACAGAACAGATTTGCTATCTGTGGAAAGAGCAGAGCTGTGCTGCAAGTACACATGGAGAGCCACCACCACGCACCAAGGGGAAATGCACTAGGAGAATAAGCAAGTGCAAACAAAACCAAGTGTTTCTACATGCATGAAGCTGCTGTCACAGCAGCCACCTTGGGGTGGGCTGAGGGCCCAGAGGAGAGGTGATTTCATTTTTTTAATTTATATTCGTCAGAGCTGCTTAAAGTGTTTCACATTGAACAGTTGTTAGATGCATAAAAAGAAAAAAAGAACATATTTCCAAACGAAGAGTCCGCTGTGGAAGAATGCCACAGGCATGGCATCACTGGGAGGGGTCTCACTTGTGCTTGCTCCCACTCCTGACCAGATCCTCAATGTCCAGGATGGGAGTGGCCAGCTCCTGCTCCAGGCTCTTCTCTGCAGATAAGAGATGGGGTAAATAAATACCCTCAGGGTCCATTTGAGTGTTCCAAAACCCTAGATACTCTGGACAGAAGGGCTCCCATGCAGCAGGCAATGTGGGGCATCCACCACCTGTGGACTTGCCAGAGAAAATCCCTACCTCATGGGTGAGGTCCCCAGGAGAGGCCCCCACACAAAGCAAGCCCAAGGGAGCCCTGTTCTGAATCCAGGAGGTGGACACCAGTCTGAAGCTAAGGGTAAATACCAAAGATAGACGCCAACACCTTCCTAAAGATGCCAAGCATCCCCTCCACCACTGGACATCCCAAGACAGGACAGGAATAGCCACACACCTTGCCTCCTGGAGCAGTGTGGAAAGAGCAGTCTAAAGCCTGGGAACCTGTCACTGAGGGCCACAGAGGATGTATCTGTGAGTAGTGCCACTCCCCCTAGCTTCCTGCCCATCAAAATGGACCCAGAGTTGTGACCAGGAAGAAAGCCTTATCTTCACAGAAGCTGGCAACTATAGGCTGAGGCAGGGCACAGGCAGTCGAGGGGAAGGGAAGAACACAGGATACCCAGGCACAGCCCACCCTGTGGCCAGTCCCATTCCTCAGGACAATAGCCCAGAAATGGGGCACCCATGCTACAAGACCCATAGCAGAAAGGACCTTAGTAGGACTGTCCTGCCCTAGCCTCAGCCTCCCTTGAGGAGCTAAAGACTGCCAACTTCTGGGTCCCATCCCCTGTGGGCAGGACCAGGGACCTCTCCTAACAAACACACCAGAGTCTTAGGGCAGCCATAAATGGAAAGCCTCCCCTCAGCTCCCAACTTGACTGTGCCTGTTTCATGCCCACCCATAGCAGGTGTCAGGCCCCCTCAAGGGTAGGATTAAGGCCCAGCCTTTAGCTGCGGCGAACAGAATACATACACACACACACACACACACACACACACACACACACACAAAACCAGTGGTGACCCCTCCCCAAATGCCCCCAGGGACAGCAGGACAGGCAGGGGAGGAATAATATATCCCTCAGCAGTGCCATAGCAACAGACCAGCCAATGAGCACGCGTTGCAGAAGAGAGCCGGCCTTCTATACTTTCTGGACAAAGCTGAGCAAGGGGGAGGAGGGAAGTGAAGAGGGAGGGAAGAGCAAGAAGGATAACAGGCATGCAGAGGGGCAAAAGACCCTGTCCCAAGTGACTCCTGGGTGGAGATGGTAGCCCTGTGCTATTGTCCTCCCACCTAGGTTCTAATGGGATGCCTACCAAGTAGCATTCCCAATCTTTACCTCCCTCTTCACTCACCAGCAACACATGCCTCCCCTTCCTCTTGGACCCCTCATGGGGCTGTAGCCCACTCCAAAGACAGCCAGGGCTGGCCGGCTGCTGGAGACATAATTTCACAGCCTGCCAGAGCAGCAAGGACATGGAGGTTCACAGTTAAGCAACCTTCCAAAAAGCTAAGAGTAAGAGAGTCAAAGCCAAGTGGGGGCTAGTCTGCAGCTCTTAGGATCTAGCCCAAGAGGCCCGGGGCAGAGACATAAATATACGCAACAGCTGTTAAGCCAGCTGGAACAACTTCTCTGCCACAGGGAGCCTAGGCTATGGGACATGTGCTCCTACTCTAGTGAGGCCTCCACTGTTTTGCCAAAAACTCCCTTCAGCCATCAGGGCCCATGCAGGTGAAGGACAGTGCTCAAGGGTAAGGGCTAGAGCACAGCATCAGCTTACAGGGCCCAAAGTGCTGACCCACGCAGTGTGGAACACTGGCTGGGGCTACTCCCGCTCCCATAGGAACTTCACCAGGGCCCTCTAACACAACTCAACAGGCAACTGCAGGCCACCTTCTTTGCTAGGGCTGTGGACGCTGGAGGCAGCCAGGATGGGACAGGAGGGATGACTGCATTAAATAAGCACGGGTCAAGAGCTAGATGAGGTCAGGCGCCAGTAGCTCATGCTTTTAATCCTAGCTACTAAGGAGGAAGAGATCAGGAGGATCGTGATTCAAAGCCAGTTCTGGCAAATAGTTTGCGAGATCCTATCTCAAAACACACCTTCAGCTGGGCTGGTGGAGTGGCTCAAATGGTAGGGCACCTGCCTAGCGGGTGTGAAACCCTGAGTTCAAACCTCAGTACCACCAACCAAAAAAAAACCTGCTTCAGAGCAACCCAACATCCACAGGCTGACACAAGTGGAAGAAACCACAAGGGGCAGTGGGCAATCTCCCACGAGGGGATGCAATCAGTGGTCACATGCCAGAGAACTGTCCCTGCCCAAGGACACTTCAGACAGGATTGGTATTTCCTGTATACACCCTCCCTCCTGCTTTCCAAAGGCCTCTCCTACATGGGCCTGGGGACACTAGTAGGTGCCAGTAATACAGGAAAAGGATGACCATTGCGAGTTTCCAAGCAGCCCATTTGGTGACCTGACTCAGACTCTCAGCATCTGAATTACTGAGATCAAAGGAGGCTCATGGACCCTAGAGATGCACAGCCACTTCTCTGGATGGCCCAACATGTGGACAATCACACTAAGGTAACTAAGGGTCCTCACAAAAAGCACAGCAAGCAAGAAGATAATGAGGAACATGTTCCCAGGACTAGGGTCCATGTGGCAGAGCCATGCTCCATCCCATATCTTCAAGAGGCAGAGAATAGGGACATCTGGTGCTGGGTGATAGAGGACAACCTCTGTCCTGACCACCACTGGCAGCTCCAGAGGCCTCAGCTCTGGTTTGCTAAGCATACAACAAACATCACAGCAGACAGCAGCCCTCAAACCACCAATGCCTTGTAATGTACCAAGACCATGTAATCTCAGCTCTCACACCAGTGTTAGAAGCAAAGTTTCAACCCTGAAACAGAAGAAACCCTGGAAACAGAACTCTGGCCCTACAGAAGTTTGAGCCTCTCAGCCATGTGGCTGGAACTATAGATGGGTGACCCCTCAGATTATAGGAAACTGTGAGGGACACCACTGCCACTGTCTCTGGGTACCTGTGATGAGTCCCCAGAACCCTCAACAGACATGTGGTGGGAAGGTAATGATGTGGAAAAAGAGCACTTGGGCTAGCCTCCTGCCTTCCACCCTTCAAGGGCCATGGGAGCCTGTAGTTACCAGGGCCAGCAATTGTCACTAACCCTAAACTCACTCACTGACCCTATGTGTGGATGAAGCCATCTAAGAGCCACCCCAAGCCAGACTCAAGGACTCAGCAGTCACACTCAGGGCTGTGGTTTGTCAGAGCAAAGTCAACAAAGGGAAAAGACACATGGGCAAAGTCAGCAGAAGGCAGGTGCTTAACTCCTCAGCTATAAGCCAAAACATCACCTGTGGAAGACTGTTAGCTGAGAAACTCACAGGAGACAAGGTGACACACTCTTATGGGGACTAGTCACCTGCTGTCTGATGTACACCAGGCTCCCAGAGGGAAACCGGGTGCTCTGCATACCTGTCTGCACAAATGGGTTAGGTGTAGTGTCCTTTTCTCCTGGGATGAGAGCCCTCCCTAAATGCAAGTCCCCAGACACCAGCCAATGGTCAGCAGCCAGCAGGTCTTTGTCAGGCTGCTGGATGAGCTTGTCTGTATGTAAGAAGACAGTGCCCAGGCACATGAACATACTGGCTGTCTTACAGGTAAGCAAGCAGGCTGTGGTCTATTGAACCTGAGGCTGCACATGCTTCATCCCAGCTGTGCTGCACACCCACCAGCAGGAGCAGCTTCAAGGGGCTGCACTTACCTTCTACGTTATTGTAGAAATGACAGGAGCGACTCGCCACCTTCTTGCGACACAAGTGAATCTACAGGAAGGGGAAAGTACACACCGGGGTGGCTGAGAAATGGTCCACCCACCTTCCACCCTTATCCCCCCTTCCCTGTGCACTCTAAGCCTTGGCCCAGCTCAGCAGGAGGCACAGGGTCAAAAAAGGGTCAGCATCTGCTGGAGCACCATCTATCCAACAGAACCATCTAGATGGGAAGCCCCCAGGAGCTCACCTGCATGTGGTTACTCTCCTGCTTCTTCACCTCAGGGTGAATGCACAGCTGCTCCCGGGAGCCCAGCACACATATCCTGGGCCTGGCAAAGAGAGAACTGAGGGGTCAAGGGTAAGCTCCCCTCAGTACACACAGCCTGCAGAGTGGCTCAGCACCATGAGCTATGTGGAGACACATGGGAAATTTGGCAGGTAGATAAAGTGGCTGAAATGTGGCCTAGTCTTGGTTGGGGTGGGAGGTATGGGAATCAAAACTGGACAAAGCAATCCGCTGTCCAGGACACCAAGACTCAGCTCGAATCTGGTAAAGGGCAGATCATCCTCCCTTCAGGAGCAATGCTGCCCTTGAGGGGCCAATGCTGACCTCACAAGGAGTCCAAGACAATATAAGCTCAAAGCTGCTTTCTTACAAGTAGTGTGCATCAGAGTTCAGCCAGCCTTTGTTCACCTCCTGCTGACTACACACACATATGCACTGCAGGCAGCGGACCCAGCTCCCTATTACCAACCCATTCTCTGGATAATCCTGAGGCAGGTGTGAACCTACTGACTCACCGGTAGGAGGTGTTCCGAAGCTCACTGATGACTTGTGTGAGCTGCGAGTGGGTCCTGGAGGCGTAGATGATCTTTGGGATATCTGTATAGCAAGCTGCCGGGCACAAGGAAGAGTGAAGGGTGGTTTTGAGGCAGTATCCTAACATCCGTTTACACAGGCAGCACTGCGCAAACAGCACTGCGCAAACAGCACTGTGCAAACAGCACTGTGCCTGTGTAAACGGATGCAAGGATGTCATAAACCTGACACGAGCATAGGCTGAGCAGATGCCTAACCTTAATCCCAGAAAAAAACCGACCATAGGTCTATACCCAGGATGCTAAGAAATGATATAAGGGTACAAAATTCTCCTTGCTCAACTCTAAAGAAGACAGAAGCAGCCCAGTGGACTGGCCCTGCACTTGCTCCAACCCTTCCCTACAATCTCCATAAATAAGGCCAGGAGGTAGGGTCACCTATGGAGTCTCCCTCAGCAGCATTATTCCCCCAGGATGACAAGGCCTGATTGAGGAAAAGCTCCCCTTGCACCCTCTCAGCAATCTTGCGGGCAGAAATGGCGTCTCGGAGGTGTTCGCGCCAGGCCAAGGTGCTGCAGAGGAGGCAGAGCGTCTTCCCTGTGCCTGTGGGGCTCTCCAGAATGCCATTCTCTTTCTGAATGGGGTCAAGAACAGGGGTAGGGAAAAACGAGGAGACATGAAGCCACCCAATCCACCCAAGACAAGTACAACAAACAGTGGGATAGTTCTTCCAGATAGAAACTCATCCTCAGGTGGCGAAAGCCCAATGGGATGTGAATTAATCCACACACTCTTGCCCTAAAAGCCACAGGTTAAGTTAGCACTCATTTACAAGCAATTTGCAGAGCATTACCCAAAATGCAGCAGTATTTTTCAGCCTAATATAAATAGTAAGATGACTAATTAGGTGTCAAGTCTCAAAATAGGAAACTGTTTTGCAGTTCTGGATCCAGGCGCTCACCCTGTCCTATCTGAACAGAATCTGATGTCCTACATATGAGTTCTCAAATGTGAGCCTGAGCAGAAAACTCAGGGAGGGGGTGAGTTGGGTGCAGAGTGCACCCAAGAAACCAAAAAGAAAGTGACCTGCTTCCCTGGACCTCCTTACACATCTCTGAAATTCAGAGACCTTTCAAAGTGAGGGCTGGGCATCCCTGTCCCTCTACGTGTAAACACTTCCTCCAGACCCTCAAATGGTAGCTACTCCTCATCAACTGGCCTCAGCTCAAATGCCACAAACTCAGAGGTCTCCAAGACACTCCCAGAGCTATCACCATATAAAATTATCTCTTTTGTTCACTTGATACAGTCTCTCCTAACCCACCTAGAAGCCCTACTGATGATAGAATGCAGGGTCTGACTGGAATGGATTGGAACAGAGATACATAGGAACCTTGCTGAAATGCCACCCCCACCAACTGCTCCCTGAACAAATGCCTCGGGCTCTGCAGCTTTACCTTCTGAAGACATTCCAGGACCTTGCTCATGTACTCCTGTTGACATTGGTAGGGCTGGAAAGGGAAATCCACCGTCACACCATTCAGGACTAACTTGGGCATATCAGCCGTTCTCAGAAGGGCACAGAGGTGAGCTGAGATGCAAATTGTTTGGGTCCCTTGTGAACATTTCAGGATCTCAGCCACTCCTGCATGTAGGACTGGGACATAGTGTTGCTGTCGGCAGGAATCCCTACAGCACAGACATGAGGAAGACAACAAGACTGTTGTAGACAAGCCGGTTCACCAGTCATTTCAGAATGTTCCTTCCATAGAGATCAAAAGGCAAACCTGTTATACCCTATCACAAGGAACCTAGGGAGGTGAAGATGCCAAGTGAGTGAGCCTTGCCTGGATCTTTTGACCCAAACAACTCCATCCTACTCTGGAAGAGGCCAGTCGCCTCACAGAAACAAAATCCAGGCAGGCAGACTACACGTGCAGACTTCATGTGTGACTTCCATAAGAGACGTGAGGGAGGCTGAAACCCTAGCAGCACTCCTCTGGGCCTGGGCTGCAGAACAGTGTTGCTCCTCTAGCCCTTCCTGGCCAGGAGCCATTCCCGGTCCTCCGTAGGTGGGCACCCAGGTGCAAAGGTCATCCTGGGATGCAAATCCGTGCAACCCTCAGCAACCTCTCCGGGCCTCGATTTCGACTACAAACTGAGACCAACAAGCGAGAAACCTCCTCCTAGCGCCAGCCCAGCAAAGCACTCCGGATGCGCACGCGCGGGCGCAGGAGCCCGCAGCTTCTGCAGGCTGCGGTCACGCGCGGGGACTGCCGGGAGCCGGAGCTCAAGACTACGCCCCCGCCCTCCCGACGCTCGGACAAAGTAAACAACTGCAGGACCTCCGCGACTCCCAGCTCACTTGTCTTGCCTTTCAGAATCCCGGCTGTGCAGGAAACCCGCCAACTCCTGGGGAGGAACCGTCCCCGCGCTCTCCGCGTCAGCTGACTTTGGATTTCGCGGGCTAAGATGCGCGGTTGCCGCTATTCACGCTGCACTTCCGCCCCCACTTCCGGTCCGCTGCTTGGCGCTCCGGGAGGAAACCATTCCTCAGTCTTGGGGGCCCGTCTAGCTGAGCAGCCCTATGGCTGGTCCCATCGCTTCCTCTTACTTTGATGACAACCACTACGACCTGTCTCGGCCGGGCCACCGCAGTTCGCCACATAACTTTACGGGCTACTCGCTTTCCCGTGGGTCTTGCCCTCTCCTAGAAAGAGGCATCTTTTTACGGCTGGAATCTGAGCCTGCCATAAAATCTGCAAATGGTTGTCCCCTGCCCAAGATTCGCGCCTTTACTGTCCTCCAGTGGTCAGAGCAGGCCCTTCTGAATCCCCAGCATCTAGCACAAAGGGCACCCCGGAGAGGGGCCAGCGTGGTCCTTGAGCCAGCCTGGAGTCAGAGACATTTGTCTCAGGCAACCCCAGCTTGTCCCGAAAGGTCAAGAAGAAGTTGATGCTGCAGTGGCTGCACTCTGGAGTCAATGCTTGTTTCAGAGCTTCTCTTTGGATGTCTTAACGTTCAGATGTGTTTTGCTTATGGTAGGTGTGTCCTTATGCTCCTTCTATGCTTGGGACAGTCCCTGACACCCTGGCACACGTCCTATGCACTTGTTTTTGTCTATCTCAGACACTTTCAACTTTTCAAGTGAGTTAGAGAAGATGTGATAGCCACATACATTTGAGTGGGCACCAAGCCTGGTTTCAGTACCATCTGTGTATGCATTGACCATTTATGTGCCTGATAATCTTTGAGATAAATTCTTTCATTATCCATCCTTCACATGTGTGGAAAAGAGCATAGAATGGTTAGTGTATTGCCCAAAGCCTGTGGAGGAGCAACCACCTCACACCAACCATCACCTGAGAGCATGGGTTTTGGCCACCAAGAGACATAAGGAAGAAGAGGCCAGGACCCAGCGACCCTGCAACTTCCTGAGCTAGGAGTGGAGCTGAGGACTCCCAAGACGCTGAGCTGATTTGTGAGTTGCCTGGATTGATTCAGGGCCACAGCATAGTTGAGGCTCCAAGGCAGCCCACATAGCCTCCTATGAATTTAAAGCCATTCTACTGGACCTAACCTGAAAGAGGAGGGGATGGGGAAACTGAGACTGACCACAGAAAGTCTCACTCAGCAGGCACAGGGATCTGGACCAAGTCAGCAAACTGGAATTGAATGTCTGCTCCAGCAGACCTTGGAGGGGCTCTCAGTGTAGACAGAATGCCAACTGGATCGCAAGATAGAGGTGAACCAGGACTAGGTTACCAACTGTGATGAGTGTAAGAAAGGGAGATATTATGGAGGGGGCTGCTTTGACTAGAGGCCCAAGAAGTCTTCCCTTCAGACCAGCTTGGCAACAGAAAGAGAAAAGTCACGTCCCTTGGCACTGAGAGAGTCTGAAAGGTGTCTGGGTCTGAGGAGCTCAAAGGAGCCAATGAGGCTAGAGCAAGGAGAGGAGGTGAGTGTAAGAGCCACAGCTCATCCAGAAGTAAAATAATGCCTGCCTTGAGGTGTGTGCACTTGGAGAAGACTGTAATGGAAGGAAGTTTGCATCTGGCTCCAAGGGCCTGCTCATTGTTGGCTGTTGCAGGGAGTTCTTCACAACCTGGGACTGCCAGGACTCCTATATCTGTGCTCTGTCCTCTTATTGCTTATATATTCCCTGCCCCGCCACATAGTAAACACAACAGAAGTTTGTTGAATATCTGAGTGTCCTTCTGAGGTACACAGCTGGAGGCCTTTACTGGAGGCCAGGGTTAGTTTCAGGAGACCCATGTGGGGGGTCTAATCTATAAACTCACAGTTCATAATAAACATGTTTGAAACAGCTGCTCATGAACTTTCTGCAGCTGACCTTGGTGAGAAGTCAAAATCTGCTCCAAGGACTGGTACCATCCTTGGATGTACTGGAACATTCAGTAAATTTACTATGCACGCTGTGTACACCTATTATGTGCCTGGCACTATGCCAGGGGTTATCAACAGAGCTGGTCCCCAGTGTCCAGACAAGGACACACAGATTCAAGAGAGCACGTGCCAGCCTGGCGCTGGTGGCTCACACCTATAATTCTAGCTACTCAGGAGGAAAAGATCAGGAGAATCATGGTTCAAAGCCAGCTCAGACAAATAGTTCACAAGACCCTAGCTCAAAAATACCCAACACAAAAAAAGGGACTGGCAGAGTAGCTCAAGTGTTAGAGTGCCTGCCTAGCAAGTATAAGGCCCTGAGTTCAAACTCCAGTGCTGACCACAAAGAAAAAGAGAGAGAGAGAGAGAGAGAGATCATACCAAAGGTGAGTCTGAGACAGTACAGTCCCTTGAGCCTGGCTGGATGAATGCTACCTCCATCCATAAGAGAAGACTGGAGGGATAAGACGGAATTGCTCCTCTTGACTCCAGCACCTGAGCTCCAGCACCTGCAGCTGCAAGGATACTGACAGTACCTGGCTATATACAGCTGCAGTGACTTCTCCAGGGGACATGGTTGCTTCCTCTAGTCTCAACATCACTGTTAGAACAGCTTTGTGTGCTTCGTCCCTCTTCCAACTCCCTCCCAGGGCTGAGTTCCAATGAATGGTGTACACCCAGAAACAACTCTGTGTGTCTGCATCAGTTTGATGTGTCTGCATTACAAATTTTCACCACACAGCAAGCAGCTCAAGACAACTTCTGTGTATCAGCTCACAACTCTTAATATCCCAAGGCTGAAATCAGGCTGTCAGCTGTACTGAGTTCTGTCTGGAGGCTTAGAAGGCAAGCCTGCTTCCAAGCTCATTCATGTTGGCAGAATTCACTTCCTTGTGATTGTAGTACTGAGATCTTGCTGGCTGCAGCTGAGAAGCAGCTCTCATATCCCTGCCATTTGGCCCCTCATCTCAGCAACAGAGAATCTTCCTTGTCTTGAGCTTCTTTCACCATTAGGGAAAACACTGCTTTTAAAGAGATCCTGTAATTAGGTCAGGCCCACCAGATGATATTCCTTCATAAAATCTTCTGTGCCATACAATGCAACCTAACCCTGAACACAGGCCTGGTGTGGTGGCTCACGCCTGTAATCCTAGCTACTTAGGAGGCAGAGATCAGGAGGATTGTGGTTTGAAGCCAGCCCAGGCAAATATTTCCATGAGACCCTATCTCAAAAAAACCCATCACAAAAAAGGGCTTGTGGAGTGGCTCAAGATGTAGGCCCTAAGTTCAAGCCCCAGTACCACAAAAACAAACAAAGAAACAAACAAAAAAACTAATCCTGAATATCAAATCCGACTACTTGCCTAGCAAATGCAAGGCTCTTAGTTCAAACTCCAGTTCTTCAAAATAATAATAATAAAAGAAAGTTGACCACTAAATCCCGGGGATGATGCCAGGCATGCACATGGGGCAGGAGTCTGGGGGCTGGATGAAGTTGTCCTAACACCCTGTTGGGCTTGCTCCAGGCCGACCTGGGCCTTAGGCTTGCTCCTGACTTTTGCCTTTTTGAGTTGTCTCATTTCTCTGCAAGTCTTCTGAGGAGCCCCAGGGTTTTACTCCTGGCCTTATGAGCTAATTTCTGTGTAGCAAGCCCTTTTCCTCTTGACTTCAGTGGCTCCATTCCTGAAACAGGAGTGACACTCCACCTATGTGCCACACAGAACAGGTGCTCCCTGCCAAGTGCACACACTCAGCTCTGCCACATCTCCTCTCCTCTACCTTCTGGTATTGTCATTTCATCTTATATCCAAGAAGCACAGGTCCAGAGAGGTCAGAAACTTGCCCTCCATCAAATAGATGGTGGTGTGGCTCAAGCAGTAGAATGCTTGTGTTGCAAGCACAAAGCCCTGAGTTCAAAACCCAGTCTCACCACCACCACCACCCCTTTCCACCTCCCACCCCTGACCCCCACCTCACCCCACTCCTGCACACTTAAAAAAAATAAAAGAGAATCTCAGAGCTGGGCTTGGACTTGCCTTTGTATCACTTCAAAGCCCTTGTTTTCTAGGCTTCACCCCCGTCCCCCACCCCCCGGCCCCGTTGTCCTCTTCTTTGCCCAAAACCTGGCCATCCAGAGAAAATACCCCTGAGAGCCCATCCAGGCCAGTGTCCACCTCCCCCGGACAATGAAATCCCTTCTTTCAGCATAGACCTGGACTCAGTGACCCAGCTTCCAGCAGCCTCTGTCAAGAGCTCTGCTACTAAACCCTGACTATGGGACTTGCCTTCCAGCCTTGCCTCTGGCCCACCCATTCTGGGGAATGGAGGTTATCTCCACATCCCCCAAACAAAGCCAAGTTAGGGGAAAGAACCATGGTTGTCGGAGGATGGAGGATGAGCATGAACGGCTACTGCGTCTCTTCTCTCTCCTCTTCCTCCCCTCCCACCAGCCTCCCTCTTTGACGGCTGTAGCCCGGCTCACTGCTTTCTCTCTCTCTCCCCCTCCCTCCCTCCATCCCTCTCTCCCTCCCCCTCCCGCCGCGCCCTCCCTCGCTCCCTCCCCTCCCCGGCACTGCAGCATTTGCCGACTGCAGCTCCAGCCGCCGCCCGCATCTCTCTGGCCTCCGCAGCCACAGCCGCCGCCAGCACCATGGCCAGCACCATGTCCGGTAGGCGCCGGGGCCCCGGGCTTCCTGGGGCGGCGATGGGTCTGGAAGCAGAGGCCATTGTCTGAGCAAAGGCCTCGCCCAACGCAGGGACCCGATACCGACTCGATTTTCCTGTGTCGGACCTTGCGCATTGCGAGGCTGGTCCGGACCTGCAAGAGCTGGGGGTCCGGGGTCCGCAGCGCTGCGGGACGCCGGGCAGAAGCCGCGCCCTGGGCTGCAGCCCGGTGGAGCAGTCGGGCGCCGGGGCGCATTGCCCCTTCGCGCGCCGCGGTGCCAGGCCGGGGTGCGCAGGGTGGCTCCGCGGACCCGGGCAGTAAGCGCACCCGCAGTGTGCGTGGGAAGGTCCCCCGAGGCGCCCGCGACCTCAGATTTCCGTCCCACTACGCCTTCGCGGAGGACCAGGGGAGAGGGCGGGACCCTTTGCAGGAGCCCCAGCCGGGCCCGGCCGACCCCAGTGGCCCCAATGGCGGGCAGGGGCCAGCTCAAGCCTAGGAGCGAGGGGGAGGGGGCCGCACTCGCCCTTCACGTGGCCATCACCCACCACAACCACTGTGGGCTCCGGGACTACCCTCCGTGACGCCAGGGCCACCTGCTCTGGTCAGAAAAGCCACCGCCCTTTGGGCCGAGGGGTTTGGGTGGGGGAGGGGCTGCTGCCATTTCCAAACCTTTAATGGCTGGGAGGGGTCTGCTCTCGAAGGCAGCCACCCCATCCCCCCATCCCTCACCAAGTGCGGAGCTCTGGCGGAGGGGGTTGACACCGAGAGGATATTGGATGCCCGGGAGCTGCCGCTGGAACCCCCCGCCAACCCAGGGCTCAGCAACACCTCACACTGGACGCCCTGCCCTAGCCAGCTTCACCTTTTTTTCTCAGTGCCTGCAATGGCAGGGCGGGCGGCACCCTACCTCCATTCCATCAGCCCCTCAGTCCAAGAACCGCACTCTTTCCGCCCTCCGCCCTGGGGGCGGATCTCCACTGTCAACTACCTGACTCAGTTGGTTCTCCCTCCCGGTTCTCCCACGCACCTGCTTTGGCCTCTGGTTCAAACTCTGCCCCCCAACCCCCATTGCGTGTCCTGCCGTAATCCCGCTCCTAGGCCCGGAGGACTTCTGTATCTGTCCAGAAGGGGACCACGTGCCACTGACTACCCGTCTTCTGATCCTGTCTGGGAGTCTTGTCCATCTGGGTTTCATCCACATCCCACCCAGATATTGGGACAAGTTAAGGGCAGAATGAGATACCCCTGGTCCCTGAGGGCAGCTCTGTCCTTCCCATGGCCAGGAGCTGCCCCCCCCGGACTCTCTCCCCCACTGAGGCCTGGCCACAAATCTGAGCCCACTGACAGGTACCTGAGCCTTCTTCCCCTTAAGGTGTGGCAACATGGGCTTCTACTGAGCCTTACTTTGGAAGACTTGGCATCACTTGTCTTTTACTTGTCTTTTGTTGTCCACTTGTTCCTTGAGCTTTCTTAGACACTGGCTCAGATTCAGCTCCTTATAAAACTTGGAGTCTAACTTTGAGCTGTGGGGCCTTGTCCAAGCTACTTAATCTTTCAGATCCTCAGTTTTCCCATGTGGGGAGACATGCACTGTAAACTCCAGCTGCAAAAATACAGGTTCAACCTCCTGCCTCATTCTGTGGCCCCACCCTCTACCTGCCCCATGCCAGGCTTCCTCTTGTTCTTTCTTTCTCTCTCTCTCTCTCTCTCCCCCCCCCTCCAAAGTTTGCCAGTTCCTCACTTACTGTCTGGTCCCCTCCAACCTGCTCTGCCTCCTGCAGCCAGATCACAGAGCAGGCCTCACTCCCAGACTCTTCCTGTGGACACCAATACCATTTGCTCCTTGAGGACCATTCTTCTGGGAAGGAAGCTCCTTGTGGGCCATCAGCCTGGGAGAAACCAAACCAGGGACTCTCCATGACACGAGATGCTGAGGTGTGTCCATGTCTGCAGCTACAGGACATGGTACCTCACTTTCCAGTTGGACATTTGTTCCCTGAGCTATGACTTGAGAGAACTCTGATCTATGTCACTCCCCACCCCCATCCTTTTCTTCTCTCCTGATAATGCAGGTGCTTATATTGCTCATACTGGCATCAATTCCCAAATCCCTGCCTGCCTCCCCTATGCTGAGGTGACAGTTATCTGGAAGGGAAGCCTCCTAAGTGCTGTGCTTAAACTTGTTCTTCGTCTAAAATGAATCTGCAGCAACTTTCCTTGTGAACATTTCAGGCACAAACAGGGCTTCTGAGCAGATGTCAGGCCCCAGGTTCCTGGCCTGTAAGGCAAACCCACTCAGGGTTTTGGATGAGTGATGAGGAAGAATCTGAAAGTTCAGGATTGGGAGGCTAGGGTCTGTTGACAAGAAGGTGGAGAGGTCAGAACTGGAGAGGCCAAGTCCCCTATTTCTTGGCCTCTCCCAGACCCCAGGTCTGTCCTGCCCTAGCCCAGACCCTCTCTTACCCCTGCCCTCCTGTCACCTCCTGACTACAGGCCTGGCCACCCCTGGCTTCTCTGGATGCCCTCTATGTCTCCTGACCTGATGTTGCTAAACAGCTGGCTCTTAAACCATCTAACTCTTCATGGCCATTGCCTGGAACATGCCCCTCTCCTCTGCCTTCTTTGTTGAATTAATCTTTAACAACACAAATTATTCATGAATAGATTTTGCTTGTGAAAAAATAAAACTTGACAAGTCTGACCAAACTCCCTTTTCAGGCTTCCCTCCTCCTGATCTCCCCCCTAAACTGCCCCCTCTGTCTACCTCTCTCCCCAGGCTCCTGAAGACAATGACCAAGACATGTGGCTTCTTCACCACAGAGGTTCTCCCTTGTGCTGGCCCACGCTGGGATTCCTCCCTATAGGGATCAGGGAATTTAGGTCAAATAAGAGCACTCTCTGTACTAGTTGTGGGAGGACCCAGCACACAATGAATGGTTTGATCATTTCTGCCTTGGTCCTGTTTTTACACTAACTCTTTTCCCCATTTCATGTCAAAGAAATTTAAAAGCATCATCTTGTGTGAAACCTGACCAGAAAGTTTCTCGTCTATCTAAATGCTTGTCCAAGTTCTTGTCCATCCCCTCGAAAAAAACGCTGGCAGATAATCAAGCATTTAAGCTGGATTCCCTCTTCTAAAAGTGTCTCCCTGGAGATCTGGGCCTATTTTTCTAGCTGGGGAGGTTGCTGCATGTATCTCAAAGGCCCCTAATTTTGGGGAGCTGCCAACATGGCAGGAGGAACACAGACTACCTAGAACTGCACTTTGAGGAATGTTGCTCATGTCACCCAGAAAGCTGAGCCCCAGTGTCATCTCTGTGGAATGGAGTAACTGTATTGGGCCCACAAGATTCTTGGGCATTACTGAAACAGTGGGCGCACATGTCTACTATGGAGTTGGCTCACAGCAAATGGACTGTGATGTGAACAGCTAGATTATTTCCATTCTAAGAGTGAGTGTCTCTCCTTTCCCATAACGGGTCAGAATCAGTTACCAGGCTCACTTCCTTATCTGGTTGAGTAGTAGGGACATAGGGACACTGGCTGGCGAGCACTTGATCTAGAAGAGCAAGTGGTGGGCCATGGTGCTAAATGGACAGCTCCTGTCTTTTTGTCCTTGGCCCTGGGGCCCAAGCCTATCCAGAAGGGCAGTGAGTGTGTATCTGGCAAGGGCCTAGTTTCACCTCAGGGTAGCCACATGACCCTCAGGGTAAATAGGGGGTGGGGAAACAGTAGGGTCTGAGGGCTTCACCCAAGTCTACAGCTCAAAAAGTACTGCTCAGCTAGGTACAGTGGCATATGCCACTAGTCCCTTGGGAGGCCTAAGCAGGAGGATCACATGAGCCCTGGAGTTCAAGGCCAGCCTGGAAACATAGCAAGATGAAGGAATGGTGGAAGGATCTGTCACTGTGCTGGCCCCAGGTTAATTTTGTCTGCCTGAGCTGGAGAGAAGGAGAGAAAGAGATGGAGGAAGTACCCCAAGGGAGGTGAGAGTCAGACAGATACACAGCAATACATAATCACAGAGAGGTACACTCAGAGAAAGAGACAGTCAGAGGAATGTGACCAGAGATATAGAAAAACACAAAGACAATGACAGAGTCAGATAGAAGTCAAATAGAAATGTCTTATTCTGTTCAGACTGATATTTCAAAATACTTTAGACTGGGTAGCTTCAAAACAAAAGAAATTTGTCACAATCCTGGAGACTGGAAGGTTAAGGTCAAGATGCTGGCAGATTCAGTAGTTGTCTGGTAAGGGCTGCTTCCTGATTCATAGAAGTAGTCTCACATGCTGGAAGGTCGGAGGGAGCTCACAGGATCCTATTTTGGGAGGGCACAAACCCCATCCAGCAGGGCTTCACCCTCATGACCTACTCACTTCCCAACACCATCACAGATGGGTTAGAATTTCAATATGTGGATTTCAGGAGGACATAAACATTCATACCACAGCAGGCAGGGAGAAACATAGAGAAAGAGGAAAAGATGAGAAAAGCCAGGCATAGTGGTACATGCTTGTAATCCCAGTACTTGGGAGGCAGAGGCAGGAGGATTGAGAGTTTGAGGCCAGCCTGGGCTACATAACGAGTTCCAAGCCAGCCTGGGCTACTAAGGTCTCACAACTGTCTCAAAACAAACAAACAAATATAAAAAACAATGTAGAGAAACGAGACAGACAGAAAACCCAAGAACAAATGCTGGGGTGGGGAGATGGACGGGAGAGAGATTAAGAGACAGAAGCAGAGACAAACCAGGGAGGGAGGTACCCTGCATCAAATTCCAGAGCCGAAGGAGAGTCAGAGGTGTGGATACACATCAGGACAGACAGCTCTGTGTCTCACAGGGAGACACTCTAGAGGCGGTGAGAGAGATGAAAAAAAGAGACTAGGTAGACTAGGGTTCAGGTAATGGTACCTGCTCACCCTGGCCTCACACCCACAGCCTACAAGGAGAAGATGAAGGAGCTGTCCGTGCTGTCACTCATCTGTTCCTGCTTCTACTCACAGCCTCACCCCAACACCATCTACCAGTATGGGGGTGAGTGTACCCATATTGCTGCTGGTTCTGCTTGGCCAGGGCCTGCGCACTGACCTCTCCTGCCTCTTGTGGCCTCTGTGAAGGCTGTGGCCCGAGTGGCTTCTGCAGGGGATGGTTCTGGGAGGAAGGGGCCAGGCTTGGGAGTTCTGCATGAGCAGTCACACCCCTTCCTCAGTCCTTGACTGCTGGGAGCAGGCCCCTCACCCTGCTCCCATCCTCTAGCCAGGCCTCCTGAGGCCCCCATCTGGTCTTACCCTGCAGACATGGAGGTGAAGCAGCTGGACAAGCGGGCCTCTGGCCAGAGCTTCGAGGTCATCCTCAAGTCCCCTTCTGACTTGTCCCCGGAGAGTCCCATGCTCTCCTCTCCCCCCAAGAGGAAGGATACCTCCCTGGAGGAGCTGCAGAAGAGGCTGGAGGCAGCTGAGGAGCGAAGGAAGGCAAGGAACCCCTCACAAGGAGTCCTGGCAAAGGTGGCCAGGAGGCCTTGCTGGGTGATGATGGACAGGTGCCCATCCCTGCCTGGGACCAAGATGCTCCAGGCCCTCTGCTTGGGCAGGACATCGGGCTGGGGAGTGCCCAGTTCATGATTCCTTGGACATCCTGAGAGAGTGGAGTGAGATGGGGGAAAGGATGCCAAGATGGTGCCAGACAGAGGAAGACAGGAACCATACACCCTTGGTCATGGTGGGGAATCAAGTCATGTTCCCCAGGAGGGGCCCTGGAGACATAAGGTTGGGGTTGGCACTCTTTTTAGGGAAGGGGAGTGAGAAGGACCTCACATTTGAGACTCTAAGCTGGAGCCCATTGAGAAGTTCAGTGGGGTGCTGGGAGAAGAGGCTGCGGGCTCCAGGCCCACTTCACACTCCTTCTCCTCACAGCGGCCCCTTTGAGACTGAAAAACAGGGAGCAGATGGAATCTGAGAAGTGAAGTCCTGAAGCTCAAGCCCACTGGACAGCCCACTCAGTCCTAGTGCAGCAAGGCCTAGGTTCAGCAGGACTCAGGCTCAGCAGGGTTAATCCTAAGACTAGAGCATGTGTGGGGACCCAGCAGTGTTCAGAAGGAGGCCTAGCCCAGGATGGCTAATTACCCCTGGGAGCCTGGCTCTCTGCTTTCCTCCCAGGGGTCAACAGACAGCCCTTCCTCCAGCAGGGCAGGAGGACACTGTGGTGCCAGCAGTCCCATACTCCTCCCTGTTCCTTACCAGATCCCTGGGGACCTGTCACCATCACTGAGCATCTAATGAGCTAGGATTGGTGGTCTTCATCTACACCTGTTCTGAGTTCAGCAAGCCAAGTCTGAGGAAGATGGGAGGAGACACTGCAGCCCATAGTTCCTAACTTGCCCAGCTTCTTCAGCATTTCCAGGCTTTGGAGGGTCAGACACAGGACAGGGTCTGCCTTGCATAGGAGGTTCTCAGGCCAGCAAGGAGAGGGACAGCTCTGGGGCCAAGGGCAACGCAAAAGGCAAGCCACTTTGGTTCATCTGGGACTGGAGAGGTCGCTCCACAGGCAGAACTTTCAGTACCAGAGCCCCAGAGGTTCTAGGGAAACCAGGACAGGGCGGGCAGGACAATGTAGACCGGAGGTTTTAGGACCTACGTGGGTGAGCATCAGGGCAGAGCAGGACAGTGTAGGCCCGAGGTCTTAGGTGGGCACTGCAGAACAGGACATGTGCGTGGGTAGGGGCTGTCAGATGGGGAGCGGAGGAGGGACAGAGTCCGACTGCCAAGCCTGGAGATGGTTGAGGGCGTCTCCAAGGCAGGTCCTGGAGACCAGGTCAGCACAGGTGACGGCTGGGCACGGGGCGGGAGGGGTTCGCGGGGGAGGGGTCTGGGTAGCGGCTCACGAGCCCCTGGTCCTGCGCAGACGCAGGAGGCGCAGGTCCTGAAGCAGCTGGCGGAGCGGCGCGAGCACGAGCGCGAAGTGCTGCACAAGGCGCTGGAGGAGAACAACAACTTCAGCCGCCTGGCGGAGGAGAAGCTCAACTATAAGATGGAACTCAGCAAGGAGATCCGCGAGGCGCACCTGGCGGCGCTGCGCGAGCGGCTGCGCGAAAAGGTGCGCGCGGGGGCGGGGCTTCATGGAGGTGGGGTGACTGTGGCCGGGGGCGCATCCGGGGCCCGGCACTGCGTCGCAGGCTGCTTTTTTGGTATTTATTGGGCGCACTCGTTCTGGTGGGACAGTCAATAATCATAACAAATGGGTACATTAATGAAATTTGAAGTGCATCCCAGAGACCAACTCCTGGAGGTGGTGGAGCTGCTTCTAGTTGGGGGTCAAGGAGCTCCCCCTTCCCGCTCAGAGCCCTGTCCTTTGGCCGGGTCACTGCGCACTCTCCTGGAAGTGCCCGAGTGTGAGGACACCTGCAAGTTCCCCGAGTCACAATGTACCTGGAGTCAGCCGCGTTCTCGGCCACATTCTCAAGCCCCCTGCTTGTTCTCCAGGAGCTGCATGCGGCTGAGGTGCGCAGGAACAAGGAGCAGCGGGAGGAGATGTCCGGCTAAGGGGCACTGGATCTGGCAGCGACAAGAACACATTCGGGATTTGGTTTTGTTTTGTTCAGTTCTGTCTAGGTGCAACTTTTGTTCCTGCTCCGATTCCCTCCCTGGCACCCCCAGCTTCATGCTTCTTTTCGCACTCTGAGCTGTCCGGTCTTTGTAGCGTGTCTGACAGTGGGCTCTCCCTGGAGGAGTCCCCTGGGTGCAAGATATGGTCCCCCAGTTCAGACACCAGGTCAGGTGTGTCTGGGTCCCTTCTTGGTGGCCCTCTTAGTGAATGTGTTGGCAACCTTAATAAATCTAGTGGCAGTAGCACGAACGTTCTTATGTTTGGTTGTCTGGTCAGGGACCAGCTGCCTGCAGATTCTGTTACTGCAAGGGTCAGGGTTCCCAGGCCTGTCCAGGGTAACTTACACATGAGGGCATGTCCCCCACTCTGCCAACTGGCAAGGACAACAGTATCTGTCTTTCTTTCCATGAGGGAGGAGCTCCACACGGGACAGGGGGCTGAGGACCCCAGGGCAGGTGGGTCCCACTCTCCCTGTCACTGTGTGTAGCTGGCCCTGGAGCCTGTGTGCAGCAGAGCTTTTTACGACTGGTGGGTGGGCCACAGCACTCTTTCATGTGGTTGCATAGGGATCCTCTGAGGCCACCTGGCCTGAGTAGCAGCACCCTAGGCGAGTCTTAGAGCCTGTGGTCATTGCACTGGGGCCACAGTGGGGCTGGGGTAGAGACAGGGAAGGGTGTGATCCCACCTAAGTCTGCCAGGGTGCAGACATTCTCCACTGAGGACCCTTGAGCTGTGTCTAGAGTTGTGGGCAGCCTGAACACCCCCTGCTGCCCCCACCCACTCAGAAGTATAAACCTTTGGAAAAAATCGTTGCCCTGGCACTGTGTGGCATAGTCCCAGTGCTCCTGCCCCTCAAGGATTTACAGTCACCTTTACAAGACCTCATCCTTGGAACCCTTTGGAGTCTTGTCCCCTTCCTCTTGCCCTCTGCTCAGATTCAATAATTCTCCTGGATACTGAACTTCCAGGCTTGCTTCCTGGTAGGTGTGGCCAGGTGTGTGAGAGTGGCAGCCACAGTACCTCTGGGAGTTCTTTAGGGAGGACCAGCTGCCTGAAAATTCTGATACTGCAAGGGTCAGGGTTTCCAAGCCTGTCCAGGGTACCTACACCCCATCCACCCTGGGATTCCTTACCAGAAGGTGGGAAGCCTGGCTCTAGGCCTGTCCTGCTAACAACTTCCTAGGCTGGGTCCTTTTCCTGACATCAGCCCAGGGGTTTCCAGATGCCCAGTGCTGGCCTTTGTTACCTGTGTGGACATGGGGGGTATTACCTGTCTGTGCCACTGCAGTACCCTCCCCTCTTCTCCATGTCAGCCCCACCCCACAGCTGAGTGCCAGGAGCAGGATCCCTGCTGACCTGCTTGGAGTAACGTATGAGGACAACATACAATGTGTTCTTTCATGACCCAGAGCCATGACCCCAGAAACCAGGTTACTGTAGCCCCCCAGTACCCTCTGCTTCCATCAGACAGAAAACTCTTGAAAGCATTGTGGATGGTCTCCAGGGTCCAGCCAGAGAGCATGGGTGGAGAATGATCCCTGTAGAGGGTCAGGGGAATCAGGTACCTACCATACCTCTCCTTGTCCCCACACGATAGCCTCAGGAAGGAACAAGCCAGGATTGGAACCCTGTGGTGCCCACATGTGGCTTTTGTGGAACTCAGAAGGGGAAGAGGAAAGGGAACTGAAAGTGAATTTCTTCTTGAGGATGGCAGCTTTCCCGTAGGTGAATCCTGGTATAACATGCATCCACATAGTGAATTTAAAAGTTACATCAAGTGAACAAAGAAAAAAACCCTGTATGTTTAGAAATGGCTGCACTGCCCAGTGTGTGTCCTGTATTCGTTGGGCCAGGGAACCATCTGAGCTCACTGTCTATGAGCAGTGTTTGCACTGATATGACTCCAGATGGATACCAGTTTAAATCTTGTTTATAACAAGATGATTCAGGGTTATGAATTGTTTTGATGACAATGGTGGCTTTAAGAAATGAGCATGCAAATGCCACAGGAGCCCACTTCCCTCTCTGAAGCCATGGGTGGGGAGGGGTCAGGCTACTTCTGTGAGTGGGGTGGGCCAAGAACATGGATGCTGTTGGGGCCACCCCTGCTCCCTCGAGGACTTCCTTTTGGCACAGGACTCTAATGGCCAACTGCTGCTGAGGAGAGAACAGGGTCTGAAGTCTAAGTCCAAATGAGTCTTTAGATTCTAGGCTTTTGGTCTTCCTGGGATGGGGTAGCTGGTAGGCCTTGGGAGTGTGCCACATAGCTCTGTGGACTTGTTCCCATTCTCCATCATACAGCTGTTGTTCACAGTCACAGGTCTGAACCCAGGGTGGAGCCTAGAGTAACAGAGAATAAGGAGACAGACATCCGGATTCACCTTGAGGACCTGTCTGTCCCCCAGGACCCAAACAGATGCTGAAGTGCCCACTGGGGACACTTTGCTAAGCAGAACACAATTTAGCAGGTCCACGGTGCCTCTGCTCAGACTCATGTGTGGGTCTTCTGCCCAGACATTGGAAAGGTACCTACTTCCAACCACCTGGAAAGAGCTGGGGAAGTCCTGGTGACCCCCAGGTGCAATATCATATCCAGTTATATCACCTCTCCATCTTCTGCCCCAGGGAAACTGAGTCAATCAGAATGCAGGACACAGCAGAGAGACATCAAAAGCATGCAGGAGAGAAGAGTGGCAGGGAGTCAAGGAGGTTTACTGGGAGTATTTTATGAGGAGGAGTCTGCCTGGTATATGTGCACCCCAGATAAGCACCTGGGCCCCTGGCACCATAGAAGACCAGACTGATCACAGGCCAGGGCTTCTTAGTTCTTTCAGGGAGCGGGCCTGGTAAAACAAACAGGTAGTGGCAGATGGTGTCTGTGACAGTTACCACTCGAGCCTCCAATGTCAGGTGGAGATGGGGATCCTTCGAACTGACCACACTTTTCCTTAAAAGAGAGCAAAAGCTATGTGGGGCTTCTTTGAACGCTGGTCACAGCAGTATGAACCATCCATTGCTGTGTCACATATCACTCCCAATAGCGGCTCCAAATATAAACATCACTCATGTTTCCTTAAGGCAGGATGCAGGAGCCAAATGGCTCCTGCTCAGTCTCTCATGAGGCTACAGTGGAATGTCACCAGAGGCTTCCGTTATCCTGAGGCTGGCCTGGGGCTGAGGACCCCTTCAAAGAAGGCCAGCTCCCAACCCTGCTGGCAGGACTGGATGCTCCACCAGGCTGCTTGAATGTGCTCACAGCATGGCACTGCTTCCCCCAGAGTGAGCCTTCCATCTGGGAGTGTGAGAAAGAAGCCACCTGAACGTCTCAGCTGGGAAGTCATACACATACTGTTTGTTGAAAGTAAGTCAGGGGCTGGGGAATGGCTCAAGTGGTAGAGCGCCTGCCTAGCAAGCGTGAAGCCCTGAGTTCAAACTCGAGTACTGACAAAAAAATAAATAAATAAGATAAAAGAATGTCACTAAGAATGACCCACACCCAAGGGAAGGGGGTGTGTCACAGACTTCACGGAAATCTTTTAAAACCACCTTAGATGCTCTCCCTGTAGTCACTGCTGTGGTTGGAATGAGACCCCCAAGTTCAGTGTTGGAAACTTGACCCCAGACAATGGTGTTGGGTGGTGGGACCTTTTGGGAGGGTCTTCGGGTCTGGAGAGCTCCACCTTTATCCATGGATTAATGCCTTATAGACAGGGCTTTGGGATGGGGGTCTTTCCTGCCCTCCCACCACACAAGGACACAATGTTCCTCACCTGTGGAGGATGCATGTTCAAGGTACAACTTTAGAAGAAAGACAGGGTCCTAACACGCTGGCACTTTGACTTCCAAGCCTCCATAACTGAGAAAAATAAATTTTTGTTGTTTATAAATTACCCAGTTGGTAGTGTTCTGTCATAGCAGTTCAAAACAGACTAAGACAGTGATCCTGTGTGCTCTGGACACAGATAGTGCTGTTGATGGCCTGGGGTTGCAGGGGGTGTCCTCTCAAACTGTGGTGTCCAGCAGAGCATCTGGGCACAGAGTCTGACCCAGACTGGCCCCCAGCCCTGCTGTGCTACGCGTGGTCCGCAGTAAGGTGCAGCTATGCAGAGTGAGACAGGGAAAGGTGATGGGGCCACTGGTGTTTCTCCTTGCTGAAGAAAACAACTTTGCTCTCCAGCAGTTTCATCAGTGTCCTGTAGCACTGTGACAAGCATTACACACTGGGTGGCTTGAAACAAAGAAGACTGGTCTCACAGCTCTGGTCAGTGCCATGGGCTGCACTCAGTTTGAAACCTGTAGGTCCTTCTGCACGTGCCCGGTTCTTGGGGGAGGATGGCAACCCTCTGTGTCTGTCTGTGCAACGTCTGCCTCCATCTGCACATGGCTGTCTTCTGTGTGTGTATCTGTAGGACACCACCACTAGATTGGGATCTGCTGTAATGATTTTATCTTAATTGCATCTGCAGAGACTCTACGTCCAAATAAGGTCACATTCTGAGAGTTAGGGCCTCAATATGTCTTTTTGGAGGACACAATCCAACCACTAACAACTACTGTAGGAACTCTCTTCAACTTGTGACAGGGTTGCATGCTGATAAATCCATCACATAAAAATATTGTAAATTAAAGTGTACTTTTTTTTGAGGCAGGTAGTCAGTATAGCCCAGACTGGCCTTGAACTCTTGATCCTTCTGCCTCAGCCTCCTGAGTGCTGTGATTACAGGTGTGCACCATGATGGCTGGCTTGAAGATGCATTTAGTACACCTAAATGACTGAACATCATAGCTTAGCTTAGTCTGTCTTAAACATGTGCAGGACACTTACTTTAGTCAACAGTTGGGCCAAGTTGTTTAACACAAAGCCTACTTTATAATAAGGTGTTGACTATCTCATTAAATTAAATACCTGTACCCAGAAAATGCTGGCAGCACAATGCTGGAGCAGTGTTTGCTGGAGATCACAGGCTAGATGGGAGCTAGCTATCATCTGAGGGTACCCTACCACACATCACACCCAGGACAAAATCAAAACTCCAAGCACAGAGGATGGGGGTGCAGCTCTGCAGCATAGCATATGCTTAGCATGCATGAGGCCCTGGATTTGATCCCTAGCACCACACATGCCAAAAAAAAAAATCTGAGGTACAGTTTCTACTGAATGCATACTGCATATCACTTTCACACCAGGGTAAAGGTGTAAGTTGAACCATCCCAAGTTGCCAACCATCTATACATAATTAGTAAT